ACTTTAAAATTTCAAAATAATTAAAAATTAAGGAAAGTAAGCATTCAAGCGCATAGATTTTGATTGTCACAAATTAGAAAAAATTAACAACTGAACATTTAATGTTACCTTTGTAGGCGCTGACGAAAATAGAAACCATGACAGCAAGTATGAGAATTGGAGTTAAAATATAGAGGGTCCAGTGAAGGTAATTCAGTAGTGTCATATCATTGTCGAGTTCTGTAACAAGGTACACATTACATCATAATTTTCATTCTGTCAGTAGCTTGTGGTTGTACGTGCACCTGTATCCTGCCTGTCTCCTTGAAGCAGTCAAGCAAGTCAGTCAGGCAAGCATCGACCTCCGTGTACGACACAACACACACCGACACGGTCACTGAGTTGCTGATATTCCCGAAGACAATTTTTGTGCTGGCGTTTTCGTCACAGGGCGCTGGGGGACCTGAGTTTTTTAAAATATGTTTTAGTGGCGTCAAAAGCACTTTGTTAATATCTGTTTAGTGACATCAAAACATTTTGATAATTTCTGTTTTAGTAACATCAATAACTATTTGTAAATAAAGAAAAATCATTGAGGGAAATTTAAATATTTAATTGGTTTATGTAAGTAGGCAATAACGATCTGGAAAAAATAATATCAAGGGCAGAGGCGTCGCGAGGCGGGGGTTGCGGAGCGCACCGGGTGACACCATTTAGGGGGTGACACCAAGAAAAAGAAAATGTGAAAATGTATAGTAGAAAAATGCTTTATGCCAGTTTAATTAATGATTGAATAGAGTTACAAAGTCTTACAAAGTGCAAATCAAAGATTCCGATATTGGGGAATGGGGGAATAATAAGCTGTATTATATATATATATATATATATATATATATATATATATATACATATATATACACACATATATATATATATATATATATATATATATATATATATATATATATATATGTATATATATATATATATATATATATATATATATATATATATATATATTTAAACTGATACTTTTTGTTGGCGGGGGGTGACACCATTACTCGCCGCACTGGGTGACACCCGACCTAGTGTCGACTCTGATCCAGGGCAAATACTTAAAAGAAACTACATAAAAATATTTAATTAAGATGTATACAAATTGCCATAGATTACATATTTCTTTGTCGTAGACGGCTGGTTTTGAAATTGGCTCTCCATCAAAAGTGTGTACAAAACATTCAAAGTTCGGGATCACTGGGCAGACCAAGTCACTGAACTGATGTTCGATTCGAAGTGTTTTGTTTTTAAAGTCTGGATTGGTTATTTTTCGCGGTAATATCGGTCGGTCTGTGTACAGTGTGATATCTTGTGGGTATCCCGAGGCTTGACATTCTAGACTCATACTTTTAGTTGACCCATCTTTAAAGAAATATTTCCATTTCAGCTCAGTACTTGCGGTGGATCCTAGTAAAAAAAATGTGATAAAATATATATGTATGCGTATTACATATATATATATATATATATATATATATATATATATATATATATATATATATATATATATATATATATATATATATATATATATATATATATATATATATATATACCGTTTTATCAGTATATATAACATATATTATTATAAGTAATTAATCTTCACCCCCCCCCCCCCACCGCCAATTAACAAAATGTTAAATACTCTACATCAAATTCTAATCATACAATTACTCATTCTTAGAATCTTATGATGTATTTTTTAAAATACTTTTTTTTATTTTAATTTTTAGAAATATAAATAACTTAAGTGCTAAAATGTAAGAAAGTAAATTAACAAAATATAAAAAGACACCTTTAGGAGAGAAGTAAATAATTTAAACGAAAAAACGTGAGTCATTTAGACTTTAACCTATACATAAGTGTTTGAAGAAGTCGTTAAAATTCAAGCTCAACTGAGTTTCGTTTTTGTAAAATGAGTTTCCTTTCGCTCTGATGTGGTTGTTGAGCATAAGCTGCTGTATAGTTTTACAGGAAAAATACGGGTTAGTAAAGTACATAAAAGTTCGTGTAATTTTCGGGAAATGCCCTACAGGAAAGTACGTAACTACTAAATCCCTTTTTTAATTATTAGATCTTTGAACAAGGCGTGCCAATTAGTAATGATCTTAGATTAGTCTAAAAATATATATCCTAATTAGTTGCACTTCAGTTAGAACAACTTTCGTGACCTTTTTAAACTATTTGGAATCTATGCTAGGTGTTAGGTTATTGTTGCCGTCTGTTCTAATTACGAAAGCTGTCAATTTTAAACGTAATCGAAGGCGCTTTTATTTGTGTTATCAATCCTTTTTTTCTGTGATTTTACGAAGGTTTTCATCTGTGTTATGCATAACAATGTATTTTTAGCAGCGTCATCAACGAATGTTTGTGTTATAAATACATGTTGTTACCTGTGTTATAAATGCATGTTGTTACCTGTGTTATAAATGCATGTTGTTACCTGTATTTCTAATGATGTTGTAGCGTGTGTTATTATAACTATAGATGTCATTACCCGTGTTATCAACAAATGTTTTACCTGTCTTACCAACGTATGTTTTACCTGTTTCATCAACCAAAAGTAACGTTTCCAGGTACCGAGAACAACAAGAAAATATTTGCACTGTGTAGACGCCACACTCCACGTCTACAACCCGTATCGTTATTTTCACTCTAAAGTCAGCCACATTCTCCCATCCAAACCAGACTCTATCGCTGCTGCTGTTGCTGATGAAACTTCCATTGACAACAAGGTACAACACAGTGATCGTGTCGTTAGCACAGACATCCAGAGATCCTGCAGTTGTTCTATTGGCACCAATGGAGACAACGAACCCATGTTGATCAGGGCATGGGCGTAAAAATCCTTAAGTACATTCAAAGAAATACGGATTAGATTTTTCATTATTCTATAAACTTTAGTTATATTGATTAACATACAGGACTACTAGATGACGTATAACATACCCATAAACCATCCCTCTTATATGGACAAGTTGCGGGCGCCCTATATTTTCACCGTAAGCATCAATATTTATTTGGACAATGTGGCCAAGACTGTTCATAGACTCAATAAATGAAATTTAAAGTAATTATCGTAAAACCTGAACTCGGGAATCTAAATCCTTGAGTCCAGCAAGCTATGATGTGTAGCTGGCATCAATAAGTTATGTCTCGATGTGTAGGATAAAGCGAGATTACTCATCGGCAATATATAGATTCAATTTTCAATATATTGCCTACCAGCACAATATTGATCTTAACTAATAGAATAGTTACATTCAGCCCTCATAACATCTTTAGTTCGATTTGGCAATTGTAACACAGTAACAATGTTAGTGACAATCTTGCGCATGATAATCTTTTTTCTTGTGATTTCCCGGCCATAAGAACATGTCTACATATTTATAACCCGACGTGATAAATAACTAATAAACATTACCTTGTGAGGTACAGACTGAATTTCTGTTGTCCACATAGCCACAGAAATTAATTTTCTCTGATGATTCACCTGTGTAATAATTCATTAAAAGTAAACTAAAATATAATCTACACTTTAATATGGTCAAATATAATCACACATAATGAAATTACTTATTGTGATTCATAACCTAACACAAGCTTTCAATACAACATCTACTTTTAAGCTTTAGTTTACAACGTAATTTTTATAACACACAACGCACAAACAACTATAAATTACCAGCTGAAATATGGAGCACACAGCTACACACGCATACAAGAAAGACGAGTTCAAACATGACACGCATCTGAATTATAAGCTGTAAGCCAAAGAAAAATGTGATGTAAGTCTGTTGTTGAGACGTTGCATACAGCGATTGAATAATTCTAACAATAAAAAAAACGAAATTATCCTCTAAATCCAGGATGTTGCTCGTTGATGTTAGCACTCAAGTTTTGGTTGAATGAATCACCACTGGGTTTTTGTCAAGTGTATTTGTGATGTATTACCAATGGGTCACTAGGTTTATGTCAAGTGTATTTATGATGTATTACCAATGGGTCACTAGGTTTATGTTAAGTGTATTTATGATGTATTACCAATGGGTCACTAGGTTTATGTTAAGTGTATTTGTGATTTATTACCAATGGGTCACTAGATTTATGTTAAGTGTATTTGTGATTTATTACCAATAGGTCACTAGGTTTATGTCAAGTGTATTTATGATGTATTACCAATGGGTCACTAGGTTTATGTCAAGTGTATTTATGATGTATTACCAATGGGTCACTAGGTTTATGTCAAGTGTATTTATGATGTATTACCAATGGGTCACTAGGTTTATTTCAAGTGTATTTATGATGTATTACCAATGGGTCACTAGGTTTATTTCAAGTGTATTTGTGTTGTTTGGTACGTGTTTTAGATAAATGACAGACTTACAATAAAAATGTTTCAAGAATGACTATCATTAACCCAACCAAAGTTTTATAAGGGCATATATCCAATTTCTAAAAGCTTTTAATACAAACGTTTAGTTAGTTTGCAACGTCTGTTTGTTTGTTTGTTTATTTGTTTGTGGGTTTGTGACAAATCTTGTAAAAATGTGATAGACTTGTCATCGAAATGGAGCGGGCCGGGAAAGTTTGTACAAAATCGCTGCATTAGAAGTGTTTCTTTATATTTGTATTGTTTATTTGATTTTGTCACTAATTTTTTTTTCAAAATTCAGTGATATTTATCACAATGCAATCATGGTGTTCTAAAAGTTTCAGTAACATGCCTATTAAAATATCACACATTAATTATATTTACGTGTATTAACTAGTTCTTTGCAAATAGATTTGATTAAAATTCTCTTAAAAACTGGGACATTCTTGTACAACCGTTACTTTGTAATACGACTATCAGGCCCACTAATTCCCCTCCCCACGCCCCCCCCTCCCCCCACACCCACCCCCGCAGCCCCAAACCAGGTCACAGAGAGTTATCTTCGTTACATAGCCTAGTTTCCGTGCGTGTTAAATTGACGATGTTGTGTAATGAACTAGAGCAGCATACAGTGAAACAATCATGTGCAAGTAAAAAAATAGCATAAAATATTTACAATTATTCACGAAGGGCCTAATCTTAAAACATAAATAGTGTTACTAAAGATACGAGGTGAGTTTATCATTTGTGTATTTAAATTTTTTTATTTTATTCTTTTTTAATTTTGTTTTAGGTTTACTGTCTTACAATAATACTATTTTATAGATTTTCTGATTTTGCCGTTGGCTCATGCATGAATTTTACCTTAGGGACAGTGTGGTCGAGTGGGTAGATCGTTCGACTGCTAACACGATTGTCTGGAGTTCGGATGTCAGGTATGAGTACATTTGACGTCCCTGAGTCCAGCCAGCTCTATTGGGTACCTGACTCACGATGTAGAAAGTAAAGTTAGCTTTTTATATTCAGACCACACTTTTCCATCATGTACTGAAGTCAGTGAAACAGATGAACTCTACTTCATCTGCATCAATGGACCTAATTGTTCGAAATTTACTGATCAAGTTAGCAGTCTAACGCCCAACCCCTAGGCCGCACCGTACCCTAAAACAAAGTGAGTAAATGGTACCTGTTTAGTTAGGTACTCTAATCAGCAGTAAAAGTTGACTTTTCGCTACTTGTTTTAGACAACGAGGGTAATATCTTCATCTACGTCGTGTGGCTTGTATGTATAAGACTTCTCAAGTTTGAGAGTACCTGCAGCGTTATTGATTTACTCAACTGTTTAACAATACTTGACTCGACTGCTCAACGATACCTAGGTACCAAGGTTTAACCTGGAGTGTGCATCTACCCCAGGATGGTGGAGACTGACGGTCGTGTGGCGGCCCTGTCGGTGTCAGTACTGGGGTGTGTCCTACAGGTGGTGGGGCTGGCCACGCCCCACTGGGCTGAGGGCAACATGTTCAACACTGGACTCTGGGTCATGTGTCACGTGGGAACCTGTGGGGAGTTGGTGGACAAACCAGGTAATATCTTTGCTTTGTTAAGCTCTAATATAATATACTGGATAATCCAGGTAACATTGGGGGGGGGGGGGATTAAGGAATTAATTCGAGTGTTAAATAGTGTTTTAAGAGGTGGAAATCGAACGTTTGAGGGGGGGGGGGTGCAAATCAAAAGTTTGAGGGGGGTGCAAAACGAAAGTTTGAAGGGGGGGGGTCAAAATCAAACGTTTGAGGGGGTGCAAATCGAAAGTTTGAGGGGGGGGGGCAAATTGAAAATTGTAAGTTTGTCCCCGGGAAGTGTCGATACGCCTATGGGGGGGGGGGGGACACCATTAAGTGCCGCACCGGGTGACACCCGACCTCGCTACGCCACTGCTCTGATATATGCTGAACAATCCAGGTTAAACTCTGATTTGTGCTGGACTAGACGGATAAAATATTTAAGCTCGATCTACGCTAGACAATTCAGGTTACATATTGGTTAAGTTTTGATCTGTAGTGGGAAAAACCATGACGTGAAGTAACATCTTGGTTAAGTCATGATGTATGCTGTTACGTGTGTGTTATGCCCGGCCGCTCCTAGAAACCAGTTCGAAAGTGGGTTGTCTATTTATGACTTCACACTTCTGATGTAAGAGATGATGATTGTTGTGGCGATGTTTGGGAAGCAAAAGGAAGTGGTGATTAAATAAAGTGAAACTTTTTAAGTTAAAGCATTGTACTTTAAAACTGTTGTTAAAAATAGTTATTTTACATTTTGTAAATGGTACGGTAATGATAATTGAACCATGAATTTAATACTGTATCATAATTTCAAAAATTACCACAATTAAAAAATCATAATCGATGTTAAATGTAAAATGAACCTGCTTAGCTGTATCTCTTCATCTAAAGAATAAATTATATGTATAAATTGAAGAGAGCTTCTAAAATGTGATTTTTTTCGGGGGGGGGGGGGGGGGGGTGGGGGGATATGACTTTCTATGACGATGTGTGACAGCTGGGGAAGGGAAGGAGACATTTTCAAAACCTGACATGCTTTCTATTATGGATGGCACCTACTATTGTAATACACCACTTTATATCCCCCATTACCTACCATAAACCTTGTTTGAAGTATAATTTTGTTTTATTTTGAATCACGACACACGCCCCCTACCCTTACACCACAGACTGGCTGGTCACGTGTCAAGTTCTGTCTGTCATTGGTCTGACACTCAGCGCTGTGGCTGTCATTGTCAGTGCTGTCATATTCCTGACAGCGTTCACTGACCGCCCCCACAACATAAACCTGGACATCTGTCTTTTAGTCACCGGCATCGCTGCTTGTAAGTTTTTCTTTTCACTTATTTGTAGAATCTTCACATTGCTAGAACTTTATGTAGGTATAACATTAGCTGCATTTACATATTATTACAGTTTATTCGTTGAGTCGATCAAAATAGTAGTTTGCAGTATTTAACGAACTGTATACGATTCTTATGGTAATATTCACTCAGTACATTAGCCAACTTAAAAAAAAAACGCTCTTTAAAAATGAACAATCGTCTTCAGATTTGAAATAGCATATATTTATATATCTTTATAATGTATCCATTAAGCCCAACAAAATATATGTTTGAAAGTATTGAACGAAATGTATAGTATTACTGATGGCAATAATTACTCAGTAATTTAGCATCCGTAAATAACGCTATTTAAAAAATCGCCATGCGGTATAAAATAGTCATGTTCGTATTCTCTTCTAAGCCATCGGCTTCGTCTTCACCATCAAAATTTTATTGGGCTAGAGTGGTTAAAAATGTAGGGCTTATAACGGGGTTCAAAGGGTTAGCAATGAAATAGTGCGGACCCCTTGGCTGTAGAGGAGAGTAAGTAGTAGATCGATACGCTGAGTTTTATTAGCCATCTTCTCCCCAACCCGCCCATGTTTCTTATATTTTATTCATTCTTATTTTTCACTGATGATCGCAGATCCCGTAGAGTATTTTCACAATTTTAGCAGACCAAATAAAATAGTAATAATTTTTTAATACACTAACACAATCATTAATTGAGTGGAAAATTAACTATGCATTATTTTAACAATATAAAGCAAATTGACAACGGAGTAGGCGGGGAAGGGGGAGTTGGTTTGTGGGATGATGGTAAACACGGGGGGGGGGGGGGGGGTTGGTTGGTGTGTGGGATGGTGGGGAAAAACGGGGCTGTGGTAAACCATGGGGGTGAATATATTTCAGGGCGTCGTGCAGCCGCTCGATTGGTAGAGTGTTTGGCTGCTAACCCCATGGTCTCGAGTTCGCATCTTGGTTCAGATTTGGGACAGTACGACGTCCCTGAGGCCACTCAGCTCTGATGGGTAGCAGACTTAGTGGGTAAAGTAACGGCGGCTTGACACAATGCTGACCACATTATTCCTCCATATGCCTAGGTCAAGAAACATGAACTGTACTTTCGATATGATCGCTAGGTCAAAACTTTACTTTACTTTACTTTACTACTCAAGTGAACGCTAGACAGTTAATGTTACAGTCTGTCCTTCATTAAACTTTCTAATTGAAAATGTATTAATAGTTGACTCCATTTTTCTAGGTTTGGCCACGTCATCCTGTTGTTGTATTTATGTCTTGACGCTACCACGGGAAGCTGTTCTAGAATATTCCTTCTATCTGTCGACATTTGGTGGGGGTGTCAGCCTAGTGGGAGGGGTCTCTGGCTGCATCATCAGCAGGAGGTGTAACAACAGCAAGAGTTGAATGTTGGACTAGATAGAGGGTGTAACATAACAAGATTTGAATGTTGGACTAGGCAGGGGGTGTAACATAACAAGATTTGAATGTTGGACTAGACAGGGGGTATAACAGCAGCAAGATCTGAATGTTGGACTAGACAGGGGGTATAACAGCAGCAACATCTGAATGTTGGATTAGGCATGGGTTGTATTAACAGCAAGAATGTTGGACTACACAGGGCAAGAATGTTGGACTACACAAGGGGTGTAACTACAGTAAGATCTTAATGCGTTTGTTGAACATTTGGCTGGACAATGTTTGATTGTTTACATTTTAGCAGGCGTTTGTTGGATATTAAGCATTAAAATACTTGAGTGTATACATTATAATACGCATGATAATTTATAAGTATGCGTGTGTGACCACATACTTTAGACTTTGTAATAATGCGTGTCATGTGTTCTAATAGATCACAATAAATTTGATTGGTTGAGAAAGAATTAAAAACGCCGGGATTCTATTTCACTTTGTTTAATGACTTAAAACATAACAGTAATTTGTTGGCAGTAGATCCATATGTTGTATGCCACTGTATAACATTTTAGCTTAACATATGTAATAAATAAGGATGATTTTCAAATATGTTTGCTTATACAATATTTGCACAACGTAATGTGATTATGGTACATTACATTAAAAATCATTTAAATTTAAGATGTGGTTTTGTAATTTATATAATTTCAAGGTTTTGTTTGTATGATTGAACAAATGCTCCAAGACATTGCTACATTTTCCATGTGATGGTTGACACGTTAGAATACATATGTTTTGAAATGTGGTGTAATATGTGGTGTAATATGTGATGTAACCCAAAATATGACTGCGTATTATTGAAAACGATGTGGTTTATTGTTATTGTATTGAAAATCTTTGCATTTCAGATTTCCATAAAGAAATATATTAAACATAAATAAATAAAAAATGGCTAAAAATGCATTTTTTTTTGCTTATGAGAATTACTACACAATTTATTTACTTCGTTTGCAAGCGCTATTAAAGAATATTATCAGCTCTTTCAAGAGAAATACTAGGTTTGATTATCAAAGCAGTTCAGTTTCTAAAGCATAAATAAAGTGATAGTGGTTTAATTCCACGGACTGTGTTATTCACACCTAGTTAACATTTTGGGCTAAACAAATAAATAACTTCAACTTTTTATCAGTTCAAAATTTTCTCTCCGAAGTATTTCTGTCATTTTTTTTTCGATTCGTTCCTTATCGCCATATCAACATTTTGTTTGGCTTGTGACGGATGTGTTTTGTCGAGTGTTGGGTGCTGTAATCTGCAACCAATCGTACCTCTGGTTTTAGATTTGTCGGGGTTTGTAATACTTCATACGTCACTTCCGGCTTCAACTAACGGGGGGACTTTGTCGTGAAAAAAGGGTGACACACAGCGACACGACCCCCCTAACGCCTCACACACACCCATTCATCCCCACATACACACACATCATCCTACCCCACATACATACAGATATCACTAATACTGAGTCAACATGGGCTCGATAGAATCTGTTTTGCTCATATTTGATCAAGGACGGCAACCTACTTTTGCTTCAGAGAATTGCAGAGTTCCGTAGCCTACTTCCAATACACTTAGCATTTGTTATCAATCGGTATTCATTCTATACAAAATACTAAACGGTCAGCCTCGAAACTCTAAACAGTAAGTTGTCACAATTTATTTGGTTCTTTTAATAAATTTTAAGCCAGATTTGTAAAGTAGGATGCCATATAGTTCAAGAATAAACTAATTAAAATACAATGTAGTCCTGTATTGATTTACATATTTTTAATCAGTACCTCCATAATTAAATTGTAAAGATAAGGTATAGTCGAACTAAAATTGCAGAACTTAATATTTTAACGAACATAGTGTGCTGCCAAAAGCAACCTATTTGACAGGACATAATGCATTTTGACACCAAAAGAAACATAATGAGGATACAATCGAGGATCTTTTGACATGAGTAACAAACTACTGTTTAGTGTTATAGCATCGATCAAGTTAAAATCTCATCTTGTACTAATTAAATCTAGCAAACGTAAAGTTTTAAACCTAGTTTCGAAAAAGAGAAACGTTAATACAAAAATCTAATAATATTAAAAGCACTAATGAAATAACATTGTTACTTTAGCTAAATAAATGCATCCGTTATTAAAATGTGTAGAAAATAGTGTTAAACAATTAATGAACGAAAGAAGAACGGTACATGTTTAACATCCAAACCACTACATAGGCCATGCCACTTGACCCAAATATGAACCGGAAGCTGCTTATCGGCCCTAGTATCATAGCCGTGGGTCTGGTCTTTCACACCATTGGTCAAGCTACGCCTTACTGGACAAGTGTAACACTTCCTGTCATGGATATCACACAGAACATCGGGTTGTGGGAGGTCTGTGTTCCTAAAGGTTGTGTAAGGATACCCATAGACAGTCCAGGTAAGCAAACATACAGTCTTTTAACTTTTAACTGTTGTCTTTGTTCGTTATCAAAGCAGTGGCGTAGCTAGGGGGAGGGCGGGTGGGGCGGCAACCCTGTGCGCCAAAAGGGGAATACATGTTTTTAAAAGTTGGGGTATTAAATTTATTAAGCCTAAGTTAATAGAATAAACTTCTATAAGGCTTGACTGTACTTTACGCACTGTTTTAATTGGGTGGCACCAAAATCAAAACTGGTTTTGGATAGTGACTGATTAAAAGCGCCACCAACTTATCCAACTATGGGGGAGGGGGCGCTTTTTCACCAACTCGATTAATAACCACATATATAAAACAACGGGGGGTGGAGTGGGGGTGTGTAAAATTGATAGTTGCCCAGAATGGGTTCCTACGCCTCTGTATCAAAGTTCAATATTTACCGCCATTGAGTGAAAATACAGAAGACATGGCAGAGAGGCATTGATAGTGCATACAAAAACAACTGAAAGCTAAAACAACATGCCAGAAAAAAAGGGGGGATGGGTAGGGGCTGATAAGGTTAATAAAGCTTTCAGACGAACGCTACTACAGAAGTCAAAATATCTTAGACTAGCTAGTTAGCTGCAAAAACATTATGAACTTCTGGGTATAATCTTTCAGTCAAGCTGGGGTTTGTATGGAGAGGTGGTGGTGGCGGGGGGGGGGGGGGGGGGGGGGGTTATGCAGTTTGCGTATGCTAATTTGAATTATATGCGTGCTTTAGGCTATCGAAGAGTTTATATAAAAATACTAATTATACAAGAGAAGTCGAGTTCGAATCCGGATCGATCCAAGTCAGTTGAACGTCACTTGGTCAACCCAGCTCTGATGAGTACCGAATTCATGTTAAGGAAAGTAAAGGCGACTAGGCAAGGTGCTGACCACACTTTCTCTTTACATGCCGAGGTCCCAGAAACATGAACTCTACTTCATCTGCCAATGGATCGCTACGCCTAAAGAGAAATCCTTACTTTTTACTTTATGAAAGAGACTGGCATTTTATAGCTGGCGCATTTGAACTACCTCTGTATAAGTTTCCACAAACACCGTTTACAGACCTGACCCCTAGCTACCACGCCAGCAGAGCTTTCGCCATCATGGGAGTTTTGTCCGGAGCTGCAGCGGTTCTCGCAATATTTCTCTACGTGTTTCAAGCCAAGCTCATCTACGCCACCGTCTCGTCAGCTTTGGGGGCCCTGTCTGGTACGTATTTGCTGTAAAAGTAGTTGGTCAAGGCGGGTATAGCTTTGATGTTGTATGATATCTACATTACATTAAACCAAAAACATTGCTAAAGAGTAAAATAGGCCTAACCTTGATGTCAATGTCGCTGATCAAGGCGGTTATAGCGTTGATGTTGTATATCTACATTACATTAAGAGTCATTAAACCAAAAACATTGCTAAGGAGTAAAAAAAATTTTTAATAATATAACACAATTATACCAAATATAGCTCTAATGTAATCTAATATATAAGCTCAATTCTGTATGTAAAAATAAGTTTGTTTGTCGTTGACATACTTCCATGGATTTAAGTGTTAGACTATTACCGTGCTCATAGTCTAAATTTATGAGTTAAAAAATTACTATTGAAAGTGTTGGGAAATAATTTCATTTTTCAAACTGATAGTAATAATTGTCGGCATGTTCAATAAACACATTTTTTAAAAAATAACAAAAATTCTAATTATGTCTGAAAATTATTTATATTTAGTCCTTTAGCACTTACTTCCCTTTGATAAATTAGGGAAACACAATTACTTCCCTTTATAAAACATTGCATTAGTGGAAAAGAATTTATTTTTTATTACTTTGTTTTGGTGTTGGGAAAAAAATAATTACATAATTAGTGGGGATTGATCAAGTGCAAATGTTGTAGGTATTTTACGAATAAGCTTGGAGTATTATAATTGTTCATTTGGTTTGGTTTGGCACCTACGTTCGTTTAAGTGAGTGCAAAAGACTATGAATAGGTTGGGGTACTATAGTCGATTATTAAGCTGAAACAGGCGATTCTGCCCCGGGCTAGACTGTGAGCACTTTTCTTTTATGTTCGCGTTAGTGTTTTCTTTGTGTTTAGGTTGGGTTTGCGTTAGTGGTTGCGTTTTGATTTGGTTCGTTTTTGTTCTTTCTTTTTTTCGTTTTTGTTTGTTTTTTTCTTTGGGTTTGTGTTTGTGTTTGTATTTGTGTTCGTGGTTGGTTTTGCGTTTGGATTTGGTTTGTTTTCGTTTGCTTTTTAGTTTGTGTTTTTTTTCTTTGGCTTTGTGTTTGTGGTTGGTTTTGCGTTTGGATTTGGTTTGTTTTCGTTTGCTTTTTCGTTTTTTTTTTTCCTTTGTGTTCGTATTGGTGTTTGTGGTTGTGGTTGGCTTTGTTGTTAGGTTTTTGTTTTCGTTTGCTTTTTTTTTTTTTCTGTGTGTTTGTATTGGTGTTTGTGATTGTGGTTGGGTTTGTTGTTAGGTTTTTGTTTTCGTTTGTATTTGTAATTGTGTTAGCGTTATGTTTGCATTTTGTTGTTTTGGTTGGTTGTGGTTTGGGTGGGCAATGCCAGGTTTATGATGATTACTAAACACACAGATAATGGTCTTAAACAGAAAGGTTTTTCACAGAAGCCAGAGCAGGGCCTGGCCGGGACGGCTAGTATTATTTAATTATGAAAAATGCGTTTATTTTCAACAAAAAGTAATTTTTAAAAAAAAAAAAGAAAAAAAAATAACCCTAAAATTACCCGTAGTTTTAGTAGTGCTGAGTGATTCGCATCAATTCTTATATTATTTTGTTTCCTATTTCAGGTTTTTTGATCGCTGTGTGTATAATTGTGTGGGCCGCTTACATAAGTGATAAATGTGAGGATATATCCTATTCGCACGGCTTCTCATACGCCTTCAGCTGTGTGGGGTGTATTTTGTCCGTTGCTGGCAGTATAGTGGCACATTTTTCCAACAGACGCCATCATAATTTGGGATATCAGGCCATAGGGTCAAGCTAAGGGGGCCTATTACAACTGTATTCTCGGCATTGTATTAAGCTTGTGTTGCTATGCCATCACTGTACTATCATTGTTATAATTATAACATTTTAGACACGTTTTCTATTTAGCTAGCTTTATCTTTATTTAAGGTTACATGTAGGTTATCAATTAAATTCAGGGGGCGGCATGATCGAGTCGGTAAAGCTCATGGTTGCTAAACCGAAAAGTCTCGAGTTCGAACCCTCGGGCAGATGAGGCTCGTTAGCTGGTGACAGCCACTCTTCTAGGAGAGACAACTCCAAAATTAAACAACTGCTGCCTTGTAGTTTGTTCTTGGTTGGACAAAGGCTATGGAAGCAAATCCAAAAAGAAAAGCAGGCTGAAATCGGAGTCAATGGCCTCAATGGCGCATAACCAGTTGACACGTAACGCTTAATTGTGTTGGAGGCGTGGTCGAGTCGGCAAAAAGCTCATGTTTGATAAATTCGAACAAAGTCTCGAGTTCAAACCCACTGGCAGATAAATCTCGATCCCCTTCAACACTAATAATTAAGAACGAAGAAGAAGAAGAAAGAATTAAATTCAGCCATTGAATTATTGTTTCCGTCTAAATACATTCGTGTCTGTATGACGTCCCTGAGTTGGCCTAGCTCTGAAAGGTTCCTGACTTATGCTAGGGAAAGTAAGGGCGTAATGGCATAGTGCTGACCACTCTATCCCTTCATATGCCGAGGTCAATGAAACAGTTGTACTCTACTTCCTCTGCACCATGGAATATTAGGTTCGAAGGTTTTTATTAAACATTATATTCCGCTATGTAAATGCTGCTGACCTGTTATTTAGATACACAAAATACATCTATCTATCTATCTATATACTACTAAGACTCAAGTTTGTTTTTATGTTTGAATATTTTTTTTTGTTTGTCTGTTTGGCTACAGGTGAGAATCTGCACTATGTGTAGAGCTATACAAAACGTAACTAGGTAGAGAACAATGTTCCTTTTGACTAAACTGTTAATCACAAATTAATTTAAAGCCTTAAATTAATGTATTGATATATTCATTAGTAGATTAACCACACTAATTATAAAATTTCAGAACAATGACTTTACTTATAGTGACGTCACATAATTTATTTACTTTTTATAACAATATAGGCTGCTTCTATCGAAGATTTTGGTGCCCATTCAAAAGTGCTACTTTAAATTTATTTTACATTATAGCGAAGCAATAACATACAGCTAATATATATATATATATATATATATATATATATATATATATATATATATATATATATATATATATATATATATATATAGGTGTGTGTGTGTCGGCCTAAATAGGCCTTAATTTAAATAAATGCCGCATATGCGTACATGTATGTGTATAAGCTTTAATCACTGCTGACTTAATAGTAACGATTGTATAAATAGTTCTTGAGTTTAAATCTTAATCCTTTAGGTTGTCTCTGATTTAAATTCAAAGCAGCTTTAACCGGTTATGGACAGTAAAAGCTCTTTGACATTATGCTATCCGTACAATTTATTTATATGGAGAGGTAACAAAACCAGGTGAAATCTACTTCAGCACCATATTCTTAAAAACTATTTTTAGTTCGCCAGTAAAAGTTAATTATTAAATTAAGGTAGCAATTATTAGTTTCAGCATATACCAGCACACACAATCAGTGCTGAAAAAAATAAACATAACAAAGTTTATGATTTACTTTTTTCAATTACCATTATACTATACATTCAGAACTAATATAAAAAAAATAGTTGTTCAACATGTATCCTTGGATTATTTGATCTAATAGGTATATGTAGGCGATTTTCAGTCAAGCCTGACCACTGTTAAAGAATGCTGTAAATTAAGTCTTCAGAACTAGAGGATTCATTGATATGAGCAGTTTTTAAATGAAACTTCATCTTGCATAATATTGAAACCGAAATGGTTTAATTATGTATTGCCATAAAACACTAATGCTTAAGCATTTCATATTTTTAAATAAACCGGGAGTGATCTCCCCTAAACTTTCACGAATATTCTTATACGAGAAAAATGGCCCGTTGAGGAAGGATACAACGGGCGCTAGGTTGATAGTGCTGTCTATTTTCTCGGTACTTTAATTTATACAAAATATAGTCATAGGCATATCCCTAAACCATGCACCTAATCTCATTCATGACAAAAGTCGCATTTAGAGTTTCTTTCAGGCAACTCTTCTTGGGAGAATGAGGGCTTCGCCCCCCCCCCCCCCCGTCCCCCGTCCCCCCCCCCCCCTCCCTACACACACACTCCAAAACATGTCTACCGTCCCATTCAACGAAATATAATTATATACTTTTTCCAGTGTCCGCCCCCTCCCAGAAAATTCTACCCCCGCCCCCGAAAATTTCATGTACCCCCACCCCTCTTCGGAGAGGAAAAAGTCTGAAAGAAACACTAGTGTCGCGCTTAGCCACTACCCGAAGAATTGCATTAAAGAAATTGCAAGAAAACCACTTTTAGATTAGACACATTAATTAGGCGGTAATTTTATTATAGAGTATCGATGAAGAAATTTCTTTTGAGTTAGGGAGGGGGGGGGGGGGGCTCAGACGTTCTTACGCGGGGGTGGGGCTTCGCCCCTACCCGAAGAATTGTATGAAAGAAACTCTTCACGCAGACCACTTAGATTAGACAAAATTGCCTTTTTATTCAATGTTTACTTGATAATCAATGACGTCATATTACTGTGTGCACTCTCCGGCTTGAGATACTGTGCTAAATGTGGCGACGTCATAATTCGTTTTTCGAATTACTATGCAGGTTTGTAATTTGCTTGTGTTTTCTCTAGAGCGTTCTTGTCAGACAGAGCGTTCTTGTCAGATACACAGACAGCGAAACTATTAGTATTAACAAGAAAAATGGCCCGTTGAGGAAGGGTACAACGGGCGCTAGGCTGATAGTGCTGTCACTTTTCTCTAAACTAAAACCAACCGAACCCCCCCCCTCCCCCACACACCACCCCCTCCCCCCCAAAAAAAACATGTCTACCGTCCCATTCAACGAAATATAATTATATACTTTTTCCAGTGTAAGCCCCCTCCCAGAAAATTCTACACCCGCCCCCGAAAATTTCAAGTACCCCCACCCCTCTCCGGGGAGGAAAAAGTCTAAATTAAAACCACCCCCCACTCACCCCCCCCCCCCACCCCCCCCCCTCAAAAAACATGTCTACCGTCCCATTCAAGGAAATATAATTATATACTTTTTCCAGTGTCCGCCCCCTCCCCGAAAATTCTACCCCCGCCACCGAAAATTTCAAGTACCCCCCACCCCTCTCCGGGGAGGAAAAAGTCTAAATTTAAACCACCCCCCCCCCACTCACCCCCCCCCCCCCACACACACACACCACACCACACCCCCCCCCCACCCCCACCCCCCCCCCCCCCTAAAAAAACATGTCTACCGTCCCATTCAACGAAATATAATTATATACTTTTTCCAGTGTCCGCCCCCTCCCCGAAAATGCTACACCCGCCCCCGAAAATTTCAAGTACCCCCACCCCTCTCCGGGGAGGAAAAAGTCTGAAAGAAACACTGGTGTCGCGCTTAGCCACTACCCAAAGAATTGCATTAAAGAAATTGCAAGAAAACCACTTTTTAGATTAGACACATTAATTAGGCGGTAATTTTATTATAGAGTATCGATGAAGAAATTTCTTTTGAGTTGGGGAGGGGGGGGGGGGGGCTCAGACGTTCTTACGCGGGGGGTGGGGCTTCGCCCCTAACCGAAGAATTGTATGCAAGAAACTCTTCACGCAAACCATTTAGATTAGGCAAAATTTCCTTTTTAATTCAATGTTTACTCGAGAATCAATGACGTCATAATACTGTGTGCACACTGTGTGCTTGAGATTATTTTCTACTCTATGCTAAATGTGACCGCGTCATACTTCGTTTTTCGAATTACTGTGCATGTTTTTATTTTGCTTGTGTTTTCTCTAGAGCGTTCTTGTCAGACAGAGCGTTCTTGTCAGATAGATAGATACATACATACACAGACAGCGAAACTATTAGTATAGACGAGAAAAATGGCCCGTTGAGGAAGGATACAACGGGCGCTAGGCTGATAGTGCTGTCTCTTTTCTCTAAACTAAAACCACCCCCCCCCCCACACACACCACCCCCACCCCCACCCCCCAAAAAAAAACATGTCTACCGTCCCATTCAACGAAATATAATTATATACTTTTTCCAGTGTCCGCCCCCTCCCAGAAAATTCTACCCCCGCCCCCGAAAATTTCAAGAACCCCCACCCCTCTCCGGGTAGGAAACAGTCTAAACTAAAACCACCCCACCCCCCACACATACCACCCCCCACCCCCCCCCCCCCCCACACACACACACCACCCCCCCACCCCCACCCCCCAAAAAAAAACATGTCTACCGTCCGATTCAACGAAATATAATTATATACTTTTTCCAGTGTCCACCCCCTCCCCGAAAATTCTACCCCCGCCACCGAAAATTTCAAGTACCCCCACCCCTCTCCGGGGAGGAAAAAGTCTAAACTAAAACCACCCCACCCCCAACACACACCACCCCCACCCCACCCCCCCCCACCCCCACCCCCAAAAAAACATGTCTACCGTCCGATTCAACGAAATATAATTATATACTTTTTCCAGTGTCCGCCCCCTCCCCGAAAATTCTACCCCCGCCCCCGAAAATTTCAAGTACCCCCACCCCTCTCCGGGGAGGAAAAAGTCTGAAAGAAACACTGGTGTCGCGCTTAGCCACTACGCGAAGAATTGCATTAAAGAAATTGCGAGAAAACCACTTTTTAGATTAGACACATTAATTAGGTGGTAATTTTATTATAGAGTATCGATGAGGAAACCACCCCACCCCACCCCCCCCCACACACACACCTCCACCCCCACACACCACCCACCCCCACCCCCACACACACCACCCCCACCCCCACCCCCCACACACCACCCCCCACCCCCCCCCCCCACCCACCCCCACACCCCACCCCCCCACTCCCAAAAAAATCATGTGACCGTCCCATTCAACGAAATATAATTATATACTTTTTCCAGTGTCCGCCCCCCTTCCCGAAAATTCTACCCCCGCCCCCGAAAATTTCAATTACCCCCACCCCTCTCCGGGGAGGAAAAAGTCTGAAAGAAACACTGGTGTCGCGCTTAGCCACTACCCGAAGAATTGCATTAAAGAAATTGCAAGAAAACCACTTTTTAGATTAGACACATTAATTAGGCGGTAATTTTATTATAGAGTATCGATGAAGAAATTTCTTTTGAGTTGGGGAGGGGGGGGGTCTCAGACGTTCTTACGCGGGGGGTGGGGCTTCGCCCCTACCCGAAGAATTGTATGCAAGAAACTCTTCACGCAAACCATTTAGATTGGACAACATTTCCTTTTTATTCAATGTTTACGCGATAATCAATGACGTCATTATATTACTGTGTGCACTTCCGCCTTGAGATTATTTCCAACTCAATGCTAAATGTGTCGACGTCATACTTCGTTTTTCGAATTACTATGCAGTTTTTTAATTTGCTTATGTTTTCTCTAGAGCGTTCTTGTCAGACAGAATTTTCGCTTATGTTTTCTCTAGAGCGTTCTTGTCAGACAGATAGATAGATAGATAGATACACAGACAGCGAAACTATTTATTACGAGAAAAATGGCCCGTTGAGGAAGGATACACCGGGCGCTAGGTTGATAGTGCTGTCTATTTTCTCTAAACTAAAACCACCCCAACCCCCCCCCACACACCACCCCCCACCCCCCCCCCCCCCACACACACCACCCCCCCCCCACCACACACACACCCCCCCCCACCCCCCACCCACCCCCCTAAAAAAACATGTCTACCTTCCCATTCAACGAAATATAATTATATACTTTTTCCAGTGTCCGCCCCCTCCCCGAAAATTCTACACCCGCCCCCGAAAATTTCAAGTACCCCCACCCCTCTCCTTGGAGGAAAAAGTCTGAAAGAAACACTGGTGTCGCGCTTAGCCACTACGCGAAGAATTGCATTAAAGAAATTGCGAGAAAACCACTTTTTAGATTAGACACATTAATTAGGCGGTAATTTTATTATAGAGTATCGATGAAGAAATTTCTCTTGAGTTGGGGAAAGGGGGGGGGGGGGGGGGGGGGGCTCAGACGTTCTTACGCGTGGGGTGGGGCTTCGCCCCTACCCGAAGAATTGGATGCAAGAAACTCTTCACGCAAACCATTTAGATTAGACAACATTTCCTTTTTATTCAATGTTTACGCGATAATCAATGACGTCATTATATTACTGTGTGCACTTTCCGGCTTGAGATTATTTTCTACTATATGACGTCATACTTCGTTTTCGTTTCACTGTGAGAGTTTTTAAATTCCTTGTGTTTTCTCTAGAGCGTTCTTGTCAGACAGATAGATAGATAGATAGATACACAGATACACAGACAGCGAAACTATTATTATAGATAGATTAATGGCAACTCGGGATATAGACAATATTTTAAATCCATTTTTAATTGCTTAAACTTTTTAAAATAGAATAGAATCTCGTAGAAAAAAAAATTGCACAACAACTAAGCAGATCTACAAATTTGATATAATACATATATATGTAATTTCATCAATCTAGCTGTAACGGTACTCAAGTTATCGTGTTCACACACACACACGCACACAAACACAAGCACACAAACACACACATACAAACACACACACACACATGGACAAGATTGCAAAACTTCGAGATTTACAGAAATCTCTTTTTTTCTTTTTTTGCCCGATTACAATACTTTCTCTATACTTCGTATACGAGAAAAAAAACCAGACATTTATTAAAAATTATAAATTAATAAAAATACTGCTAAAATGCAATGTTTTTTCCTTGTGAGTACTATAACACAAATCTGATAATCAACAGAGAATCCAGTTTCTAAAGCATAAACAAAGAGATTGTGGTTTAATTCCATGAATTGTGCAATTTACATTCCCGTTATTATTTTGGGGTAAACGAATAAAATACTTCAACTTTTTATTGTCTCAAAATTTTTTTTTCGAAGTATTTTTGTCATTTATTTTTCAATTCGTTCATTATCGCCATATCACCATTTTGTTTGGCCTGTGACGGATGTGTTTAGTCGAGCGTTGGGTGCTGTTATCTGCAACGAATCGTACCGCTGGTTTCAGATTTGTCGGGGTTTGTCTTCGTTCGTACATGACTAACTGATGACTTCAGCCAACGGGGGGGGGGGGGGGGGGTGGAATTAGTCGTGAAGAAATGGTAACACGACTGTTTTACTCCCACACACCCACCTACCCCCACTTACTCCCACACACCCACCTAACCCCACTTACGCACACACATCACTAACACTGACAGTTAACATGGGCTACATTTAATATGTTCCTTGCATCATTATCTCCCAAGGACAGCAACCCACTTTGGTTTCTGAAAATTGCAGTGCCTTAGCATACTTTCAATACATTTAGCAGCGGTTATCATTCGGTATTCATTCTATACAGAAAAATAAACAGTCCGACTCGAAACTAAAAAGTAAGTTGTCACAATTTGTTTTAAATTAAACTTTAAACCAGATATTATTATCTAAAGTGGGATTTTATATAGTTCATGATTTTAAATTTTTTTAGATAATGTCGGCCTATATTGGTTTGAATATTTTTAATTCAGTACCTTCATAATAGGGCTGGTAAGTAGGTCACCAAACAGCTCTATGGCTCATTTAGGTTTTATTGAGCCATGGAACTGGTCAGTGACCCTCTTACCAGCCCTATTAAATTGTCAAAATAAGACTACGTTTTATTTGGTATAGTCGAGCTATGTTGCATAACTTAATATTTTAACGCACATAGTGCGCTGTCAAAAGTAACCTATTTGACAGAACATAATGCATTTTGATACCAATAAAACATAATTAATGCAGATATTATCGAGGCCCATTTGACATGCAAACGGACTACTGTTATTCTGTATAGTGCTAAGGCATCGATCAAGTTCAAATCTCATTTTGTAGTATTTAAATCTAGTAAACGTAAAGTTTTAAACCCCGTTTAAAAACAGGTTCAAATCACTTTTTTTTCAAATGGTTGTCTAGGTAACGTTACTATAAAAAATGTAAAAATATTAAAAGCCCTAAAAGAAATGAAGTACCGTAGTTTATTTAGCTAAGTAAATAGGCCTACATGTTAAAATGTGTAGAAAATATTGTTTAACAATTGATGAAAGTAAGTAGAATGTGTAGAAAATATTGTTTAACAATTGATGATTGAAAGTAAGAAGAATGTGTAGAAAATATTGTTTAACAATTGATGAAAGTAAGTAGAATGTGTAGAAAATATTGTTTAACAATTGATGAAAGTAAGTAGAATGTGTAGAAAATATTGTTTAACAATTGATGAAAGTAAGTAGAATGTGTAGAAAATATTGTTTAACAATTGATGAAAGTAAGTAGAATGTGTAGAAAATATTGTTTAACAATTGATGATTGAAAGTACGTAGAATGTGTAGAAAATATTGTTTAACAATTAATGATTGAAAGTAAAAAGAATGTGTAGAAAATATTGTTTAACAATTGATGAAAGTAAGTAGAATGTGTAGAAAATATTGTTTAACAATTGATGAAAGTAAGTAGAATGTGTAGAAAATATTGTTTAACAATTGATGAAAGTAAGTAGAATGTGTAGAAAATATTGTTTAACAATTGATGAAAGTAAGTAGAATGTGTAGAAAATATTGTTTAACAATTGATGAAAGTAAGTAGAATGTGTAGAAAATATTGTTTAACAATTGATGAAAGTAAGTAGAATGTGTAGAAAATATTGTTTAACAATTGATGATTGAAAGTACGTAGAATGTGTAGAAAATATTGTTTAACAATTAATGATTGAAAGTAAAAAGAATGTGTAGAAAATATTGTTTAACAATTGATGAAAGTAAGTAGAATGTGTAGAAAATATTGTTTAACAATTGATGAAAGTAAGTAGAATGTGTAGAAAATATTGTTTAACAATTGATGAAAGTAAGTAGAATGTGTAGAAAATATTGTTTAACAATTGATGAAAGTAAGTAGAATGTGTAGAAAATATTGTTTAACAATTGATGAAAGTAAGTAGAATGTGTAGAAAATATTGTTTAACAATTGATGAAAATAAGTAGAATGTGTAGAAAATATTGTTTAACAATTGATGAAAGTAAGTAGAATGGTACATGTATAACACAGGAAATGCCACTTGACCCAAATTTGAACCGGAAGCTGCTTATCGGCCCTTGTATCATAGCCGTGGGTCTGGTCTTTCACACCATTGGTCAAGCTACGCCTTACTGGACAAGTGTAACACTTCCTGGCTTCGATTTCACACATAACCTCGGGTTGTGGGAGGTCTGTGTTCCTAAAGGTTGTGTAAGGATACACGACATGGACAGTAAGCAAACTTTGTATACAGTCTTTTAGCTGTTGTCTTTGTTCGTTATCAAAGTTCAATAGTTACCAACATCGAGTATAAATACAGAAGAAATGGTAGAGAGACATTTAGAGTGTAAACAACTAAAAGCTTGCCAGAAAAGGGGGGAAGGGGAATAAGGGGTGCTAATAAGGTTAATAAAGCGTTAAGATGAACGCAATGACCGAAGTCAAAATATCTTAGACTAGCCAGTTAGCTGCAAAAACACTATGTACTTCTGGGTATAATCTTTCAGTCGAGTTGGGGTTTGTATGGAGAGGGGGTGGTTGTAGCGGGGTGGGGGGGGTGGTTATTTTGCAGTTTGCGTATGCTAAGTTGAATTATATGCGTGCTTTTGGCTATAGAAGTGTTTATAAAAAATACTAATTATGGAAGAGACGTCGAGTTCGAATCCGGGTCAGCAGAACGTCCCAGAGTCCACCCAGCTCCAATGAGTACCTGACTCGTGTTTAGGAAAATAAAGGCGGCTGGGCATAGTGCTGACCAAATCTTCTCTTCATATGTCGATGTCACAGAAACATATGATCTCTACCTTACCTGCCAATGGGTTGCAATGTCTTTATAGAATTTCTTACTTTTTACGTAACAGTAGAGACTTGCGTTTTATAGATGGCGCTTTTGTCCTTCTTCTGTATAAATTTCTACATCCATTGTTTACAGTCTTGTCCCGTACCTACCATGTCTGCCGAGCTTTCGCCATCATGGGAGTTCTGTCCGGTGCTGCAGCGGTTCTCGCGATATTTCTCTACTTGTTTCAAGCCAAGCTCATCTACGCCACCGTCTCGAAAGATTTAGGAGGCCTGTCGGGTACGTATGTTGACCAATGCTGTATAACGTTGACATTGTATTATATCTACATTACATTAAACCATTGTTTGTTTTAATAATCTTACAGAATTATACCAAATATAGCTCCAATTTAGTAATATTTAATTATGAAAAAAGCGTCTCTTTTCTATAAAAAAGAAACAGAAAAATATATAAGTAAAAACCATGAAATGACCCGTAGTTTTAGTAAGGCTGTTATTCGCATCAATTCTTATATTATTTTGTTTCCTATTTCAGGTTTGTTGATCGCTATGTGTGTGATTTTATGGGCTGCTTACAAACATAATCACTGTGAGGATAAATCGTGTTCGTACGATTTCTCTTTCGCCTTCAGCTGCGTGGGGTGTATTTTGTCTATTGCTGGCAGTATAGTGGCACATTTTTCCAACAGACGCCATCGCGCTCTGGAATATCAGGCCGTAGAATTAACTAATGGTGTTGATATCACAACTGTATCCACATGGATTATCGGGCTGTAGTCTCAACTAATGGTGCTGATATCACAGCTGTATCCACGGCATTGAATTAAGCTTGTAGTTATTTGTTATTATGCGATATATGTGCGGCTCAAGCATTGTTATCATTATAAAATTTTAGCCACATTTTCTATTTAGCTAGCTGTATATTTATCATAGGCTATATTTAAGTTATCTATATTATTCAGCTATTAAATTATTGTTTCAATCTAAATACATGCAACTAACTAGAGTGCCATGTTTGAAAAATAAATATATTAAAACATTTACTCGATCTAAATTGAATAGCTGCTAAATGTGCAATCTATATTCTTCTGAGACTGCCAAAACAAAATTGCATGTGGTATCTAGACATATTGCCATGTCTTGCATGAACAATCAATAATAAATTATCAAATAAAGACGATTTAGTTTATAACACATAATTGGAGAAAAAAAAACTGGTTTAATTTAATTAATGAATGACGCCACTCAAATGCTGGTTAATATTTTTGGGTCGGAAGAAATACAACTAAATAGTGGGATATTAAAAATATTTAATTTAATGTTTCAATTCGTATCTTATCGCCGTGTCAACATTTTACGTGACTCGTGTCAGCTGAACCTAGAGTGCTAGATTCTGTAACATCAAACCAGTGGCATAGATGGCTATAGTCTGACCAGGAATGTGTTTGCTTTCACATGACTCACAGCAACAACCAATGGATTCAAATTCTCGCCAGGAATTAGACACACATACATTCAGACTCATATATTTAACAAAGCAGCTCTTTCAAAAATGAGTTCCTTTATTATATGAAATATGGAAAATAAACCTCATACATTGCTTCTACGTTTAGCGATACATTACAACATCATTATCTGCTGTAAATGACTGACATAGATTAAGTATATAGATGATTTCCATAATTGACTGATATAGGTGGCTGACATAGATTACTGACATAATGACTGAGAGATGACTGAGAGATGACTGAGAGATGACCAGAGTTTCTTCCAGGCACCGAAGAAAGTATACCGCCCCCCCCCCCCAATGAAATAGAATTTATATAGAAAATATATAGCCTACTTTTAACAGTGTCCGCCCCCCCCCCCAAATTTTAGTCCGCCCCTCCCCCCCCCCCCAAAAAAAAATTCAAGTGCCCCCCCCCCCCCCGGAGCAAAAATTCTGAAAAGAAACAATGTAGAAGACTGATATAAATTACTTTACTAATAACTGACATAGAGAGCTGACATATGGCGGACACAAATGACTGACATAGACAACTGCCATATTTCACTGACAAAGGTGACTGCATTATATAACTCTCTTGACATCGATTCACTGTGTAAAATCTCCAATGTCGCACATGAAGAGACATAAATCAGAACATTTGACGTCAGCGGCGCGCCTATCTGGAGGGCGCACTAACACCACACAGTTCTCGGTCACACCCCCGCTAGGCTCACCTACACAGAAATAAACACACATTATACATTATAAAACGGATTCAAATTAAATAAATTAAAACGTTTTAAAAAATATATTGTTGTACCACTAGGATACGATAAAAATACAGATGGAAAACAATGTACATACTACGCGTCGTCTAGGTATGGCGTCTTTAATATTTTACTATAACACCCTACCTCCCGTTTGGTCACAAAAAAATGCAGTCCTTTTTTAAAATGACTCTTCAGCGTACATCTCCTCGCTCCTAACTCCGCACCCTCCCCCTACGTCCACACACACACACCCGCCCAAAAAATATTTTACAAAGCAGGTATTTATTTTTAAAACTTTTAGTTCCAGCCTAAATCATTTCACTAAAGCAACATCAGTCTAAATCCCAGAGGCGTAGCGAGGGGGGGGCGGGGGTGCGGACCGGGGTGACACCATTTAGGGGGGGGTGACACCAAGGCAAAAAATAGTAAACTATATAGAGAAAAATTTGAGGGGGGGGGATGCAAATCGAAAGTTCAAGGGAGAGGGTGCAAATCAAAATCGAAAGTTTTTCTCGGGGAAGAGTCGCTACGCCTCTCGGGAAGGGGGGGGGGGTGGCACCATGAAGTGCCGCACCGGTTGATACCCGACCTCGCTACGCCACTGCTAAAACCCCAGTCTAAATTGTTCCCTAACAAAATCTCAATGTTTGTCTATATTATAAGCAAACTTTACCATCGTTGAACAGAGCTGTCCTCTGGCTATAGGGCATGACGTAACCGTCATCCTCCCACACAAGGACGTTCTCCTGCACAAGGTCAGTCAGACCCAGCCACACGAGCTGACCTTGAAACACTGACACATTCACTAGAATGTTCATCTGGCCAAGAGACTTTGGGGTATACACATAACTGTGTTTGGCTGAAAATTGATTTTAACATATAGATTATCTAGGTGTTTTCAAGAGACATAGCTAATTTAAATAGATACTAGCCGTCCCGGCCAGGCCCTGCTCTGGCTTCTGTGAAAAACCTTTCTGTTAAAGTCTATTACCTGTGTGTTTAGTAATCATCATAAACCCGGCATTGCACACCCAAACCAAAACCAAAACAACAAAACGTAAACATAACGCTAAAACAATTACAAATACAAACAAAAACAAAAACCTAACAACTAACCCAACCACAACCACAAACACCAATACGAACACAAAGAAGAAAAAAACAAACGAAAAAGCAAACGAAAACAAACCAAATCCAAATGCAAAACCAACCACAAACCCAAAGAAAAAAACACAAACGAAAAAACAAACGAAAACAAACCAAATACAAACGCAAAACCAACCACAAACACAAATACAAACACAAACGCAAAGAAAATAAAACACAAACGAAAACGAAAAAAGAAAGAACAAAAACGAACCAAATCAAAACGCAACCACTAACGCAAACCCAACCTAAACACAAAGAAAACACTAACGCTAACATAAACGCACAGTGCTCAGAGTCTAGCCCGGGGCGGAATCGCCTGTTTCAGCTTAATAAACGACTATAGTACCCCAACTTATTCATAGTCTTTTGCACTCACTTTAATGAACGTAGGCGCGAAACCGAACACGGGAGGCCCGGGACCCCAAATAGCACCCTGTCTGGGCGCCAGAGGACGCAACATGACGTCACCGCCTGATTGAACTTAGTAAACGACTATAGTACATAACTTATTCATAGTCTTTTGAACTCACGCGAACGTATATACCATAGCGTACACCGGAAGGCCCTGGGCGCCAAATAGCACCCTGTCGGGGTGCCGGAGGACGCCCGGATTTGATTCACTTAAAGACTATAGTAACCTTTCTTACCCATAGTCTATCGCACTGTTAAAAACAAAACTATGCAGCATAGCGCTCACATGATAGCCCAGGGTGCCAAATCGAACCGTGCAAGGGCGCCGGCGGACGCGCCTGTTTCAATTTAGTGAACAAAAATGATAATACTCCAAGCTTATCCGTAAATGGAAAGAAATAAACATATAGGATTTGTAGGACCTGGCTTATTAAATGTTATTGATTTAAAAAAAAAATATTGAACAGTATGTTCAGTGTATAGAATAAATAAAAGGCAGTGTTAAAAATACCTAACGACATTGCACTTAATCAATCCCCGCTAATTATGTAATTATTTTTTTTTCTTAACACCAAAAACAAAGTAATAAAATGAAAATTCTTTCTTCTTAAGAATATTTTATTAAAGGGAAGTAACTGTGCAGTCAATACATTTCCGACACAATTTTAGAAATTTTATAAACGTCGATACACTTTTAAAAAATTTTATGTCGCGTTCATAATTGAAAATTATTCTTCTAAGTAAATAGAATGAAAATTGTTTTTAAAGACTTTCAATGGTAATTTTTTGACTCGTAAATTTAGACTATGAGCACGATAAAAAATCTAACACTTAAATCCATAGAAGTGTCAACGACAAACTTTTTTGCCACACGTTACAGAACTGAGCTTTATATATTAGATTTCTATCGTTTGTTGACATTTGTTTTAAGCCGATTATGAACAGTAAGGAATCCGGTCGTTTTTTCGAATGCCGTTTGCCCGATGGTCGTTTTCCCGAATGGACACTAGCACGAATGCGAAAAACGTCCAAATGGACCCTTGCCCGAATTGGACAAACGTCCAAAAACATGAAACAATTAAAATAGTTTGAAGGCGCTTATTTTATTACAAAAAAAGTATTCATCGTAAAACGTCTGCAGCATATATATCACTTTATCCTCATATATTTTAAACTTCCAATAAATGAGGCTAAGGAAATCTCATGGCTTTATGATATCACTTTATGTTTTAAACGATCTTTGAAGTGAATATAACACGAAGAAACGCTCGATGAACACTTATAATTATTCAGGAATCTAACTAGATAATTGATATCCACAGTTAATAGATCACTAACCTCTACAGGTATCTCTAGCACTGGTGAAGTTAGCCGCTACAGGTGAGATCCACACACACGCGCTAGTATTGTTTAAAGTAATGACCTTGAACCCTGATGCCAGGTCACATGACTGAACCATCTTGTACGTGACGGCAGAAGGCGAGGTATTTGCCGGTAATGTGGGCACCAGCACTGATCCTGAAAAAGTTTCAATAGGTTTGACAATTTTTAACGTTGATATAGCAATGCAGCTGTGGGCGATTACTTAATCTGTTGGTAAACAAAAGTAGGCTGTAATCCCAACACAAATCACCATTACATTGAAGTTCATATTTTATAAGATAAAATTATTTAAATACGAAAATTTAAAAATAAAAAATCACCTCAAAAAAAAGACGATGCATATAGGTTAGCGGGACGGCGTAGCCTAAGACGTTGAGGAATTTACGGCTAACCCGAAAGCCTGGAGTTCGAATCCTGTTTCAAGTCAAAATAATGTCCGTGAGTCCGCCCAGCTCTGATGGGTACCTAACTCATGTTAGGGAAAGTAAAGGCGGCTGGTCAAAGTGCTAACCACACCTCCCCTTCATATACCGAGGTCAAGAAACATTAGAAACTTTACTTTATAGAAGTAAGCATAATAATTGAATTAGCCTAGTATAAAACCCACCTAATGTACAATTCTTGCTGCCGTCGTTGTACAGAAAACTCTGGCACTGTTGTTTAAAGACTAGGCACATCCTGCTACACTCCAAGAGAGTCCGAGTAAAGGAACTGACCAGTGGTAGGAGTGTCACATTTCGATTGGTGACCAGCACAAATTCTGTCTGCGGAGACCCCACTTTGAACAAAAAAGATTAAGAATGAATGTTTTAGTTACTTTCAATAATTCTGTAGATGTTGAAGAAGATAAGATATCTAACTAATTACTATTTAACGTGATAATGTTTAGCTAAATATAAAAACACCCATAAATACATGTATATATATATATATATATATATATATATATATATATATATATATATATATATATATGTATATATATATATATATATATATATATATATACATATATATATATATATATATATATATATATATATATATATATATATATATATATATATATATATATATATATATATATATACATCCATGTACATATATGTATCTGTGTATGTAATTTGTAAATGTTTGCTTATTTTGTACTTACCAATTAATGTCAGCATCATAAAAAATGTTATCAGATTTTTATACATTTTCAAAAGCTAAAATAGTATTATTAACTTTTACAACTACAAAATTAGATTTCAAGCCAATTTACAATAACAAGTTTTTTTTTTTAATTTCAAAATAGCATGTTAACTGTTGCTGGATTTTCGGTTGAATGATTTTCAGATCAAATAAATAGCGGCTATGAACACAGTTTACCATCTCTTAAAATATTCTCTTGAACACCTTGTGACGTACAAATCTATTTAAAATTCAGCGCAACAATGGTAAGTACATAAAGAAATAACGTCTAAAGAAGGCTCGAATACAACTGGAGTGGTTGGTGCAGAAGTACTAATTTAGAAATACTGTTTTAAAAGATTCATGCTAATGACGTTGTGAAATCAATACTGTCTGTGGACGTTGCTTCAAAGGTAGGCGGATATATATGGCAAGAGGCTTAGTCACTCCGATATTTTCGATAAAAAAGTAAATGCAGTTAAAAAAAAAGTACAAGTGTACTAAGTGTTTTCAATTTATTTATGTTGTCTATTTTAACGTTCTGTTTGTCGTGTTCATTGATGCGTAACTGTATAGTTTTAACCGTGTCCGTGGGGGGGGGGGGGGGGGGGCTTTGAGAAAAGAAAACAACATTTGCATTAAATAATGCTATAAGTTTACAATAAATAAAAAAAATGAAACGAACGAAGATAAAGCACATTTTACTATCAATAGGAAATATATATATATATATATATATATATATATATATATATATATATATATATATATATATATATATATATATATATATGTATATATAAGTCGATTTCCTCAAAATCACTCAGAAGTGACTTGGCATTACCAAATCAAATCAGAAGTAAACCCGCAGGTTTTGCAAATTGCCTCCTCAGATACTGTTTGTCCGTTGGTATAATTATAATGATGGGTGGGATGAAACATTTTCAAACCTTAGACTTGGGTAGGTTGTCTGGGTGGTTGGGGTAAAAGCTGCTAGACGTTATTTATCCAAGTGACATAGGACATAGCATTTTTAAATGTAGCTTTGAATACATGAACTAACTTTTAACTTAACTAAACGAATGAAAACAATTCCTGCTTTGTAAACGATCCGATTTTTTACAGCCATAAAACATGACTGTACTGATGTATGTTGAAAAATGTATTGGTATTCTAACAAAACAGTCTCAGAACAAAATCAATCGATATCTGCCTAATGTGTTATATCTGACACTTCCAAAAATAGTTTGTATTAACACTGTCTGTGTCAAGTTTTATAACAAACTGTCCTGAATAATTGACAAACTTTGTTGGATTTCTATTTGAACAAGACAATGAGCTCTAGTGCTTTAGAATACTAAAGAATAATTAAAAGGAGTGTCCAGCTATATGTTATATCTTCTACTTAAGACTAGTGTAACAAAGCAGATTCTACACAAACGTTGTCAACGGCTGCTTTGTGTGACGAAATGTCAACGTCACAGTCTACGAGATACAACAGACCACACTAATTTATATATATTCATTAAACATTCATACGAACAAACAAGAAAAAAAAATCTTAAGTCTTTAGTACGATTCAGTTAATAGTAAAAACAACAGATCAGTACGCAATTCTCTTTCAAATGTCAATACATTGTGGAAACGCTTCTCTATATGATGACATATCGTGTGCATTATTAATGTCCAATATTACTGAACCGCAGCGATTCTAATGATTGTCCACAAACTAAAGACCTTTCTATTTTTCGTTCATGCTATATGTTTGTTTGCTTTTGTTAGTATGTGGAATTCACAGTGCTGCTAATAGTAATTCAGCTTATATGGAGCAGAGGCGTAGCGAGGGGGGGGGGGTATATATGTCCTCGGGCGCCGACCGTAGGAGGCGCCACAATGGGTTAAATAAACCGGGAGTAATCTCCCCTAAACTTTCTCGAATATTCTTATATAACTTGGAATATAGACATGATTTTTAATTACTTAAACTTTTAAAAATAGAATAGAATCTCATAGAAAAAATAATTGCGCACCAAGCGAACGCCAAAACAAAATGTGCGTAATAGTGCGCAATATTATTAGAACTTTATAAATTTACATGCGTTTTTTGAGAAATCGGAAATAGCGTAAATTAGTACTTCCGATCAACGGAAATTACTCAAAATTTTAAAGAGGGTAGAGAATTAGATCTGTTACTTATATGTGAAATTTCATTTATCTATCTAAAATACTACTTAAGTTATATGCTTTTGAAAAATTTAAAGTCGAAAAAGTACCACTTCCGTTAATCGGAAATCGCTCAAAAGTTGAAAAGGATCTACGATTTTGATAAAATACTTATATATGAAATTTCATCAACCTAGCTCTAACGGTACTCAAGTTATCGTGTTTACAGACAGACAGACACACACACACACACAGACACACAGACATACGGACAAGATTGCAAAATTATGTTTTTTCCGTATCAGTGAGGTGTAAAACGTCGAGATTTGTAAAAATCTCCATTTTTTTTTGCACGATTACAAGACTTTCTCTATACTTCGTATATACGAGAAAGTAAAAAAAAAATAAAAGCTCATTTTAGCTGCAGTTTTGCATTAAAAATATTTTAAAATATATGGGGAGGAGGTCAAATTGAAATTTTGTCCCCGGGCGCCGGGAAGGGTCGCTACGCCTCTGATATGGAGGGAAATCGCTACTGCGACTATGTGGGACATTATGTTTTAGCTGTTGTGGCCTCGTTGTGTGCTCGTCCACGATTTATACTTCGGAAACGGCCTCATGCTCTGAATAAATCGTCATGACATGGCCACAGGTAATGAATTTTTAATGACAGTCGTGCTATGGACAGTGGTGATTTGAAATCAGCTGATATAAAGGGGGGACATTGATGTGGAATAATTGCACTAAATTTTGGATTTAAGTTGTTTCAGCTCATTTATTAAACTCCATTAAGCTCGACAGGAAAATAAAATGCTCTTAGCTATCATAATATTTCTCATTCACGGTAAGCGTACATATTACGTTATATAGTATATATATATATATATATATATATATATATATATATATATATATATATATATATATATATATATATATATATATATATATATATATATATATATATATTTATATCGTAGGCGTAGCGACCCTTCCCGGCGCCCGGGGATAAACTTTTCGATTTGCACCCCACCCCCCTCAAACTTTCAATTTGCACCCCCCCCCCCCATAACCTATTAATTTATTTTTCCAACTCATTTTGGCGTCCCCTAAGGTCGACACCCGGAGACATATGTCCCCCCCCCCTCGCTACGCTACTGATTTATACACACACATATATATATATATATATATATATATATATATATATATATATATATATATATATATATATATATATATATATATATATATAATATGCTTGTGTGTGTATGTTTGCGTATGCATGTGTGTCTGCTGTTGCACTAAACTTAGATTATTAGCTATATTAAGATTGTTGTGCAACGTTGCCACTACAGGTATCATTAATTTGTTTCCTTCAATGAAAAATTGCCCGAAAAGATTTAAACCTAGACCTGACTACTACAATGTGCCTGTCCATCCCCTAGCCTGCACCGCTACCCACACTAAAACACACCAGGTACAAGAAGCTGGATGACCGCGGTGTGGCCATGCTGCCCATTAACAGGGAGTTTGACCAGGTCAGCCACTTGTCCTGCGCCTCACTGTGTACAACATCAAGGAAGAGATGCTACAGCTACATCTACAACACGACCACCCGACACTGCAGCTTGGGTATGGCTTTTATGTAAACAGTGGCGTCGCTAGGTCGGGTGTCACCCGGTGCGGCACCTCAGGGTGTCACCCCCCCCCCTTTGTTTCTCTGTATACTTTGTAGTTAGTGTCATCCCCCCCCCCCCCCCAGATAAAAGTTTTCAATTGTTTTATGTAATACTAACAATATTTATCTATAATCGGATGTTAATACTGCTGGATGTGGCATTTTCGTATCTATAGTTTGCATGTTAACGTCATGGTGTCACCCCCCCCCCCCTTCTGTCGGGATCTTCATTAAGTATTTTAAATAATTTTTAACTTTAATTAACCATTCATTGAACTAGCAAAAAAAAAAACAACAACAAATTTATTCGATTTGTGTTGCATCTTTTTGTCTTGGTGTCACCTCCCTCAATAGTGTCACGCGGTGCGGTCAGAACCCCCCCCCCCCCCGCCCGCTCACGCCTCGCGACGCCTCTGTATATAAACGAAAGCTCAATCACGATATCTTTAGGAAATTTACAATCATTTATTACAAAATATGGTCGATGCAACTGCCAAAGTTTCGGTAATATATGTAGAGAATAGAAATGTTTCCGGATAAATAATCTAGCTTGGAAAAATGTCAAGAGTATAAAGTATAAATAGTATTGCCATTTTCATAGGATAAATATCTTTATCAAGGGAAACAACTCGCTTTATTTGTTTTCAGAATAAATGTAAGATGTATGTGATAATATGTAATGACGATAAAGTAATAAAAAATTCATGAAAAATGTATGTCTGTCGTCACATTTTGATGACCGCGTGTATTACATACAGGTTCTCAAGTAACTATTCATTATATTTTATTACACAGGTTCTTGGTTATTTCCCCTTAAGTCATCAGACCAGACCAGCCAAGGAAAGATCTACTCAACCGGAAAGTTCTGTAACACCACCAGAAACATCACAGTTCTGCCTGACTTGTCGGTCCTACCATCGGATCTCGCATTTTGTCTGGGTATAAATATCTGATGTGTTTACTTATCTTAACTTATTTACATATCTTATTCAAATTTAATTGATTTGAGGTCTAAAATTTAGAATGTTGGTACTGTTTTCCTATAAAATAAGGCAGTAGTTCTCCGTCTTAGAAAATTTATGGGATGGCTGAATGTTCGGCACGTGACATAACAATGTTCAGCTGACCCTCATGTTAAACCTACAGTTATCTCCCCGCCTGTGACAATAGATTTGGTGAATGGCAAGCTTCGTACAAAGGTTGTAAATATTATCTGGACAAATTTGTCAGAACTCTGAACAAAGATGGAATTAGCAAATTTGCACAGTTGGGATGGGCTTCCACTAATCGAGTAATGAAATATGGTCAAAACATTAGAGTAATGTGTTAATTATTTATGGTTTAACTCTTTTTAGCATTTAGTTTAATTTGCTTGGACTAATATTTGCTGTTGACGATTCGTGAGTGCAACGCTCGGAAATTTATTATTAGGGGTATTTCAGTGATGGGGTAATTGTGTTTGTCTGGCGGAGGCCGATCTTAGGGGGGGGGGGTTGTGGCTTGTGAGGGGAGGTGCTCTTGCCGCCACCCACCCCTCCGACAAAAATGAATTGTAAAAAAAAGCGTATAGAAATAATTAAAATTGTATGATTTTTTATGAAAGTTAAAATTGTAATTATACTTAACGTCTAAAATTTTAATTCACCTTTATTTAACAGTAAAATTTATTCAAATAACTCTCAATTTGTTCGTTTGAGAATGGTTGTTTTATTTAAATGAAATGTAGATATACAACTTAAAATTACATCGGTGTTACTTACATTCATACCTTCTTATTTCTGTCTAACAGAGTCTTGTCGTGACCTTGACAGCAGTGACCCCAGACCTATCGTGACCCTTAAATCTGGACTTCAGGTCATGTGTGACACAGTGACCGACGGTGGAGGATGGACCATTTTCCAAAGACGTGTTTCCGGAACCGTAGACTTTTACCGAAACTGGACGGAATACAAAAACGGTTTCGGTAACTTCATCTCAGGAAACTTCTACCTCGGTAACGAAAATATTTACCTCATCACCTCGCAAATCCAACACGAGCTTCGAGTCGACTTAACCATCGACGGGAAAAACTTCTTCGCCAAGTACTCCAACTTCAGCATCTCTAGCGAGACCAACGGCTACAGGCTGATGGTATCAGGGTACAACGGCACCGCTAGCGACGGCCTGAACTACCACAACAACATGATGTTCACCACCTACGACAGGGACAACGACAAGTACGACGGCAACTGCGCCGTGGCTTTCCACGGCGCCTGGTGGTACCTGTTCTGTTACTACTCCAACCTCAACGGCCTGTGGGGCGACACCGGCGACATGGGGACTCACTGGGTCAAAGGTCAATATACTTCCATCACCTTCACGGAGATGAAGATAAGGTCCGTCTGATTTCAAGAGTCCAATGCTCTTCTACTGTGATAATGGAGCTAAATTAATCTAAAAAGTAACTAAAGAATTCAGTAAACTCAGGCCAACTGTCGCGGTATTCATGTCACGGTCAAGCAATAAAATAAGCAATTACTTACCTGTGGTTTACATTTCTTCGTGTTTTAGAGAGTCTTGAAATATTTTTAAAAAAAATTATAATGTGTCATTAAGAGTGGTCTAGCGGTAGAGAGCTGGACTTCTAACCCGTAAGTCTCGAGTTTGAATCTGGGTTCTAGTCAGTAGACCGTCCCTGAGTCCACCCAACTCTGATGGGTACCTAACTCACATTAGGGAAAGTAAAGGCGGATGGGCATAGTGCTGACCACACTATCTCTTCATATGCCGAGGTCACAGAAACAATTGAACTCTGCTTCACTTGCCCCATAGACCGTCAGGTTTGAAAGGGAAACATTACTTTTTACTTTTTTGAGAGTGGTCAAACGATTGCATGATAAACGTTTTAATAACAAGCTTTTATGTCATAATGCACTAAAAAGGAGATAATAAATGATTTTCTTTAAATAAATGTTACTACACTACTATTTAAAGTACAAAAAAGAAAAGCGTGGGTAACGTGCAAAACGATCTATGATCAAACCTAATTTTTCAATACTTGCATTGTTGCCACGCTTCTGAGATCAATAAAGTATTTACATAGACTCATATAATAATGGTGACATTATTTATAAACAACGCGAACACCCCAAAAGTACCCTTAAAATCAATACCTATATTTGCATTTTGAAAAGATATTTTTAATATTAAAACTCGATACTTAGATACATTATTTTTACTAATATACGTCAGAAACGTTTTAAAACTCCACATGTTTTCAATGATAATAAAATACGTGTTTTTAATATTTTGATAGTTTAGAAACTTCTGTTGAATAATATTTAGTAAAGACACACTTCATCACGCAGGCGCTATGTCTGCGAGAGTTTCCATGGTCATAAACATATTTATCACAGTTACATGAGCAGAAGGTAGAGAATGTTCTGAAATAAGAGTTTTAGATTAGGCCTCAAGCAAATTCTGGTTATACAGTTTTTTGTATTTGGATAATTAATGGTCACTTTACCAGTTTTGTGTCAAGAATTACTTGATCAATGTACCATACTTGAAAACGTCAGGTATTTATTGTGCACGTTTTATAGTTTCAAGCAAAATGTGTAAAGAAATGGTTACGATCATCATCTTTGTATTTACAATGATACAAGGTAAGCTTAGATATTTTGGTATAGATAGAATAAGGTTTATTCTCACTGTCATATATTTACAACACACACATATATGAATTATAAAAATAATAATTTTATTCTCTATAAACGTTCTAACAAAATAGGTCTACATGAATAAATCATTTAATTCTTTCTATGAACGAAACTTATTTTTATTCCATTAAGTCAGTGGTTCTGTCATGATTAAAGAAACTGACTATAAGAAGTTCAACACCACTGACGTCACCATGCTGCCCATTGATGTAGAGTTTGACCAGGTCAGTCTTTTGTCCTGCGCCTCACGTTGTTCAAGTTCCAACAAAACGTGCTACAGCTACATCTACAACAAAACCACTAGACATTGTAGCCTGGGTGAGTTCACGTTTTAGCTTGTATGGTGAGTGTTTCATAACACCAGTATTATACACCAGTATTACAGTATTATATATATATATATATATATATATATATATATATATATATATATATATATATATATATATATATATATATATATATATATATACAAAAAATTGGTCTTTAGTATTGATAAGTATTTACAAAGTAATCTACATTTTGTTCTATTTTTGTGTCAATTAATTTAACAAGATACACATTTAAAACAATTACCACGTCATGATCGACCCACAGGTTTCCGGTTACTTCCCCTAACAGCTACAGACCCTCCAGCTCTAGGAGAGGTGTACTCGGCTAACAAGGTGTGTAACACAACTAAAAACACCACGGTCACGTGGGATGGCCCAGACCCCACCTCATCTCCAGGTAAAGTAGTAATTCTATGAGTCTATTGAAGCATATCCCTAATATACTATGAGTAAGCAACTATAGGTATATTTATATTGTTGCCGTAAATAAAATTATGTGACTAAGTACACAACCAAACGAGGAGGAAAGCATTAGATCTTAGATTGTTAAACCACCATCCACAATTTTAAGTGGCTTTGTGTAATAATGAAGCATGACTAGCGCTGATAATTTCAAAGCACCATCAGAGAGAAACGATATTTGATCTAACACAAACATCTTTTTCAACGATCTATTTTTGAATTATTGTTTTACAGATGTTTTTTTTTTATTTTCTTATAAAAATATCTTTTTGTCAACTTCGTTTTCCTACTACAGAATATACATCTATTTATCACAATCAGCTTAGGTTTTATATCGTTCTAGAAACGTGTGGTGACCTTGACAGCAGTGACCCAAGACCTATCGTGACCCTTAAATCTGGACTTCAGGTCATGTGTGACACAGTGACAGACGGTGGAGGATGGACCATTTTCCAAAGACGTGTTTCCGGAACCGTAGACTTTTACCGGAACTGGACGGAATACAAAAACGGGTTTGGTGATTTTACTTCAGGCGATCTGTACCTCGGCAACGAGAACATTCATTTGTTTACCTCACAAGGCTCCTACGAGCTTCGAATCGATCTAATGAGTAATGGAACCAGTTACTTCGCCAAGTACTCAAGCTTCAGTATCTCCAGCGAGGGAGACGGTTACATGCTGGACATATCCGGGTTTTCTGGAACGGTAAACGACTACCTAGATCAACACAACAACCGGCCGTTTTCCACCTACGATAACGGCACCGACGAAAACTGTGCTGTGACGTGTCAGGGAGCCTGGTGGTACAACAACTGCTGTGCAACCAACCTGAACGGTCAGTGGACCGAGACCAGCTCATCTATTTACTGGGGTGGGTTGTCCATTTACCTCGATCATCGTTCTTACACCGAGATGAAATTTAAACACACTTAGTATCTCTAGAAGTTTGGCTCAGTTTTCTCAAATAAAAAATAAAAAAAAAAAATGTGTCCCACTTCTATTGTATTTGTCATAACGTTTTAATTAGAAGTTAAAGACTGACTATACGATCCAACAGACACGGGCTGAAAGTTTATTGTCAAGTTCACGTGACAAGTGTACTACAAGAATTTCAGCTTCAGCATCTCGAAACAAACTGTTGGCTTATGGGGGGGGGGGGGGTTACATTGGTGGTACCGCTGAGGTTAGCCTTGTAGTTTTTATCGACACAATAATTACCATACTAGATAGAGTTAACGTTTAAACAAACCTAGTTTAAATATTTAAGAATATTACCTTCGCCCGTCATTTTGAAAGTTTGTTTATAAAAGATAGTCGATTAACATAAGTGATATTTACCATTTCACCATTGTGCATCCCTCCTCACACAAAAAAAAGTTAAAGTGGCTGTCCACAGGAGATTTCACGACAGCCCCCACCCCAATCCCAGAAGAAAAATATCTCAAAGAAACCCAGACAACATGAGTAGAATAGTATCCAACATTCATTCATCCTTTCTTCTCGAGTGAGATTACACAAGACATATTTCTTATTAATATTTATGAAGACGCTGTTTTAAAACTATTCCAATAGAGTTGTATTCAGTTCATATTTATCTAGAGTTTAGACATCAAACATTCGACGTGTGAGAGTAAGTGCGTCACAACATGTCGTAAAGGGTGGTTGAAAAACTATCATCTTAAAATAGTTTATTATTGATAAAAAATATTTTACTATATGATAAAACTGAGTTAAATATACAACAAGAATGGAACATTGTTGACAGAAAATACAGGAGTTTGGATGTGACTCGTTATGTTGTTTGAATGTGGGGGCATTTTAATGGTGGCGGGGTCATAAAGGTAGGGTTTTCTTGAATAAGGGAGGGGTAAGTTTTGGTGGGGGAGAAATTGTAGTGGAGGGGTGCACAAGGTATTTAATTTTTTTTAATTGTTGCGATTGTGTTTCTGTGGTTTTAGAGGTTGTTGAGGTGGTTAGTTTAGAGGTTATTGAGGAGGTTAGTTTAAAGGTTATTAAAGTGGTTAGTTTAGAGGATGTTTTGATGTGGTTAGTTTAGAGGTTATTGAGGTGGTTAGTTTAAAGGTTATTAAAGTGGTTAGTTTAGAGGATGTTTTGATGTGGTTAGTTTAGAGGTTGTTGAGGTGGTTAGTTTAGAGGTTATTGAGGTGGTTAGTTTAAAGGTTATTAAAGTGGTTAGTTTAGAGGTTGTTGAGGTGGATAGTTTAGAGGTTGTTGAGGTGGTTAGAGTTGGATGAACTGGTTGTGCCTCAATGGTAGTTGGAGAGTAACATTTATGCTGTAGATGGCGTGTGTGTAATCGGCGAGACGGTGTTGTTGGATATGGTATGGGAAGGGTATGGTGCTACGGACGGACCTTTTCCAACGGGAAACTGTGTCGTATGTATAACCGACAACCATTACAAGAAAACTGCTAAAGTATACATGTTTTAGCGATTTCCGGTAACTGGAAGTGGTAATAATTCTACTTTCAATTTTTTCAAAAACTATAACTTAAGTACTGTTTCCGATAGATAAATAAAATTGCACACATACGGAAAAGATCTTCTTTTTTGTTATCTGTCAAATTTTGAGTAATTTCCGGCGACCAGAAAAAGCACGCCAATGAATTTATAAAATATCAATGTTCCGCACGATTATACACGCATTGTTTGCATGTCTATATTCCGAGTGTTATATAAGATTATTCGAGAAAGGTTCCGCTTGATTTGTCAATGTAAAAAGGTTTTATCTTTAAGCAGATTTTCAGTGGTGGTTTTTGTTCACAGTTTCTTTAGGAATTTCACTTCACTGTCTGTAAGTGATAGTTGATATTATTTGACTATTGCACAAACACATGACTAAAAACAATAGCGCACCAAATAAACTTGATACCACGCGTATAACAGTGCGGAATAGTAGGATAGACTACTTATTAATTTCAGAAAATTTTAATTAATTAATTTTAAAAAAATAATCAGTCATCCGAAGAGCCAGAAATTTCGCTCTCCCGTTTCGATTTAGGATTAAGACAGACAGACAGACAGACTGACGACAGACAGACAGAGGAAGCAAGTTAAATAAAAGCTTCCAAAAATAAAGGATAATGATATTAATGACAGGTTAATACAAATACAAAGTCAAATAAATGTACTAAACACACCACTTTAAGCTCTAATGTGCATTTTGATAAACAGCTGTGCAGAAAATATGAAGAAAACCTACCTGCCTACTGTCTTGCTTGTGTGTCTGATTTGTTTGTGTGTCGGTTTATCTGTGTGTCTGTGAGTTTATGTGTGTTTGTCTGTCTTTATGTTTTTTAACATGTCTGTATGTTTCTATGATGGTATCAACGACATGTTAATGATAATACTATGGAACTACATCAGTTTATGCTCTGATGTTAATTTAGATAAACATCTGTGTAAGCATGTTTAAAGAAAATTATCAACCTGACTGCCTTCCGCCTGTCAGTCTGTACTACGTTACAATATACCTGCCTGCCTGTTGCCTGTCTGTCTATCTGTATGTCTATCTGTTTGGCTATCTTATCTTTGGCCGTTTATATAAATGTATATATAAATGAAATTGTGTGTGTGTGTGTCTTTTATGCATTACTACACCTTTCATCCGATCGCCATTAAGAGGGTAGGCTCCGGTAAAAAAAACCTTTTTTAATACTCGTTAGAAAACAGTTATTTCTTTACAACTCTATGCATTTACACTAAAAAAAATTGGTGGAAAAATCTTGGTAACTATGACCAATTGTGGTTCCATTAAAAACACTACTTTTAATGCCCCAAAATTAATTGTTTTGAACAGACACACATTTTGAAAATTCATAATAAATTATTTTGAAGATATGCACCTAAAATTTTTAGCTGAGTACCCCAAAATATGGAGGAAGATTATGAATTGATTGTTTATTGGGCATAAAATATAATTTTTTATGAATGGTGAAAAACCTACGAGGGGGGTAATTTTTCAAGATGGCCGCCGTTGTCATAGTTACCAATATTTTCCGCCATTTTTTTTAGTGGAAATGCATATGCGGATGTATTTTAATAAAGCTGTAAATAACTAACGAGTTTTTAAAAAGTTTCTTTTTTACCGGAGCCTCCCCCCTTAAACTATTTCAAGTTGTTGAGAATACTCCGAGAAGGGTTTCTGCGGAAAAAAATTAAATTTCGCAATGCGAACAATATTTGTATTTTTCGCTGTCGTATCGATTGCTCTAACAATACTAACTCAGTATACAGCTTAATTTTCACGTTAACCATATTTCGTAATAATGGAATTTTTTGCGCTAAATTTACATGGGGCCGTTCGTTGTTAGCGCCCCATTTATGGGACTTTTTTTTTTAAATAGATACTTTTAAAAGTACTGATTTTTAGAAAAAAATCTATAATCATTCATTGATTCAGTGCCCATATAATTTTTTTTATCTTGAGGCCTTGGGGTAATATAGGATATATATTACCTTTCGAGTATTTGTTTTGTTTATCAATATTCTCCTCTAAAATTAGGCGTTTAATTTGTGTCTCTGTTATCAAAGATGTCATTATTATTGTGTATCGTTTTCGGCATTCGATTCTAAATTCTATTTTTTTATTCAACAATCAATAATCTGGTAACCTTGATCTACACGTAGTTACTACACATTGATACTAAATATAGTCGTAGTCATACCCCTAAACCTTGCACCTAAGCTCAAACTTGACAAAAGTCGCATTCACACATCTCTACGGGTGGGGGCGGGGGAGGGGGGTGATGAAGGCCGTTTACCGCCACATCGAACTTAATAGCATTTATATAGAAAGTCTAGAGCGTTCAGGACAGACATACAGAAAGAAAAACAGAACAGTGAAACTTTACAGTTAATGCATACCTAACAGTGTTTCCCCCCGGAAATTTAAGTCCGCCACCCCCGGAAATTTCAAGTGCACCCCCGGAGAAAAACTGATACCTAAATGAATAAATACGATCAATCCACATTAAAAACTAGAAAACTGACACCATGTTTCTGTATAAATTAGAGCATGCTAACTTTAGAGTTGTATAAACCTACTATCAATCATTTTGTTATGTTTTGTTCAAGACACTTTTATAGACGTGTATTACGAAAGATAAAATATTACGTGCTCTAGCAAGTACGCAACATATTCTGTGGCCTACATTCAACAAACACACAGATAAACTGTTGTAGGGCAGTAAAAACATTAAAGTCGACGTTGTTTTCGACTGTGGTTGCTGTATACACAAAATAACTTTTCTGACATTCGGCACATTGAGTTTAAAGAGGTAATCAGGTCAGGGGGACATAACTGATACTCACACTGGATGTCAATAGCACTGAAAGTAAGTTACATTCATAGTTAGAAGAGCTAGTAAAATGTGTTATTTAATTTTTTAAATATTTATGTTTGAACACGATTATTAAAATCCTTCTAAATGTGTAGGTAACGTGATTTTTTTTTTATTTCTTGCTAGCAGGTTTAGTACACGAGAACCGAATATGGTAGCTTATAAATAACTAGTTCGTTGGTGAGATAAGAAAAAACAGAAACTTAAAGGTAGAGTCGGTTTAGTTTTTTTAATTTTATACATATATATATATATATATATATATATATATATATATATATATATATATATATATATATATATATATATATATTAGAAATTCAAAGGAATGCTATAATAGTATCTATAAATGACTTCTATAATGACCGTGTACAAATGGCATTAAGAATGTTACATTGAGGCACATTTTACAGATAAATTGAACACTAACATATAGGCCTATACTGCTTTTTTTTTCTTTTTTTTTTTTTTTTTTTTTTTTTTTTTTTACAATAGATAAAAACATTTTTAATAAACATCCAGAAAAAATGTAGCAACATTACAACATGGTAATCAGCACATACACCCTAGCATGCACTTACTATCTTAGACAAGAGAAGCTCTTTGGTCAATGTAGTGATTATAAACCATATTAGAATTGGTGATCAAAGATATCAAATTCAGCAAAAAACACGAGAATAGTGTAGTAATAGTTTACAGCACTCCACAGTTGGTGATTTTAACTTCTTTTGATGGCTTGCCAGACTGTCCTCCAGCAGACTCCATCTTTTTCACCACATCCTGGTACCCAGACACAACATCACCAAACACAACATGTTTGCCATCCAGCCAGGTGGTCTTTGCTGTTGTGATAAAAAACTGAGATCCATTTGTATTAGGTCCTGCATTTGCCATTGACAGCAAACCCTCTTTTACATGCTTTTTGCTGAAGTTCTCATCAGCAAACTTTTCACCATAGATACTTTTCCCTCCGGTTCCATCACCCCTGGTAAAATCTCCACCTTGACACATAAAACCAGGGATGATTCTGTGGAATTTGGAATCTTTGTATCCAAAACCTTTTTCGCCAGTGCACAGTGCTTTGAAATTTGCAGCAGTCTTGGGTACTTCTTTATCATACAGCTGAAACACAATTCTGCCAGCTGGTTGATTACCGATAGAGATATCAAAAAAACATTGGGTCATTTCTGATGCTTGGTCAGCTAGGCCACGGAAGAAGCTTTTGGGACAATGTCGATCTACTACGGTTCGTCGTAAGAAGCCAGTTACAGCAGGACTATACTGCTTACTTTATGTTATCAACAACAACCCCTAAGAGATAATAAAATATTAGGACATCTTGACGAACTTTACGAAAGTTTTTCATTCAAATTTATAATGGGTATATAGATTCAGATTTATCATGGATATTCTCATGCGTTTAATTAATGACTGTTACCTATCATATGTTGTCCATCTATTACTTACCTTACAACTAAAACATTGGGTAGTCATCCTAGTATTCATCTTAATGCTAGAGATTGTCCATTTGGTTATTTTTGTTCTTTCTGCTGGATTGTTTCCCTTAGTTTGTCTTCTTTCTTCTTGATTATCTCCTTAAATACATTGTTACTTCCTACTAGAATTGTGTCCCTTGGGTCATTGTTTATGTTTATATTTATTTCCTCACGCATCAAGTCCAGCCATGTCCGTCAACATCCCGTGTCTGGTTGCTGTCATCATCCTCTACATCCTCATCCTCATCATCGGCATCATCGCTGCCAGGAAGACAAACAAAGCCAAGGACACGGAGGAAGTGATGATAGCCAATCGTAGCATGGGGCTCTGGTTGTCGTTCTTCACCATGACAGGTCAGAGGTTATGTATCTGCTTGTGGCGGGATTAGAAACCGTATACACACTTAAATACACACACAAACACCAATACAGGAATCAACTAATTTTATAATATTCCACATCATCAACTGATTAAGTCGTATATATTACAGTGCAAAATTTACTTCATTATTTAACTAATACTCAAAAATTAAGACATGGTCCAATTGTTATTATTTTGTAAAAATTATGTAATTAAAAAGTCATGTATATAGTACCAAAACTAATCGGGCCTTCAAGTTTGATTATTATTACATTTAAACATGTTTCCAAATAATCAGGATGAGAAAAACCTGCAATATGTATCGAATAAAGAATTGTGGATGAATGTATAGAAATGGATACGTTTCGTATCTATCATCCCAAAAAATGTCACATCAGGCGTCCTAAAAAAATTTCATGTCTGTTGGAATGAGTTTTGTGGCACAAGATAAAACATGGACATAATTGTTGCAAAAAAAAAACTGAGTGTTTTATAGCGTGGTGCACCGGACAGGCCGTTTAGCAAAGGATAACTAGGTCGTCTAGTATTTTAAAAAATCATTTAATTTTTTTGACAAAAGCCAATGTAACTACAGGACAATGTCTACTATTGTCACAATTAAAAGTGATTTTTAGCTGGTCATTATTATTATCATATTATTATTATTATAAAACACTTGTTTTTTTTTAATTTCGGTAGCCCTGTGTCCTCACTGGTATATTTGATGAATGCTCTTTATATTACAGCAACTAACGTATGTGGAGGCTACATCAATGGAACAGCCGAATACACAGCCTTTTATGGGCTATTACAGACTCAGGCCCCAGTGGGTTATTGTCTTGGCTTTGTTTTAAGTAGGTACAATTTTCGTTTGCTATTTTCTGTGTCTACATATTATTTACATAAAGTAAATTTTCTAAGAATTTGTATTAAAACAAACGAGAAACTTCTCAAGTGTTAAATTTTTAAATATGTTAAAATCAGTGTCTATGATTGGACAGATATTGATATTATTATTTCGACATTTAGAAAATTATCTTAAATATTATACTGCTTGATCCAGAGATTTTTTTATAGACATTTGAACATAACATATAGACTACTACACCACTTAATTTTTTACCTGAAAAAAACTACACAGGTGGGGTGATTCTAGCACCGAAAATGAGGCGACAGAAATACGTCACAATGTTTGACCCGTTCCAGTTGAAATACGGCAGGAAGATGGGGGCGCTGTTGATCATACCTCACATGTTTGGGGATCTGTTTTGGTCGGCGGCTGTCTTGGCGGCTTTAGGTAAAGTTTGGCACGACTAGTGTTTGACCATAATACCATAATATCGTCTTTGTCTTAGCGTTTAAAGTTGGTTGTATTAGTAAAGGTTGAATTATAAAATATCGATGATTTCTGTTAGTAACTAAAATTATTTGAATTAAGCGCAGAAATTATGTCGCAAGAAATTTAATTAATTCATTTAATTTAATGTTACCTTTCAGGTGGTACAATATCGATTATTGTGGATATCGATCCCACAATCTCAATCATCGTGTCCTCGTTGATCGCTATAGTCTACACGTTCCTTGGTGGTCTGTACGCTGTGGCCTACACTGACGTCATACAGATGGTGCTCATCGTCATAGGTCTGGTAAGTGACGTCATACAAATGGTGCTTATTGTTGTAGGTATGGTAAGTGACGTCATACAAATGCTGTTTATCGTCATTCATCTGGTAAGTGACGCTATATTGATGGTGCTTATCGTCATGATGTTATTCAAGTTTTGATTATCACCGTAGAACTGGTAAGTAACGTTGTTCAAAAGGTGTTTGTCACAACTTTTGAACCACAGCACAAAATAAAAGTCAGCTTAGTTAAAGTTTAACAAAGAGGTCTAAATTGTTTTAACTCTAATATACATTCAATACTGTAGGGGTGTTAACATAGGTCATCTAGCTATATATATATCCATATTTTTTAGGTGGTCGCCTGCCCCTTCGCCATGACGAGTGAGTTTGTTCACCTGGAGAATATAACGTCTACCTGGCTGGGGGAGGTGGGGGCGGGGACAGAGATGGCCTATATGGATACGTTTTTATTGCTGATCTTTGGTGGGACCACATGGCAGGTAAGTGTCAGTAGATGGATGGCAGGTAGTTGTCAGTAGATGGCAGGTAGGTGTCAGTAGATGGCAGGTAGGTGTCAGTACATGGCAGGTAGGTGGCAGAAAATGACTGGTATGTGTTAAAAAATTTACGCCCGACCTGTTTTCCCTATAACACTTTACCCCTACGTTAAAGCAAACTGTACACTCAACAGGCCTTCTACCAGAGAGTTCTAGCATGTAAAGACACCAAAGTTGCCACCTACTCGGCTCTCGGTGCCTCGGTGCTCAGTCTATTAATGGCAGTTCCACCTGCAATGATGGGATATGCAGGGGCTGCGGCAGGTAAGATCAATATTTCTAAACTCTTTACCTGTACAAAATGGATCAATCAGCTTTCGCGAACCGCTTCAATTTTAGACAGGTTCTAAGTAAAATAAAAACTGAATAATATATGAGTGGTGTGGACAGCAATGGATGAAATAAACCTACCAAAGAGAGAGAGAGAAAAAAAAAAGAGAGAGAGAGAGAGATGGGGAGAGAGAGAGAGAGAGAGATGGAGAGAGAGAGAGAGAGAGAGAGAAGGAGAGAGAGAGAGAGAGATGGAGAAAGAGAGAGAGAGATGGAGAGAGAGAGAGTGATGGAGAGAGAGAGAGATGGAGAGAGAGAGAGATGGAGAGAGAGAGAGAGAGTTTTAAACACCCCATGCGAATGGTTATCTCTCTTTCTGTCATTGATCTCTTCACTGAGTGATACATAGATATAATAGCATTTTTGGTTTTAAAGATAGAAAGAAAAATGGAAAGATCGAGATTAATTCAGATTGAGAGAGTGTGATCATAATATACAAGAAATGTGGCGCCCGAAATAGTAGATTCTACAGATAAGAACTTCGTAAATACTTCCCTTATCTTACTCTATACTTCGTATACGAGAAAGTAAAATAGCAAACTAAGAAAATTGTCTCAATAATACGATCGTTTTTGTTCAGATAAAAAAGCGCATTTCTCGATAAACTTACTATTGTTTTCTTTAAAGATTTACAAAAGTGACAGAGATTAATTATTCAAAATATAGGTCAATATGAACCGTCAACGTAATTTTATTGTTTGTAAAACGTTATTATGTTGTGTAATTTCCATTTTTAGAGGTCTAATTCTGTTATCAAAGTATTTATATGTACAACAGAAAACTATGGTCCAGTATTCAGTAATAATAGAGCCGACCGACTAACACGGAAACCCTGCGAGTTTTGTTTTACCCTCAGCACTAAATGTCTGTTCCCTGACCCTTCCAGACTGGAACCTAACTTCATACGACGGACCGATACCAATACCAGACGACAGGAAAAGTTACATCCTGCCCATGGCATTGAACTACTTGGTGCCACTTCCGGTTTCAATTATCGGAATGAGCGCCATCTGTGCGGCCGTGATGTCATCGGCCGACTCGTGTTTCCTGTCTGCGGCGACGGTGTTCACTAAAAACATTTACCAGGAAATTATCCGAACAAAGGTTAGCCGTGTGTATGTACCAGAAATACAAATTAACTTTCACTGGGATACTAAGCTCGCTATTTGATAACAGAATCATCTACAAAGGTGCAAATGTATATATATATATATATGTTAATTTGTATTTTTAATAAATTTGCATTTTCAATGATTTTATTAGTTTTTTATTTGAAGGCAATTAAGACACATTTTTCATTTCCTCCCCCCCCCCCTCCCTTAAAGGGTCATTCGTAAATGACGTCACGCTTTTTGACGATTTTTACCAACCCCCTCCCCTCCGTCACACATCGTCACAAAAAGCCAGACCCCCCCCCCCCTCCCCTAAAATGACGTCACACCTCAGCCTTCAACACCCCTCAAAATTGCATTTGAAGTTTTCTTAAAAAATGGATATTTTTCCAAAATCTTGTCAGAACTCTGTCAAAATAGAGTATTTTAATCATTTCTTATTGCAATTTATTAAAACAGTTTTCTAAAACTCGAAATAAAATCTAAAAAAATTAAATATTCTCGATTTTAAAAATGTCACAACATAATTAAATTGCAGAGTGAGAAAGATAAAGAGAAAAAAATTATGAGATTCAGAAACATACTGACCAAATTTAAATATATTATTATGTACATAAAGCCACAGTCTTTACTAACCTCTACCCCACATCAATAGATTCGGTCGATAGATTAGTACATGATTCCATTGGATGCTACTAGAATCTACTTTATTTTAGTTAATTATCCACTAAGGCGACAGATCGAGAACTACCATAACGTTAAAACAATCTATTATACAATTTCACATATACCTTACACATATGACAGATAAAGAATTACCATAACGTTAAAACAATCTACTATTACATTTCACATCTTACACAGGCGACAGATAAAGAACTGCTGTGGGTACTTCGTGTTTGTGTCGTCATCTTTGGAGTGTTGGGGACGTTGATTGCCATTTTCTCTACCACGATCTACGGGCTGTTTGTGCTATGCAGGTAGGCAACGATAAGAATGTGTGTCATAGTCTTCATACATTTACCTCTAATAAACTGTCGCTACATTGTGTTTTAAATTATTTCAGCTGTTTTTATTTCTATTTTTTTTAGAAATTTTCAATTACGTTAATATTGAAAAAAAAAACACATTGTACGTATAACATATTTTAATGTGTAACAATTTTTGTTTAAGGTGGCAGCTAAATTGATGATAAATTGTCGAAAAAAATCGTTGAAACTACAATTAAACCTGCGCACATAAATGTGTTTTACAGTAGTGATTGTAATAAAACAGTTATATAACATCATGTAAATGAGGACCTGTTTATCATGGACAAATTTTTAATAAATAATTTGACGGGAAAAAAGTTTCATTAGATATTTACAGTTTCCCCAATAAATACAGTCTGATTATTCTGAAATGAAGTAAAAGGCTAGCTAACATAATTATCCTAAACTGAAATGACCAGAAATGCATTATCGTATTCATTAAAACTTTAGAATTTATTTTCTTTAAATTCAGACAAAACTAATTACCAACATTATATTTTTTTAATTCAATTTTTTTTTCTTAGTTGAAATTTGTTTTCCCGTACCAATGCATTTTGTCGCCCATTAAAGAGCTCAAAGAAATAAAGTGTTAAATGAAATTATGGTTCATTTTATAAGCGTATGTTTAAGATTATAAAGAGTCCAATTTGTAATTAAAAACAAAGATTACTATACAAGACAGTTTGTTCAGTTGGTGGTAATGTGATGCTAGCTACCAACTACACGATGAACTGTTTGAACACTCACAAATACACCACTATCATTAAAGTGTCGCCATCAGATGGATCTTTTTACTGGATTCTTCCAATACTCTAAAATAAACCGGGAAAATTAAAATAGAACTAATTATTTGTTAAGGAAATAGACCGATTCCAAAGCTTAATTTTTTTTTATTTTTTTTTTTTTTGCCTCAGACACGTAATTTATAGCGTCAGTTGTGTGTTCGCTTTAGTATTACAGTTTTCATCATCGGCTTGTGAGGACTGATACAGATTTACAATAGTAATATTTCTTTCTTACTTGTAGCCTACTTTCATTCATTTAAGATGGTTTACTTATACATAGAGCTAATACAAAACGTCTAAATATAAATACAAATTGAAATTAAAAACCAACCTGAAACTGAAAATGCAAATGTGTTATTAAATGATGATTCAAGGGATTTTTTTTTTTCTCGGCGTGCGTGGTGGGCTGAGGGGACGAAGGGGGAGGAGGGGAATTTGGGTTTTTAAGTAGAGCTGAAAAAAAAAATTGGGATTACCGAGAATTAAAACTATACAAATTTTAAGCAATCGGAAAAGTTATGTTATTACAATGAGACACATCAAAGCAAACATTATTCCCTTTCAAACATCTATATCTATACAGTCATCAAACATTTTTTTGTTTGTTTTTTTTTATTCCAAAGCTTAATGAGAATTATAAAATTGGAGTTTAAAGATCCGAAAACCTTAAAGTATATATTGTCTAACATTGAAATACGTTTTTTGAAGTTTAAAAATATTGTTTATAAAAATATTGTTTTATAATAATGTAACAAATTTATAAAATATGACTTTTAAATTTATGAAAATCTTTTTGCTTTATTTATACATCACAAATTATTGATCTTATTATAACTGAAGAGTCACATTGACTGCCGTGATATTTTATTGTGTATGTCTGATAGTCTTTTTATTTAGACGAATTATTAGGTTTATCTCCCTTAATTGGGTGATATTGCCCCCTTTAATTCCTTTTAAGTCCCATGTGATTTTAAAGCATTTTGTGCGTGTATTTGAACGAGAATGTGATGCATTGATGTACCTAGTCCTAATCCCACAACTAGTGTTTGTATTTTAACCTAGATGTCTATATTTCAGTGACCTGATGTATAAGGTGCTATTCCCACAACTGGTGTGTGTATTTTAACCTAGATGTCTATATTTCAGTGACCTGATGTATGTGGTGCTATTCTCGCTATTCCCACAACTGGTGTGTGTATTTTAACCTAGATGTCTATATTTCAGTGACCTGATGTATGTGGTGCTATTCTCGCTATTCCCACAACTGGTGTGTGTATTTTAACCTAGATGTCTATATTACAGTGACCTAGTGTACGTAGTGTTATTCCCACAGCTGATGTGTGTATTTTAACCTAGCTGTCTATATTTCAGTGACCTAATGTACGTAGTGCTATTCCCACAACTGATGTGTGTATTTTAACCTAGCTGTCTATACTTCAGTGACCTGATGTAGGTGGTGCTATTCCCACAACTGGTGTGTGTATTTTAACCTAGATGTCTATATTTCAGTGACCTGATGTATAAGGTGCTATTCCCACAACTGGTGTGTGTATTTTAAACCTAGATGTCTATATTTCAGTGACCTGATGTACGTGGTGCTATTCCCACAACTGGTGTGTGTATTTTAACCAAGATGTCTATATTTCAGTGACCTGATGTACCTAGTCCTATTCCCACAACTGGTGTGTGTATTTTAACCTAGATGTCTATATTTCAGTGAACTTATGTACGTGGTGCTATTCCCACAACTGGTGTGTGTATTTTAACCTAGATGTCTATATTTCAGTGACCTGATGTACCTAGTCCTATTCCCACAACAGGTGTGTGTATTTTAACCTAGATGTCTATATTTCAGTGACCTGATGTATGTGGTGCTATTCTCGCTATTCCCACAACTGGTGTGTGTATTTTAACCTAGATGTCTATTTTTCAGTTACCTGATGTACGTGGTCCTATTCCCACAACTGGTGTGTGTATTTTAACCTAGGTGTCTATATTTCAGTGACCTGATGTACGTGGTGCTATTCCCACAACTAATGTGTGTCCTGTGGGTGCCGTGGGCCAACACCTATGGCAGCTTTGCCGGGTTTCTCGTCTCATTCCTACTGCGGATCTTGTCTGGTGACGCTGTGCTACAAATTCCAGCGGCGATTAAGTTCCCTTTGTATGACTACAGCACTGAATCGCAGTTATTTCCCTTTAGGTAACATCTAGTTTACATATAAAAATGTTTAGCTGTAGAATTGTATAGACCACACCATGGAACTAAGACTATATCATGTGTGTTTTAGAACCTTCTCCATGCTGTTTGGAACATTCTGCCTGCTGGCCGTGTCCGGTCTGACCCACCTGATGTTCACCAGAGGTCTACTGGACCTGAAGTATGACGTCTTCAACTGCCACAAGAAACGATCACACAAAAGACACGATATGATTGACATGGAGAAGCCTGAATTGTTTAAACAAGAGCTGCTGGGTTCTGTTCCCACTTGAGGCCCCGTAAGGGTTTATAATTAACTGCTCAGTTCTTCTCCAACTTGAGGCTCTGTTAGGGTTGAACATTAGCTGCTCAGTTCTTCTCCAACTTGAGGCTCTGTTAGGGTTGAACATTAGCTACTCAGTTATGTCACAACTTGAGGCTCTGTTAGGGTTGAACATTAGCTGCTCATTTCTATTCTAACTTGAGTCTCTGTTAGGGTTTATTTTGTTCAAGGTTGAGGCTCTATTTAGGTTAAACATTTCGAATATGAGGATATTTTAGTATGAAATTGGAATTTATTGGTTAAGTTTAAATTTGAGATTCTGTGAGATAGAAACGATTGCTGTTTAGTTGTTTTTTTTTAAAGTTGAGGTTCTGATAAGGTTAAACAAGAGCGGCGTTATTTTGTTCTGTCTTGGGTTTTTGTTAATGATCTTTAGTAAATCCGTGTGCATTATATCATGTTTATAATTAACAATAATTATTTATTTTACTGTAATTTTAAACATAAAACATAAAATCGTTTTTGTAGTATTTTGTATTGTTACGAAATAACTGTGTTCTAAACTAATTGTTGTTTTTGTTTTTCAAAATATGTTGAAAAATACGAATACATGTGCACTGGTGAAATAATATTTATTTGAATTATGTGAATAATTTGAATACAGTTTCATTTAAACGATTGTTTAGCCAGCTTTCTTGGTGTTTAATATTATTTTAACTTTCATTTTTTGCTTTTGTTTTAAAGCATAATTCATCTGTAATTTATTTTAGTAGTAATTACAGACCTATATTGACAAAGACAGTTTTTTTTTTATGAAAATGTTTTAATGATGTGTTATAAGTTTACTTTTTACAGCAATCCCTACGTCATCAAATTAAAATGAAACAGATTTTCCTGTGTACACTATTGTTATTTTAGAATTTTAGACAATGTGGACGTGTGTTTACCTTCGTATAGTAAATTAAAAGACTTGTGTTCGGTATTAGCAAACATTGACATAAAACAAAAAGTCATACGAAACATTGACACCAGACATAATGTCTTACAAAACATTGACACCAGAAAGAAAGTTTAACAAAACATTGACACTAGAAAATAAGTCTTTAAAACATTGACACAGACAAAAGTATAACGAAACAATGACGAATGTTGACCTTAGTAGCTATGGTTACTAACGAAGCGTATCCCGTAAATAAGCCAGGCGCCTACGCCAACAAAATGAGCTTAAACATTTTTTTTCACGCCATTTAAAAGGTCCTAGGTGCTTTGACCACACAGGTGCTTTGACCATAGGGGATTTGACCACAGTGGTCAAAGCACCTATGGTCAAAGCCCTTGTGTGGTCAAACCACCTATGGTCAAAGCACCTGTGGTCAAAGCACCTGTGGTCAAAGGTCCGCGCACCCTTTCAAAACACAATCATAAATTGAGTCGACTAGGTTTTCATCGTATTATTTCAGTGTCTACTTCCGTATCTGTTTAAGTAGCTCGAACTTGTATGTTGGTTTTAAGAACGTCAATTATGTATACGAAATAGATATATAGTAATTAAACGCTGCTGGGTGTATATACATGTTGGTGTTGTAATTAGAAACAATGAGCATACATTATTGATAGTCCACTTGACTAGTCATGATATAATAATTGGCCGATGCTAGCCGGAATAAGATACGCATACAATACGCATGCGCAATGGAGAAAAACTATGACTTGCCTTCGCGGCAATGTTTTCGATGGTACTTAGCATGCGTGTGTTTACAACCGCAGAACCCTAACACCAACCCTAATCCTAACCCTATCCCTAATCCTAACCCTAGCCCTAATCCTATCCCTATCCCTAATCCTATCCCTAACCCTAATCCCACCCCTAACCCTCATTCTAGCCCTAACCCTTGCCATAGGTCATTGCGCTTGCGCAGAGCTATCTTTTGTCGACTAAGTGGAGACGTTGGGGAGAAAAATCTTCTTCCGAGTAGTCACTTCGATAATAATTTGGCGTGTATCAAACCACTAGACATTCAATAAATACCATGCGATACTGAAACTCTACGACACAATTTCATGACTTTCACAACAATGAAATAAAAACGCGTGACACTAGAGGTTTTTGTATTTTAAAAAGTTTATTCTGTCTAAATCTATTTATAGCTCATCTAAGATCCACTGGGCGTTGGCTGGTCAACCTTGACCTGGTTCTTGACCTCGATGTTGACCTTCGGAGGTTCAAGTAACACAGGAGGGACATCGTTGGGCAGCGGCCTGGCGACGTGAGTGGAATTCTGGAAGATCTCGTCTGGTTCCTCCTCGTCACGCTCGGCTGACCGCTTGCGTAACGGCACCGCGTCCCAGCGGAACTCGGCGTGCTTGCCGATGACGTCATCGAACCTGCCGGTGATGGTGAAGACGTACCTGTTCTCATTACACAGGTCGCTGATGAGAGTCTGCGCATTCGGGTAGGCGTTTTTGACGTCGTTCCACAACCAAGGCTGGGAATCGGTATCGCTTTGTCTTTTCAGCGCCGTGTAGAAAGGAGTGCTGGAGTCTCCGAATCTGTAGTTGAACGTTGGACGATCTTCACTACCACGATACTGGTAATGGTAATTGGTATCGATGCTGCTAGCTCCGCCTCCCCAGCGTAGAAAACCTTGAAGCTCTGCGGAGAACTTGGCTATGATGGTCGCCGTGTAGGCTACTGAGGTCCTGGTTTTGGACAGGATAAGGCTCCATTCTGAAGCTGAATACGGCTTCAATACTTTGGATGTACTGACAGAGAAAGTTTTCGACTGCTCGTTCTTGGTTTCGTCGGATGTGGTTGTGCTGGTCTCGTAGTTGAACTTGTATCCGATTGACCCCCCGACCCCGCCTGTAGCCGAGGGCGGCGAGTAGGTCACCTGGACATTCAACTCGTGGCTGTATTTCCAGGAGCTTGTTGTCGTGTGGGTGACGCTGCGGACACTAGTCTCAGATCTTGTAATGGACTTGGTCGCATCCGTTGGGTCATTGTTATATATAGTTCCAGAGTCGATAGTTTCCGGTGTTAAGTCTTGAACTACCGGAGTTCCATATTTGATGTCCTTGATCTCAAACCCCCAGTCCCCATAAGACATGTTCAGACGGTTTTCACTCATGTAGCCTTCACACCGACCACTTTTATCAGCGTTCCATGTGTCGCCGCTCCTTCTAAAATCTTCCCCAACATACGGTGCTCTACAACCCGAGCACCAGCCGTAACCCAGGTAATGAGCCAGTAGGGCCATGTCCGCCATTGTGGTGTCCATGACGCGGGTTTTGACGTTGTACAGCTCATCGAGTTCCTCTTGTGCCGGGGCGGTCTGGCAGCAACGTAAGAACTCCAGACAGTAGAGCTTATCACAGGAACTACGGTACAGGCCCGTCACGTAGTAGTCCTCATTACACCTACACAATCCCTCGTTATCGAAACAAATCGATATGTCATGATCATAACAGTGTCCGTAGTAGGATGGATGATCAGCGGGCTTCGAACATCGCCCTTCTTCTATATTAAACAACAAATCATTGCCGTTTGTACTCCTGTACAAGCCGTTGAGAAAATAACCGGCCGGACAATTGGCCCAAGTGTTGCCTCTATCAAACGTGCTCCACCAGTCCACATTCACAGTCTGAGTTTTAGAGTTAGACCACGGCCAGTTCCTGTTGCAGCATTCCGCCTCTTCTAAAAGCCCCAAGCCGTCGTCGTCCCAACTTTTTCTTGGGCTTCTATCGAAACCAGCGATAAAATCAGTTCCACCGCTACACTTTGACAGCCCCTCGCTGTCCATGCTTGACCACCAATCTGATCTACTGCATCCAGCATTTGCTCCGTGAATCAACACAGATAAAAGACACAGAGATGGAACCAAATACATCTTGAATGTAGAAACTGTTGGGAGAAAATGACTTTAAATTATTGTTAACTTGTTGAGAAAATACACTCCACATTTACTATGGTTGGTATTTAAACATACCGATCGTGATATACGTAACTTGGCATTCATAAACAGCGCAACACTAGTGATGTTGAAAGATATAATTTATTGTACTACAAACATTCTGCTTTTTTGCACCGGCTCTCACCATCTTAGTTAATTATACACCTCATGGGAAAATATAATCTCATTTGAGTTATACACTTCATGTGATAAGATCATCTCATTTGAATTATACACTTCAAGTGAAAAGATAATCTCATTTGAATTATACACCTCATATGAAAAGATAATGGCATTTGAATTATACACCTCATGTGAAAAGATCATCTCATTTGAATTATACAACTCTTGCGAAAAGATAATCTCATTTTAATTTAAAACATTGACTTATGAAAACACTTTTAATTCAAAGACTTATCTGTCTACATTAAACACTGTCAATTATCTTTATCAGCTTACAGAGAGTGTGTAACAAAAAAGTGATATATTTTTACTATATAAAAATGTTTTCAAATTACCTATAAACAGCAAGTAGTGAGAAGTATCGTTATTGATAGAACTGTCGTGTTAATCTAAGGCATATATACACCAAAACTTTTCACTTCAAAATAGATTTAACTTAAGCTTAATCTCTTTTTAATTGAAAGTCACGTATATTTTACATTTTTCCCAATCGGTGTAATTAGTAACAGACTGTTGTGTAAAAGTAAATTCTGTTTTCACCACACCCTGTCAAAAGTAAGTGTATTCAAATGTACCGTCATTAGGCAGAAGTGGACTTTTGACATGCAAATTTTGTTTTCGTGGTTGTGACACAGGAACAGATGCGAGTACGGATGTACTTTATGGTTATTTTATCAACCTAGTACAATTAACACCTTTGGGACGGCGTGGCCTAGCAGTAGAGAGCTGGACTGCTTACCCGGGAGTCTCGAGTTCGAATCTGGGCTCAAATCAGATGGGTATCTAACTTACGTTAGGGAAACAAAAGCGGCTGGGCATGGTGCTGACCACACTATCCATATATATATATATATATATATATATATATATATATATATATATATATATATATATATATACCGAGGTCTATGAATCAGATGGCCTCTACTTCATCTGCCCCATTTGTCTAGGGCACGAACGGGATTAAGAAAAAGTGAAAACAATTAACACAATTAATACAGCCGACGTGTACATTATTTTAACAGACGTTCGGAAAAAAGTGTTTGAACTTTTGATAACAACAATGAACTACACTTTACTACACATACACGATACAAAAGTGTAGGTCGATTCCTATCATTTGATTGTTAATTTGGGGCAAATGAAAGACATTTTAAAAACATGCATTACAACGTAGCCCCACATTTATCTGTATGGTAGAGGACCTCGCAAAAACAGTATGTTGCAGAAATTATATTTTTTAAATGGAAGTACAAAGACATAAATTATGTTAATCAGAGAAAATCGGACAGTGTTGTTTGCGGTTTAAAATGTAAATTTATAAAATATAATCAAGAGTCAAATCTATCCTCAGAATAATTGAGTCGCAAATTAGGTTCACTGCATACGAGTGGGTAATTACCCTATGTAAGGTTGTTTAAAAAAACAAGTTGAAACCGTTCGTTGTTTGTAGTAACTGTATTTTAATTAGCTTCATCTCCATCGCTAAGTAGGGCTAAACTAAGTATAGTATACATGTTTATTTAACCTAGTTGCCAATTATATAGGCACTAACTAGGTTTCTAGTGAAGGTTAAATATTAATAGTTCTTACCAGTGGCGTAGCGAGGTCGGGTGTCACCCGGTGCGGCACTTAATGGTGCCTCTGGGGGGGGGGGGGGGTGACACCATTAAGTGCCGCAGCGGGTGACACCCGACTTCGCTACGCCACTGATTAAACGAAACATATGTATAGAGCTTCCGCTTTATTTTAAATCATTTCAATATTGGTTGTGATTTTATTTTCTAGTATTTCTTTCTAAGTAATTTTTACAATTTTATTTGTAGGGATTGTCTTTTTTTTTAAAAGTGTTGTTAATTAAAATTTTTAATCAATTTTAGTCAAATGTGTATAAATAAACCAAGGTATGTTTTTACGTAACAGATTTTTGTCTCTCCCAAACGTATGTCCTAATCGTAACTGCAAAACGTTCTCTGTTTTATAAGGCACACGTCAACAAGACAGCCAGCACTATTTTAAAATAATAGAACAATAGAGACAGAATGTATTGATTGGCTATTTTTTTTTTTTTTTGACCATAACTAAAAACATTTATTCTCAAAACATTTTATACCCAACAGGTTTTCATGATAAGTGAAAAAAAAATGTCATGAAGTACGATATGAAATGTGTTATGTACAGGAACAGCAATGGTGAATGAATGAGTGATAACGGTGGTTTAAAAATATGGAGTTGTCTAAACAGGAGATCCTTCTTGCTTGTCTCTGACAGCATCCTTGAATCTTTCTTCCAAGAGGGAAATTTCAGAGATCAGATCAGTGATGGCGTTTGTGATGGCTTCCTGTGGGGTGTAGTCAGGTGTGGTCTGGATCCTTAGGACAAACTTGTGCTCCAAGGGGTGAGGGATCTTGTAGCCGGCAAATAGTACTTGGGGGTCTTTTAACAGCTGAGTGGTGATTACATTTCCAAGCGTGTGGTCTTCTTTGTTGACAGTGAAGATGGCTGCATTGGGGACTTTAGTGTCTTTCTCTATGTAGATTTTTTTTTCTCCTTCAAACAGAAGAAATGACTCAAAAGTCGATGCAGCATTCATGATGAATTTTTTAACCTGGCTATGAGACATTTTTGGTTTAAAGATCGCTACAGCTCTATAACTGGTTTTATTTTTAAAAACACATTTTTAAAATCAATGTTATGTTAATTGCGTTGTGATTTTTTTTTAAGAACACTACCCAACTCGTGACTAGAGTTACGGTAAAAACATATTTTGTTTTAAATTAATTAATTGTAATTTTCGTATTTTTTACGATTCGGTGGATCTATGGTTAAAACTAATTTGATTCATTTTAATTAATTGTAATATTTATATTTCACTACGATTGGGTAAATCTACAAAAATAGTTATCTCCCCTTCTGTTATTGAACATAGTAATCTATCGAGTGATTTAATTTAGTTATCTCTCCTTAGTTTCTGATTCGTTTAATTCATTTTTACTTTCTCGTATATACAGATGTGTTAATTAATGAAAACAACAATGTGTTTTTAAATAAATTGGAGCACATAGGCTCGAATTAAGTATCAGCTATTTTACGGTGCAATTCTTGTGACATAATAGCGAATTTCAGACTGGGTAAGTGGGGGGGGGGCTTGTGGGTGCGATAAGAAGTTGTCCAGAAGGGGTGGGGGTAGCAGGCATGTTGGTAAGTCTTGTACTGTTGTAGGAGCTATGGCAGTGGGTGGTGGTGTTTTTTTTTTTTGTTTTTTTTTTTGGGTGGAGAGGGGGGGGGGGGGGGCTTGTTTGGGAACAGGGAGAACAAGGAGCTCTAGAATAGAGATTTTTTTTTACATCAGACATTATTTTCATCAGTTCATGGCGATTAAGCTTGCTAAAGAGGTTGTATTTTATGGGTATAAATATGTATCGCGACATCGCCATTTAGTTAGGCATAGAAAGATACCAGTACTTAGACGTGGGCGGAGTTGAGTTACCACGGTGTTTCGTATTTTATTCTTCCATTATAGGAAGTAAATGAGTAACTGGCGGTGTAAACTATTGGAATAGATTTCCATTTTTTGCTCCAACTAATCACACGTTTTATTATTTCATCTACCAGTAACCGAAGTAAGCACTTGCTTAATTTATCCACTAGATAATTATCTTTATATAGATCCTATCATAAAATAAATCTAAAAAGAGAGGGTGAAAATTTTTTATTGTTATTCCCACTAACTAAGAATGTTAGGCAATATAGAAACAAATACAGTATACATTATTGATTGGAATGATCGGCCTAGTTTGATAATCCCCCGTCAGCAATCAACAGTCCAGATCTCATATAAATAGTTTTTCAAGACTTCCTTATTTTGATCGCTAGCTTGGCATATTGATTTTCTGATTGTAAATTTAATAAAAGAAACAAAATAAGCAATCTATCCAGTATGCATTGCGTAGTTTAAAATATGTTATAAATAACGCTTACTTGTAAATATTTTCTAGATCGACCTACTTAGATCAACATAATCTGACGCTAGCAAGCTGCCAAAGTCGTCGTTCGTTACTCCCACTTTACTTTTCTCAATGTTCATTTAATAAGTACAACAAAGTAATAAATACATTCAGTTATACTTTTTTCCGTTGAAAACAAAATATAAATAATGCTTAGATAATTATATTTTCTTGAAAGGCCTACATAAAATGCAATTTTTAATGCAATTTTTAAAATTCGCTACCTAACTTAACTTCACTAGTTTCATATATTGATTTTCTGGGAAATAATTTTTTAAATAATACAATAGACAAAAAAGAAAATTCGTTCCTTTTTTTTAAAAAATTAACAATATATTTCATGTTTTATATGTTTCTTGAAAAATACTGAAAACGTATCTAGTATCTAATTTCCCTAGAAAAAAAAACCTGTTATGGGGAATCCCCGATTCCTGAGACGTCTTATTTAAATAGTTTTCTACGTAATCAACAAAAATAGAACGACATTGGCCTTTTATCGGGTTATAGACTACAATAGAATAATTAAGGTATGGTCACACTTTAAATAAAATACAAGCTGAACAGTCGTGTTATTGTAAGTATCTAAGTATTGTCAGTATCGGGCTTATCTGCTGCTCGTTACAGCACTGCATAACGCTTTTCATAATACTATACGATTTAATGTATTTTTTCAATACGAATTACATCTTATGGGATAAAATTAATTTTTAGATTGTAAAAATTATGTTAACATTGTTAGTCATGAAAGTCTACTCAAAAGCGTATAGCTTATTACAGTTTTATGTGCAGTTACTAGCATATGGAGTATTGCCATTATGTTTTTGTCTGTGAGTGTGTCTCACTGTGTGTTCTCTGTATATGTATTTGTACATATAAAAATATGATTTGTTTTATTTCTATAAATACATTTATGTAACCCTTCGAATTTAATAGTTTTAGCAAATATGAAGTTCCCCATTTGCCTATTGAAACAAGGCACTGGACGCCGTGTGTTTACACACCCCATCAACCCTAAGATGACCCTGGACATACAAGTCCAGTACCATCAGCGACAAGACGGTCTCAAGTCTAGTCACGTGACTGTCTACCTTAACACAAGTACTTTAGCTCAAGGACGTATCTTGATCGACCACGCATGGTCTGTAACACCCCGAAAAGTTAAAGCAAATAGAACAGTTGAAGTCACTGGAAAGATCAAAGTTCACAGTAAATCTAAAGCTAAGAGATGGTTTCAAGCTCATGAAGAGGTACAGACAAGAGTGTGTATGAATGGATTCACCTTTGGCCACGATATGTCTGTCGATCTGGATCTAAAAAATTGCACTGGTGAAAACGTTAGCAACAAAGTTACAATCTTTGTCGAGTTCCATTTTCTAGGTGACAAAGAAGTCAATGCTGAATTTAAAAATTTGAAGAAAATCTTTCTGGTAAGTATTTTTTAAAAATATTCTGTATTTTGATATTTTGATAATATGACCACACATGTATATAAAACATCACATGCATATATACACATATATTATGGGAAGGCCTGGGGAATATTAATTAACGTTTTTGTAACGCGAGAGCTGTATGCGGAACATGGAACTATATTAATTATGTTAGACGGAGACAGATGTGAAGTCAAAGTACACGTTGGGGCTGGACTCTGAACAAATGGTGCAATAGGGTCACGCGCTTGACCAGAGCCGTGAGATGGACTAAGTTAATTAGATAAGATTAGGGGGACGTAGAATAGGGGAAGTTAGATGGACGAGTGTAATGAGCCATTCATGAGAGCGTGAAGTAACGGACAGAGAAAGATATACTCGTTAGCCCTAGGGATAACACTAGATGGCAAGTTGGACTACATTAGAAATATACAGAACCCCTGAACACGATCGGACAGAAGGATGCAGACATAAAGGTAGAGAACGATTGAATGAATGTTGTGATGAGAGAACAGTGCAGAGGCGTAGCGAGGGGGCGGTGGGTGCGTACCGCACTGAGTGACACCATTTAGGGGGGTGACACCAAGGCAAAAATAGCAAAATATATAGAGAAAAATGATAATTCCACTTAATTAAGTGATTAATTCAAGTGTTAAATAGTGTTTTAAGAGGTGCAAATAGAAAGTTTGAAGGGGGGGGGGGTGCAAATTGAAGGTTAAGGGGGGTGCAAATCGAAAATTGAAAGTTTGTTCCCGGGAAGGATTGCTACGCCTCTCGCGATTGACACCATTAACCGCACCAGGTGACACCCGACCTCGCTGCGCCACTGGAACAGTTTCATATATATATATATATATATATATATACATATATATATATATATATGTAACTGGGGTAGGCCTAACTACCAGTTACAAATGATAACGAACGAGAAGCCGAGACACAGTGTTGGTCTGATGCAACCGATGACAGGTGGCTTATTGGGTCGGGCTGATAACAACCTCAAAGCCAACGCGTGCTATTTTGGGAAACGGTATTCAGACGGCCTGTCAACTTTGATGGATAGGACGCAGATGTTATTTTACGGTCTGTACGTTTGAACTACGCAACTGGTGGTCGGAGATCGAGTACAAGTATCGATTACGGAGGAATACAAGTACGGAGACGAGTACGGATACAAGGCATAAATAGGAGGGCACGGCAGGACTCGTTCTCTCTCTTCCCGTTGGGGCGCTCTCTCTCTTCCCGTTTCAGCGAGCTCTCTTCCATCTTCATCGCTCGCTTAGATTAGTCAGTCTGTGTGACTATGTCAAGTCGGTTATAGAACGGGTTAGCCGTATTGTGTTAAGAAGGATTATAGACATGTGGATTCAGTTATATAAAGCCTAGTGAAGGACTGTTAGGGGTCAGTTGATTCAGACTATTATTGAGAAGCATTCCTGTTGATTTATTGTGTTATTATGAAGCATTTCTTGATTCATGTAATAAAGGATCAATAGCGAACCTGCATCTTGAGTATCTATACTGTGGTCAATGTTGTCTAGAATGAGTGGTTAAACTCGTTAACACGTGGCACTACAGGCAATTAGGTCTCATTACATGTGGCGTTGCGAGCATGGTAACTGTTGGCTCGTTACAATTGGCGTTGTCGGCAGGATAAATGTTCGCTCGTCACAATTGGCGCTGCGAGCAGGGTCACATTTGGCGCTGCGAGTAGCCTAGGTCACATTTGGCGTCGTCGGACAGGATGAATTCAACTAGACTTGCCGTTTAAGGCACCTATAGTCAACCTTGTGCATAACTGTGTTTAGTGTGTGTGTGAATTCGGACATTCAGGAACTGTGAAAATCGAGGAACGAGGAAAAATTTTTCATACACACACGGTAAGAAAGAACTCTTTTTTTTAGTACTTAAGGAAGAAAATGTCTACTCTGGACGAGAAGCAGACCCATATAGTGGTCCTACCCAGAGAGTCCCATATTAACAAATTTTACGGGGACGGAGACCCAACTTTAACCAACAGGTTCAGTGAAGAGGTCAAAGCGGCCTGGGCCTCGAGACATATGTCACCAGAGGAAAGATTAAGACTGCTGATGGGCAGTATAGGTGAAACGGTTAGGGCAGAGGTTAAGTGCCACGATAGGACCGTCCAATCAGATCCAGATAAGGTGCTGGATCTGATTATGGAGACCTTTGGGGAGAGACGGTCGGGAGTGCAACTGCTATCGGGATTCGTGGGCTTAAAGCAGAGAATGGCGGAGAGTGTGATGGAGTACTCACACAGGATGAACAGGGCCTTTGATTTGGTAAAGGGCAAATCACCGGACATTGATGTACGCCTACTGAGGGACCATTTCATCGAGGGGCTAGCAACCCCGATCTTAAGGAGAGAGTTGAAAGAGGAGGTCCACAGAGACCAGCAGTTGACCTTCCTTCAGGTCAGGAACTCAGCGATCCGCAGGTCCGAGGATGAGGACCAATCGAACTGTTCGGTGGACAAAGTCTCTGTGCCTGAACAGAGACAATCCCCACCCACAGGGGCCGACACGATGGAGACCATGATGGCTCAACTGTTGGCCCACCTAGAGAAGGTTGACCAACGCTTGAAGTGGTTGGAAAGCAGGTCAACAGCTGAGAATCAGGAAAAGAACGGGACAAAACAGGGACGGGTTGGACGGCCGCGTCCTGCCAAGCCATCACTCCAATGGACGGCAGACGGTAGACCAATTTGTTTGTCTTGTTCACAACCCGGACATATGGCACGGTACTGCCAGGGAAACGGTCGTCCTCTGTAAGGCAGGGCCAAGCTACAGAGGGGCGAGGTTATGGCCCAAGAAGCAAAATGATGGGAGTCTGTCCCGAAATGGTGATTACGATTGGGGACATCGCGGTGAAGGCAATTGTGGATACAGGCTCCCAGGTGACGACAATCACGGAAAATTTTTACACCAAATGGATGAAAGGAAAAGACCATAGGTTGAGGTCTGACACATGCATGCGCCTGACGGCAGCTAATGGACTAACCATTCCATACTGTGGTTATTTTCTGGCGGATGTCGTGGTGGCAGGACATAGGTTGAAGCAGGTTGGGGTGTTCGTTACGAAACACAACCTAGAGACAAATGTGTCAAATATACCTTGCCTGTTGGGCATGAATATTCTTGGCCAGTTGCCAGAATTTCTTACAAATATTGTCGGATCGACCACACCAGGTCGGGGATCCAAGTTGGCCAGGTTTGCCAAGACCAGGGGAAGGACAGCAGTCCCGGCAAACACGGTCAAGGCAATCACATTACAAATTGGTGATAGAAGCGTGAATGGTGATGTGATGGTAGAACCATGTGGCGCCGCACTGAGGGCAGGCGTCGTGTTACTGCGGACATACACATCAGCGGAAAACGGACTAGTTCAAGGGTTGGTAGCAAATGTTTTGGATGAAGAAATTTTTATACCGCCTAACACTCTGGTAGGAGTACCACAGAACGTCGAGGTACAACGGTCGGCACAGTGCATCGAACTGATCAATACCAGTAGTAATGAAGTAACAATTAGGTCGGTCAATGTGACGGCCGAGGTGAAGAAAGAAGATGGCCGATCATATACATTCCCGGAAACTGAGGACCCAAAACTAAATGAATTGCTGAATAAATACAGTGATATATTTGCCTCGTATGAGGGTGATTTGGGGTACACGGAAGTAATAAAACACCAGATACCCTTACTACAAGACAAGCCGGTGGCGCAACCTTATCGAAGATTGCCACCAAGTCACTACTCTGCGGTGAAAGCACACCTGAACGATCTACTAAAAAAGGGAATTATTACAACCAGTACGAGCCCATATGCGGCACCGATTGTAGTGGTAAAAAAAGAAGTCAGGGGAGATAAGACTGTGTTGTGATTACCGGAAATTGAACAATATCACGAGAAGGGATGCATTCCCCTTGCCTCGTATTGATGAATGTCTTGATGCGTTGGGGGGAGCAAGATTTTTTTCTACCTTGGATTTGGCTAGTGGCTACCACCAAGTGGCCATGCACCCCAACGATCAACATAAAACTGCATTTATTTCTCCACTGGGACTGTACGAGTGGACCCGTATGCCGTTTGGTCTAACTAATGCACCTGCTACATTCCAGCGAGTAATGCAGAGTGCTATGAGTGACTTTCTATTTCAAATAATGTTGGTGTATTTGGATGATATTCTAGTTTACTCAAAAACTTGGGAGGACCATCTAAAAAGATTAGAACAAGTGTTTCTCCGTCTTAGGGAGATAGGAGTAAAGCTGAACCCAGACAAATGCTGCTTTGGTTTGAAATCGGTACATTTTTTGGGTTACGTGATTTCGTCGGATGGCATCGCCACTGACCCAGATAAAATTGCAGCTGTTAAAGAATGGAAACAACCAACAACTACGGTAGAGGTCAGGTCATTCTTGGGCTTTGCTTCCTATTATAGAAAATTTGTGCCGGGTTTTGCAAAAATTGCCGCACCATTGCATGACTTGGTAAACAAAATGACAAAGAAACACAGTAAGGAGAAAAAGAAAGGTAAAACACAACTGATAGGTGAATTATGGACTGATGAATGCCTGAACTCGTTTAAGCTCTTGAAAAAGGCTTTGACAGAGGCACCGATATTGGGATACGCGGACCTTGACAAACCATTTCGGCTAGAAATTGACGCCAGCTCTAAAGGTCTGGGAGCTGTGCTATCACAACAACAAAAGCAAGGCTTCAGGGTTATTGCTTATGCCAGTCGAGCTCTGAAGGAATCAGAGAAGAACATGACAAATTACAGCGCCATGAAACTAGAACTTTTGACATTAAAATGGGCTGTGACGGAAAAATTCAGGGACTATCTATTAGGTGCTAAATGTGTGGTATACACTGACAATAACCCCTTGAGTCACCTAAAGACAGCAAAGTTGGGATCCATCGAACAGCGATGGGCAGCAGAATTGGCACTCTTTGACCTAGAGATAAAATATCGCCCGGGGCGGTCCAATGGCAATGCGGACGCCTTATCAAGGAATCCTTACGAGAAACCGGGTGATGAGGAAGAAACGCTGACAGGAATATGTGAGGTCAGAGCGTCAACAGATATCCCTCATGGGGTACAAGTGATGCAGAACGGGCAGACCGGGGTGGAGCACATATCCACGGAACCCGAACATATGGACAGTAGTGATTTTATTTGCCTTAATCACAAAAAGATAAGAGATGCCCAGAGAACGGATAGTGGCTTACAACCGCTATTGAAATACGTCCAGGAACAAAAATTCCCAGGAAGAAGGGAAGGAGAACAATTTGGTCGAGAAACAAAGAAAATACTGAGTCAGTGGGACCGTCTCAGTATAGAGGATGGTGTTCTCATACGGAGAATTCATGACCAAATTGATGGGACAATACACCAGGTGGTGGTGCCTGGACAGTTAAGAGAAGAAGTGCTAAGGTTGGCACATGACAGGGCAGGACACCAGGGTCAGGACAGGACGCACAAAATATTACGACGGAGGTGTTACTGGCCCAATATGGAAATGGAGGTCAAACGCCATTGTGAGGCTTGTGTGAGGTGTCAGCATGCGAAAATGCCAGTTGTCAAAATGAGACAGCCATCAGGACACCTACTAGCGACAAAACCACTAGAGATTGTGGCTATGGACGTTACGTCGTTGGAGCAATCATCGGATGGGACGGAACATGTGTTGGTAATGACTGATGTATTCACCAAATGGACGGTGGCGGTGCCCACGCGAGATCAGACCGCCAAAACAGTGGCAAAGGTCTTATTACAACATTGGTTCATCAAATATGGCATACCAAGACAATTACACTCTGACCAAGGAAGGGCTTTCGAGTCAGAAGTAATTAACCAACTGTGCAGCCACTACGGGATCAACAAATCTAGAACAACCACATTTAATCCGAAAGGAAACGGACAGTGTGAACGGTTCAACCGCAGCATGCATGATTTGCTGCGTACGCTAGAACCTGAACAGAAAAAACGTTGGCCTGATTTTCTCCCAGAGTTGGTATATCTATACAACTGCACACCCCATGCCACAACCGGCTTTTCGCCATACATGTTGCTGTTCGGACGGGAGGCTCGACTCCCTCTTGATTTGTTCCTAGGAAAAAGGGAGAGTATGACTGGCTCATACACCGCACTGGAATATGTGAATGAACATATGAGAAGAATTAGAGAAATGTACAGGGTAGTACAGGAAAGACTAGAACATGAATCTCGGCGAAGGGAACCGCCGATACAGACGAAGGACCCGCCACTCAAACTGAATGACAGGGTATTACTGCGTAGCCACCCGTTAGGCAGAAACAAAATCCACGATCTCTGGGGACAGGAGATATGGCAAGTCGTGGAGATGCCTAAAGCAGCAGGTGGCCCCTTTAAGATAAGACCCATCGATCACGCCAAACCGGATCGGTGGGCGAATATTGCTCAATTAAAGAAATATTGGAATAGGCAAGAAGAGCAGTTACACACAGAGAAACCCAAGACAATTAGGGAACCGGAAGTTATAACGGAAATTCACATACCCATTCCGGAACCATATCACCATCAACAGAACAACCGCGATACGCAAGGGGAGGATACCGGCAACAATGAGGATCCCGGTCCCTCCAGAAGCAGAGAGACAGTAGACCATCAGATAAGTGGTCCGCGGAGAAGTTTAAGGAACAGAAGGAATACGAAATTTTTTGTCAGCAACCATCAATTCTTTCATGGTCGCGCTGGTATGAAAACAGACTGTTCAAAGAGCTATAGAAGTGAACTGGTGAAGGCACCAAATGGAAAGGGTGGATGTGAATTCTAGAACTGTTTTGTGTCTCAGAAAGATGATGTAGACACAGTTGATATGTGAAATAGGTAGAACTGTCAATCGTATACGAATGGAACGTCGTGGACAGTGAGTGGAACAATAGATTTTTTTTTTTTTTTTTTACGACTGTGCGATTGACTTTGAGGAGTGCACCTGCCAGGCGTTGTTTGTGGTTGAAAACACACAAAAAAAGCAGGGGTGGATGTAACTGGGGTAGGCCTAACTACCAGTTACAAATGATAACGAACGAGAAGCCGAGACACAGTGTTGGTCTGATGCAACCGATGACAGGTGGCTTATTGGGTCGGGCTGATAACAACCTCAAAGCCAACGCGTGCTATTTTGGGAAACGGTATTCAGACGGCCTGTCAACTTTGATGGATAGGACGCAGATGTTATTTTACGGTCTGTACGTTTGAACTACGCAACTGGTGGTCGGAGATCGAGTACAAGTATCGATTACGGAGGAATACAAGTACGGAGACGAGTACGGATACAAGGCATAAATAGGAGGGCACGGCAGGACTCGTTCTCTCTCTTCCCGTTTCAGCGAGCTCTCTTCCATCTTCATCGCTCGCTTAGATCAGTCAGTCTGTGTGACTATGTCAAGTCGGTTATAGAACGGGTTAGCCGTATTGTGTTAAGAAGGATTATAGACATGTGGATTCAGTTATATAAAGCCTAGTGAAGGACTGTTAGGGGTCAGTTGATTCAGACTATTATTGAGAAGCATTCCTGTTGATTTATTGTGTTATTATGAAGCATTTCTTGATTCATGTAATAAAGGATCAATAGCGAACCTGCATCTTGAGTATCTATACTGTGGTCAATGTTGTCTAGAATGAGTGGTTAAACTCGTTAACACGTGGCACTACAGGCAATTAGGTCTCATTACATGTGGCGTTGCGAGCATGGTAACTGTTGGCTCGTTACAATTGGCGTTGTCGGCAGGATAAATGTTCGCTCGTCACATATATATATATATATATATATATATATATATATATATATATATATATATATATATATATATATATATATATATATATGTGTATATATATATATATATATATATATATATATATATATATATATATATATATATATATATATATATATATATATATATATATATATATATATACACATATATATATATATATATATATATATATATATATATATATATATATATATATATATATATATATATATATATATATATATGAATATGTGTGTGTGTATGTATGTGTCATCGATTGTTTTCCCGTAAAGTTCTTTTTTTAAGAAAGCTATTTTATTTTTATTTTTGTTTTCCAAGAAATGTCATTTTTATTTATAATCTAGAAAGCTATAAATAGAATTGCGTTTCCATTTAACTAGCTTTGTAAGTTTAACCAAAAATAAGTTAGCTGGTCCTCAAAAGGTATAATATAATCTATCACGCAGCTAATGATAAACTTAATGTTGTTTTTGAACTATCAGTAATTTTGTATCATTAGAGAAACTGATACGTTCTCATGTCAGTCGTTGTCATTTTAGACTCAGTGGAGTCTTCCAATCTATATTTTACTCATTTCAACAGAATGTTTTTTTTTTGTCATTTGATAACAGTACAATAAGCAATACAATCTGTCTAATTTAGCATAGCTCATTTAAATTTGATATTTTTCGGACTTTACGTTCCCTTTCAAACATGACGGTCTAGTGAAGTAGAGTTCACTTGCTTCAGTGACCTCGGTATATGAAGGGATTGTAGTAATCATTATGCCCAGCCGCCTTACTCTTCCCTCTACGTGTATTAGTTCCCCACCAGAGTTGGGGGGTGACTCGGAGAAGGTCTACTGACTTTATTTTAGATTAATCTATATTTATATTATTCGTTATTACTTGTTTTCTAATATCCTCTAATAAATCAGTGGTGACACATGAAATACATAACAAACCAGATAGACTATTTATCGAGTTTATTAAAAAAGGGCGCGTTGACATTCTCATGTTACCGAAATTATAACCTTTTAAATGTTAAACAGCTTAATTTAATTAATTTAATTAATTATGAAAAAGGTGCGCAAGATGGCTAAATAGTGCATTATTAAAATAATTTTATTTTTATTTTCACATAGCTTAGTCAGAAGAAAAGGTATCATGAAGACTTAGCTACTAAATCATACATGGTGCTAAATGAACTGATTGACCCAACGAAACTGCTCAGGTGTATAAAAAAGAGCAATGCAGGCTTACTCAACAAGAAAGAAATTGTAAATATGCAGCAATTTTTTAAATAAATATATTAAAACTGGTTTGTAATATACGATGTATTTTTAATATTATAAGTAGCGAAAACATCTATATTTTTGACTGCTTTTTATTAATAGAGAATCCGATCTGACGCTAAAATATACTATCTAAAAATCAATTACTCTCTTTTATTTTTTTAAACCAAAAGAAGAATGTTTTAGTAGCTCAAAAGCTGTAATTTAAGTTACACAATTTTATAAACAGACAAAGATCAAATGCATACTGCAGGAAAAGGATTATTCCCAAAGCTTACGACAACTGATGTTCCATCTTTCATGCAAGAAAAAATGGATTTCAAAGTTGATCAATATTCTTCAAAAACGCGATCAGAAAAAAATATATTTCTTGTTACAAATGATACAATTCTACTACGGCGATCACACCCGTGGATGGGTAAGTTTCAGGTTTGCAATGTTTAAAATTAGTTTCATTAATTATGCAGTTGCAAATTAATATAATGATCAGTGATAAATATTCTATTTATATACGTAAAAAGATCAACACAAAACATGTGAATTGTGTTCTTGTATTGTTTTGTTTCTTCAGACTGCCAGTTACATTCTGACAAAACTAAAAGAACCTCTAGATGTTTATAAAAGGTACAAAATATTTATAAATTTAGGTATCGTTTGACTGATCAGTTTTGGTTTAATAAATATATGAATCATAAACACTAACTTACATAATTAAATGCACAAATACATATATATATATATATATATATATATATATATATATATATATATATATATATATATATATATATATATATATATATATACAAATATATATACAAATATATATATATATATATATATATATATATATATATATATATACGCCTATATCTAAACAGACAGATATAATTTTCACAAAACTTTATATTCAGCCTACAGAAGCTTGCGGTACTCCTCTCTCTGGCTGTAATGCTGTCTGTAATCGCCTTTGTAATAGCAGTACATGCCATCTACACTAGCACAGTAGCCACACAAAATCTGTTGGTAAATGTACAAAACAAGTTAATAAAAAGGCTAGTGACAATTTAAGCGCAATTTCCGTAATTAATTTTTTGTGACCGAACGAAAAGATATTTTTTTTGCTCTAAAAAAAAGACAACTATATTAACCTATATCAACGGAAATAGTTTTATTTTAACGAGTAGGCCTACACGATGCTCACTTTAAAAAAAAATATCATCCTAGGCCTACACGATGCTCAGTTTTAAAAAGTAGTAATTAATTTTTTGTGACCGAACGAAAGGATATTTTTGAAAACTTTCTTCGGCAATATTGTTCTAAATTATGACAGAAATCGATTGATAAATGTTTCAAGTCGCTAAGTGGTCTGGTTGCCGAGATATGGGCAAAAAACTGCATTTTTTTCGAGGTTTTTGGCTTTTCCGGGAAATCCAGGAGGGAATTCCGGGAATTTTTCGAGCCCACAATCATCCTCGGAATTTGCTTAACATATTTGCTTTTGGAACTAGTCCTCGATATTGCTTCGTTGAGGAGGAGATACGACTTAAAGCTGCGGACACACATCCATCCATCCATTTATTCATTCATCCATCCAGAAATGACGAGTTAATAATCGCAATTGTCCGTATGAAAATTGCGCTAAAAATGGGTTAGACATCGTCGAGCATTATTTACAGATAGTTTTTTTAGCATTGGTAATTTATGGTCACAGTACTTTAGCAATGCGTTTTGAACTATTAAAAACTACAATTCCTACCAATAGTATTTTTTTTGTTCAAGTAGCTTATACATCAAAGTATACTTGTATACTTCCTTATATAAACTAAGTTTTTTAAAATTAAATTACTTAATTGTTTATATGCATGATGTTCACTCAAGTCGTATCTCTTTCCTCTAGTCGATACAGATAATACCAGTGAAATCAGGTAAATCATTTCATTACGTGTTCGAACAACAAAAAATAATATTACAGGTCACGGTATCTTTTTATTTATTACACATTGTATTTGTATCTTAACAACGAACAAATTAAGTGAAAATGATAAATCGACCAAAAATCGATTTAACTTTTGATTGTAAAATCAAGTAGAATTCGGATTCAGGAAATTAACCAAAGACTACACACAAATAACTAAAAAGTAAATTTAACAAATATAAAATAATTCTTCTACATCACTCTTAATTATATTTAAAAGAATGGATAAAAATGTATGTTTCTAAACACATCCATATATATATATATATATATATATATATATATATATATATATATATATATATATATATATATATATATTACATATACAGACATAAATATAATATAATTATACATATATACATATATATATACATATATATATATATATATATATATATATATATATATATATATATATATATATATATATATATATATATATATATATATATATATATTAATCTATTTATTTATTTATTTATTTATTTTATTTTAATTTATTTATAACAAAATACTTGTCTTACCAAAAGCTTTCCTTTTATTTATTATAATCGCTTTTATTGATTTAAAGCAATAAGTTCCCTACAAGAGACCACACGTCTGATGGCAACAGTTGTTGCTCACAAGACGATAAAAGCACTACAGGATCTGGCAGGTTCGAATCCAAGTCATGACACACATATTATTTCTCTAATGATACAATAAAGATATTTGTATTCGATACAGTTCTAAACTTTAGATAACTTTTCTTCCAGACAAGAATACCGGTAAAACAGTCGCAGATCTTAATGAGAGAAAAACTGTCGTTCCTTATGAAAGCTCCATCAATATTGGTTTAAAAAATAACGGTTTAGTTATTCTAAAAACAGGTATTGCAACAATCAACTCCAAAACATAAAAAATTAATAATGTCATATTACAATGTCAAATGTTTTATTTAACATCATTAAAATGATATTTTTAATTAGTGTATATATAATGCACAACAAGTAACGAGGATAGAATACAAAAAAAAAGTTCCTTAGGGAACATGAAGATCCACGGGGAAGATGAAGTAGAGTTCACCTGTTTATGTGACCTTGGTATAATAAAGGATAATGTGGTCAGCACTATGTCCAGACACTTTTAATTTCCCAAAAGTGAGTCGGTTACCGTTCAGAGCTGAGTGGACTCACTATAAACTATATATAAAACTATAAACGTGACTTTCATTCACAGGTCTCTATTATGTTTACACTGGTATTGGGGTGAAGTTGATCATGGGAAATAACTCGTCTGAAATAATTTGCACGGTTTGTGATATAGGCCTACTCATGAATGTTTCTAAATTTCCTCGAAATGTAATGTGTGAACATTTTAATTTACTTGATTTCTGGACAAAAGCTGCTCAATAATACTAGAGCATAGACATATTCATAATGCATTAATATAATGACTCCATTCACATGTTTGCTGTATATCTCTAGACCTTATTTTACTACCTGTATCGAGTGAACGCTATGATCGATATGATGACCACTGTTCTGGCTAGATCTCTACAAATCTGCACTGACTTCAAACAAGAAGAAAAAGTCTCCTACATAGGTAATATAATAAATAACAACACAAAGTATTTTAACACCTACCCAAGCAGCTAGCATAGTGAAAACAGCCTTAAATTACCCTCGGTGTTACACAGTCCATATTAATGAAATATTCTACTTAATTCGTTCTTATTTTTATTGTGGAATGTTGTCACTAACTTTAAACTACGCTTATTTATAATATACACGGTTTTTTTTTCTTTGTTAATTTCTAAAAAGTAATATTTAATTAATTTACTGGAATTATTGATTATTTGATTAAAAAAAGTAAGTGTAAATCTCTCGTCAAATGTTTATTAAGACCTATCCTTAATAACATGATAAATGTTTTACAAAATAAATTGCCCAATACAAATTTGCCCCAAACAAATTTGGCAGTGACAAGCTAAATTTTAGTAGTTTTTTATAGTTACGAAACTAATGTTACAATTTTAAAGTACGACTACAATAGTCACAGGATTTCAAAGTTTAAAAATTAAAAATGTGAATCTAGCGATCCATGTCTCTAAATTACCTGATAATTTCCATATCTTCAAACAGGTGGTGTATTTAAGTTATACTCTGGCGACAAAATCGAAGTTCATCTTCACGGTCTTCACCAGTTTAAGCTGATACCTCAGTCTTCATTCGTGGGTCTGTTTATGGTTAAGCCTGAGCCTTGACGTTGAGCAACTAAAATGTTGAACTCGATCCTAATGCCGCAAAATTTGCTGGCACAGAAGTACGACCAACGTCACATTCAGAGCGACTGTTTAAGTTAAAGAGATGCTAAATAATCTACCGCATTAAACGCTTAAACGCATGTAACATTTCAATCTACCACCATCCCTCAAATTATATTATCTTTTTTCTTAACTAGCAGTAAAAAAAAATCCCCCAAAAAATATGATTTTTCAGCATATATAATTTTTTAAAAATCTTTACATTTATGATTATCACTACAGTTTTGAGAAAATGATGATTTAGATATTTATTATAATCAATTATTAAGCTTTATATTATGTTGACAAAACGTCATGTAGCTGATAAAAACGAAACATTTCTGATATATCTGACGTAATTTGTGCTACAAATGTCCAGAAACAATTGTAGAGACAGAAATATCAAAGATTTCCGTAGTTGAAATAAGGAGCTCTACTTAACATTTGTCAACGTTGTTTTTCCTGGTCTTGTTGTAAGCTGTATAAGACCCTTTTAGAGTGTTTTTGTTTACATTGATAAAACCAGCTGCACTATCATCACATTCGTGTGAGAAAAATACTTCACAAACTTTCGTTTATTTTCGTTACATGAAGCTTTATCTTAACACGAAATAGGGTGCATAGAATTTGAAACTGTCTTTGTTACTGGCAAAATGACTAATGTCGGACCAATATGTAATTTGAGATGGGATTGTTATTTTTATTTCTGTATGTTTAGACAGATCTTTTAAAGTTAATTGCTTTTCATAATGTGGTGGTTTACAGGCAAGTTAAAAAATAAAATAGTATTTGACTGATTATAAATACATTTTCACTTTTAATGCGAATCTGACCAATGACAGGAGACGAGAGCCCATTATCTCACGATTTCTTTGGAAACTTTTTTTTAGTGTACATTTTTTTTAATATTTACAACCAGTTTGATTTAAATTTTAAAAAATGCAACATATTTTATACATAATTAACAACGATTAAACCGTTGTATAATTTACAATTCATGCTATAGGCTAATAATCATGATTATGTGTAAACTTTCCTTCAACATGTTTCCGCCTTATCAGTGTAATGATTAATTCCCAGATTATTCACAAATCTATCTGGTTTGTACTTTTTCATGTTACTAATTTTAATTTTAATATATACTATCCGTCCCGGCCAGGCCCTGCTCTGGCTTCTGTGAAAAACCTTTCTGTTAAAGAACATTACCTGTGTGTTTAATAATCATCATAAACCCGGCATTGCCCACCCAAACCACAACCAACCAAAACCAAAACAACAAAACGCAAACATAACGCTACAATTACAAATACAAACGAAAACAAAAACCTAACAACAAACCCAACCACAACCACAAACACCAATACCAACCAATAACAACACACAAAAACGAAAAAGCAAACGAAAACAAACCAAATCCAAACGCAAAACCAACCAAAAACACAAATACAAACCCAAAGAAAAAAAACACAAACAAAATCGAAAAAAGAAAGAACAAAAACGAACTAAATCAAACCGCAACCACTAATGCAAACCCAACCTAAACACAAAGAAAACACTAACGCGAACATAAACGCAAAGTGCTCACAGTCTAGCCCGGGGCGGAATCGCCTGTTTTAGCTTAATAAACGACTATAGTACCCCAACTTATTCATAGTCTTTTGCACTCACTTAAACGAACGCGCCTGTTTCAATTTAATGAACAATTATAATACTCCAAGCTTATCCGTAAAATACCTACAACATTTGCACTTGATCAATCCCCGCTAAGTATGTAATTATTTTTTCCCAACACCAAAACAAAGTAATAAAAAGTAAATTCTTTTCCACTAATGCAATGTTTTATAAAGAGAAGTAATTGTGTTTACCTAATTTATCAAAGGGAAGTAAGTGCTAAAGGACTAAATATAAATAATTTTCAGACATAATTAGAATTTTTGTTATTTTTTTAAAATTATGTTTAATGAACATGCCGACAATTATTATTATCAGTTTGAAAAATGAAAATTATTTCCCAACACTTTCAATAGTAATTTTTTAACTCATAAATTTAGACTATGAGCACGATAATAGTCTAACACTTAAATCCATGGAAGTATGTCCACGACAAACAAATTTATTTTTACATACAGAACTGAGCTTTATATTTTAGATATATATATATATATATATATATATATATATATATATATATATATATATATATATATATATATATATATATATATATATATGTGTGTGTGTGTGTGTGTGTGTGTTTTATGTTTTAAACTTTACAGACAATATATTAAAGTATTAAAAAATTTTAAGGTGTAGTAAAGAATTATTTTAATTTATGTTAATAATATTAGGAAAATGTATTGTAATAATTATACTTTTATCGCCAATCATAAATAATTATTTATTCGTTAAGTTGATCTATGATTTGTGTGGTCGAAAACTTTTCCATGTGGGATGCCATTACAACAACCGTTTGGTCGGTCAGTCTTGCAATTCATATGTCGATTAATATTTCGGTTGTCGGTCTGCTAGTCCGTCTGTCGGTCATTTCTTTAGTCGAATGATCGTTCTAGTGATCATGGTAAACATGTTAGCATTTTAGAGATAGACAGTTTTAAGTTGGATCCTGTCTAATAATTCTATGTTATAATATATCTTCACATGTACAGTGTAATGTATTTTAAATACAGGTGTCTCACGTAAACAATCCGTGAGCAATTTAGTTTTCGATAACTTTTTAATGTTTAACACCAACACAATATGCCGTGTTCTGATCGTGTGACATGAAACACAAAATCAAGTCACCCAGATCGAAACCCATTAGGTGATTGATTTTGCCGTGGGCTCTGTCCACAAATACAATGGGGAACAATCGAGCTTCTGGAGACTTTTCGCTCTGATCAATGTCAAACAAGAGTTGTCCATTTGTGTCATGGAAATGTTCAAAGTTTAAACAGGAAATTCACAACAGCATAAAACGGTTGGTGTAGTGGTAGGACAGGAACTTCATTAAACGCTTGCTAGAACAGTCGCCGGCTAATTAAGAACATAGTCCAACAGTCGCCGGCTAAGTAAAAACTTAATCTATCATTCGTCGGCTAATTAAAAAAATTAGTCCAACATTTGCCAGCCAATCAAAATCTTACTAAAACATTCGCCGGCTAATAAAAAAACTTGGTCCAACATTCATCGGCTAATAAAAAAAAACTTACTACTGAAATCGACAACTAATCCAAAAGTTAGTCCAACATTTGCCGACCTATCAAAGACTGAATCCAACATTTTACTTAATCCTTATTTATCTTATGTATTATTATATTTTAAGCTTTATTTAAATTGATAAAGGTAATGTGTTTGCCGCCGTAATAAAATGTTTGAAGCATTGAAGAATTAAAATAAACTTTAAATCAGAATTATCGAATCTACTTGTATTATTTCTGACATACTTTGTGCATGAATTTCCCATAATAATATACAATAATGGATAGGTTTTAGAAATAGAGACACCTCGAATTATAATGACATCAGAATCAAAACTATTGTCAGCACATGAAATTAGATCAACCATTTCCCAATTAATCAATATAGACCTCAGTACCTGATGACGTCACCAACAATTTATGAGGACACAGCCAATGCATCACAGACCATGCCAACAGAACCTGCACGAGACAACACAATCACATGTCTTAACGACTAGTAAAGCAATGCCCTGTTTAACTGTTCGCTAAAGGCAAGTTGTATACACACCGCCAATTAACTTTCTATTATGACTGACCCCAAGTTCGAACGCCCCTACAGATGACTCTCGTCAGCTGGGGGACAGCAACCCGTGTAGGAGAGAATGTTCTGGAATCAAACAGGAGTGGAGCCCCTTAGGCGCATAGAGTACCAACCTTGGTTTCCTTCCAACAACTCCTGCGACACTGCGGATGCCAATTTGTACAGGTAATGCCCCTGCCATAGGAAACATCAGCTGTGTGGAGTGTGTGTGGGGGGGGGGGGGGGTGTGAAATATGGCTCATTTGGCTCTGCTCAACTTTCTGCCCAGGTTTTGCGCCTATATCTCCAAGTCGCAATCATCTAACCGTCTTACATATTATGTAGACATTTGTTTAACTTATGACTAAATAGATATCTTTAGTTCGTAAAGGCTTTTTAAAAAAGCAAAAAAATAATAATTAAATAAACAGACCACTGCTATAAGTTGCGAGTTGAACTGCGTAGTTAAACGCTGAACGAATCGAGTTCGAATCCAAGGGCTAATTCTTTAATCCGGTCCGTGAAGTCTTAATCAATACCAGCTGTTTGACCTGCCGCCTCAACTGGAGCGTGCACCATAGAACTAATCACCAGCAGAAGCAGACGATAACACGCTTGATCGAACACACAAGGGACATGAAAATCGATAAACACAAACTCCATAAAAATCGCGTATTTTTTTTCCAACTACTTTCCTTACGATTTATTGCAATTTATCACACAATGCTAATTTTAGCGACATTCCAACTTCGATTTTTTAAAAGCAGTTATTTTTTTTTACAAAAGTGTTAATTAATCATCAAAGTCTATACTTATTCCCTAATCATATTAATTACATTCAATGACGCAATATTTTTAATTCCTTGATCTATTAAAAGATAAAACGTTTATTTTTAAATAGCATTCTGTGTAAAAGAATAACACTGAAACTTTAGTGTCTACACTAAGACTAACCACCACAGAATCCATATATAGACCTACTTAATGAATACTGTGCACATGTTTTTTTTTTGCCATTTCCCAACAATGCACTCTTTATAAAAGTACGAGTAAGATAAGCGTCAGTAGAATTTTGATATTGGTTTACTGTTGGGGTTAGGCTAATGGTTAGGGTATTGGCGCCACTTGGGTTATGGCTAGTGTTAACACCAGAAGAGGACAATAACCAGTAATCGACTACGAACATCCTGAAACCTCATTGTCTAGACGATACCGATATTGTAGCATTATTAGAAATAATAGTATGAAATATATACCAAAAAAAATCAAACTATCCAATAACAACCAGAGACTGACAACTACAGAATTATCCGATAACAACAAGGGACAGACAACTACAGAATTATCCCATAACAACCAGAGACTGACAACTACAAAATCCCAAAACAATCAGGGAATGACAACTACAGAGTTATCCCAAAACAGCCAGGAACTGATAACTACAGAATTAACCGATAACAACCAGAGACAGACAACTACAGAATTATCCCATAACAACAAGGGACAGACAACTACAACGGTCTCATTTTCATCTCCGAGAAAACCACGCTGCCCAGGTACCCCGTGACGTCATACCAGTTCAACCCTTGACCGTAGACGACACTCCCCCACATCCCGTTGAGGTTGGAGGCGTGGCAGGCTGAATACCACCAGGCGCCCATGAAAACGACGGCACAGCTGTCCAGGTACATGTCGGTGTCCCTGTCGTAGGTACTGAAAGTCTGGTTATTCTGTGCAGCCAGGTCGTCGCCCGCGGTGCCAGAATACCCGGATATGAGCAGCCTGTATCCTTCCGCCTCGCTGAGAAGTTGGAAACTGGAATATTTCGCGTAGTAGCTGGTGGAGTTGTAGACAATATCTACCCGGAGTTCATGTTGGGATTTTGAATTGAGGCAGTAGATGTTTTCGTTACCGAGGTAGAAGTTCCCCAGACCGTAGTCCCCGAAGCCGCGTTTGTATTCCTCCCAGCCGCGGAAGAAATCTACGGTTCCAGTGACACGTCTTTGGAAGACGGTCCAGCCTCCGCCGTCGGTCACCGTGTCGCACATGACGACCAGACCGGAAGCCAGGGTGACGATTTTTCTGGGATCGCTGCCGATGACGTCACGGCAGGAGGTGTAGAAGCCAGGGTTGAAAGGTTCAAAGGTCGTGTTGTTTCCTAAGGTCACGTAGTTTCCTGCAAATTTATGACTTAAAAAGCTAGTCATGGTTTGAAAAGTATTAGCTTCTATAGGTTTTTTTTTTCATAAATCTCACATTTATTGCACCCATTTTTTCCCCATTAACAATATTATGGCTCTGTTGCAAAGAATATTTTTATCTTCTAACCTTTATGCTTTAGAACATTGTTTCTTCCAGACTTTTTTTCTCCGGGGGGGGGGGGGGGGAGCACTTGAAATTTTCGGGGGGGGGGGGGGGGACACTGGTAAATATATATTTTTTCTATATAAATTCTATTTCGTTGGGGGGGGGGGGGTGGGGCGGTAGACTTTCTTCGAGGGGGGGGGCACAGTCCCCCCCCCCCTCCTCTTCCGAAGAGATGCCTGGAAGAAACTCTGCTTTAGACTTTAGGTTGATGTAAAGTTTACCTAGTAGGAAATTAAACATTCATTATACGTCCCCCCTATGATTTGCTTACACAACAATACACGCTATACTTAAGATATGCTATCGACTATGTCCAACTGTACAGGGTGTTTAAGATGTGTACTGACCTTGACATTTAGCATCCAGGCACGTGCCAGCACTCGGTGTGTTGTTACACAAGACACCCCTCGTGTAAATCTTGGTGGTCAGCGACCTGAGGGTCGTGTTGTACGGCACCAGCCATGACCCTGGCGTTGTGAGTGTTTGAACAATGAATAGTAATTAGTATCTTAATTATGTAATGTGACTTGATTAATTTACTCATTGTGAAGCACAGGGCCTTAACTATAATCTGCCATCTCGTCCAATCCTCGGTTGTTGATTTTGCAATCTCCAGAGACAACCCTGCTGCCTTCAGTTCTTCGAGAACAATCCGCCTCCAGGTCTGTCCAGGTGCTTATCAAACCGTGAGAGAGAGTGTACTTAGTACTTATCAGGCCGTGAGAGTGTACTCAGTTTTTATCAAGCCGTGAGAGTGTACTCAGTGCTCAAGGCGTGAGAGTGTACTCAGTACTTATCAAACCATGAGAGTGTACTCAGTACTTATCAAGCCGTGCGAGTGTACTCAGTAATTATCAAACCATGAGAGTGTACTCAATACTTATCAAACCCTGATAGTGTACTCAGTACTCACCTAGCCGTGAGAGTGTACTCAGTACTCACCAAGCGTACACTGCCGTGTGAGGTTGTTGTAAGCGAAGCTGCGACACAGGACAGAGTCCAAACATCTGAAGGCACACGACGTTCTCCTGATGTTGGTGAACTGGGCGGCAAGCGGCAACATCACGGCATCGCTGCTCTTGTAGGACGTGAAGGTGCTGATAGACTGGCCAGCAGTCGTCACGTCAACTGTGGTTAATTTAGAGCAAAGTTTCGGTTAATTTAAATATCACTAATTAATTGTAAATTTAGAGGTAAAAACTCATCAAGGTTTTTAAAAATTGTCACTTGTATTTATCAATTCAGAAAGAAAATACAGATATTTTTAAATCGAAAAAAGAGGATGACGCATGCTGTATAAGGAAGTGACCAGTGACCGGATGATATCACGGACATGCAGAGTTTCTTCCAGACATCTCTTTGGGGAAGGAGGTGCCCCCCCCCCCTGAAAATTTCAAGTGCCCCCCCCCCCCCCCCCCCCCCCGGAGTAAAAACTGAACTCACGCTGCTCCATATATTTTATATATTTAAATATATTTTACTTTTAAACTAAGCCTTAAAATATATTCAAAAGTATTTTAAAACAAATTAAAATGCCTACACGAATTCAGCCCGAATATCTAGCAATCTAAACATGCACCATCAGATGTCAGATAAGTTCCAACAAAGACCTACCTTGAAAACACGCAAGCATCAAAAGGGACTGGAACAATTCCATCGCTATTAGCGTGGCTGGCACAACTTCTGGACCGACTCTAGAATCACTCACTGCTGGTCAGTGCAGCGTGACGTTCGAGATTATCACGTGATTCAAACTGCTCAAAGCTGGCGATTGATTGGCTAGTCGTAGTGGTGACGTAACCAAGTTTATAGCGAGCGTGACCTGGGGAAATCGTGGGCAAAGTAGGCCTATTTGATGCGTGTAATGGCGTCACACGGTGGGGTGTTGTATGGCCAATGTTTCGCTTTAGTCAAATACAAGGGGTTCGGAACTTTGTTCAGTGTTTCTTCCAGACTTTTTTCTCCGGGGGGGGGGGGGGAGGCACTTGATATTTTCGGGTGGGGCGGTCGACATTTTTCGGGGGGGGGGGGCGGACACTAGTAAAAGTGTATGTTTACTATATAAATTCCATCTCGTTCGCGGGGGGCGGTTGACTTTTTTCGGGGGGGGGGGGGGGTCGTCCTCGTCTTCCCCCCCCCCCCCCCCCCGAAGAGATGCCTAGAAGAAACTCTGCCATTGTTATAATGGGCGTTTTGTGGCGTAACTAGACCTTGTTTCCCTCGATGATTTAACTCAGGGTGTCACTTAGCAAAGATATACATACAATGAGTTCTCTGTAAAATGTGATCATTTTCGTGCCGTTGTCAATACACCCTCCTTGGTTAGGTAACGCTAACCTTCGCGTTATGATTCATTTAATTTTGATCAATTAATAATTTAGCTGGTCATAGAATTAATTTCACACTAAATTTTGTAATTTATCGCTTTAGTGTCACCACCCCCCACCCCAATCCAGTGGCGTAGCGAGGTCAGGCCCCAGAGGCGTAGCGATCCTTCCCGGGGACAAACTTTCAAGTTTTCGATTTGCACCCCCCACCTCAAACTTTCGATTTGCACCCCCCCCCCCCCACTCAAACTTTCGATTTGCACCCCCCCCTCAAGTTTTTCTCTATATATTTTGCTATTTTCCGCCTTTGTGTCACCCCCCTAAATGGTGTCACCCGGTGCGGTCCGCACCCCCCGCCCCCCCCCCCTCGCTACGCCCCTGCTACCATCTCATCCTACCACTTTATGACGGTACTGCTACACTAATCCAAATGTCAAGTGTGTCTTTCGTGCATCTCTCCACATCACATTCAACACACCCCCACCCCTTTCCAGAAGAAATAAAGTCACTGTTAAATTTATATAGAAAATATAGAACATATATACTTCAACCCCCTCCCACCTCCCCCACCGAAACTTCACGTGCCCGTCCTCGGCCCCTGGATAAACCCGCACACGCCGCCCAGTGTTTCTTCCAGACTTTTTTCTCGGGGGGGGGGGGGGGGGGGGACTAAAATTTCCGTGGGGGGGGGGGTGCGGTCACTGTTAAAAGTATACGAGCCGACCCGCTGCGTATCATACGCCGCTATTTAGTTGTTTTTTTTTTCTACTTTTCAGTAATTTATAATTTTTGAATTCGACAGTACCAATGCTGCCATTGAAAATATTTGCTTAAAAACACTAACCCCCCCCCCCCCCCCCCCCCACGTGAAAGCAGCCTCCTCTTAGTTACCTCCTCTAAGTTTAAAATCGTTTCAAACTAAATTATCTGCCCCTAATAGCCGTCACCAAACCCGTCTCTATGATTGTAAAATGTAAACAGAGTGAACACCGCTCACCAGATCATGTGGGGGTGGTAGTGATAGTGATAGAGAGAAAGAGAGGGGACTGCAAGGAGGCGCTTGCAGCTTGTTTTCTAACTGATCCCAGAAGAGAATTATATATATAGATATTTTCTATATAAATTACATTTCGTTGGGGGGGGGGGGTGGGGGGATGTGGAAGAAACTGACGTCACCGGCCTATAGACTAAGTGAATCACTCGTCAACCATCACGACCTCTAGGGCATCAAAGAGTTCTCTCCACCAGCCATGACGTCACACCCACCTCGCGTCTGGCTGCTAAAAAGTACCAGCTCCGCTAAGTGCAACCTGGTATGGAATGTTTGTCGACGTCTTTGGAACGAGTAGTTGTCAATGTTGATAGACGCACGTGCAAAGGCTAGCTCGAGCATTAAATTTAGTCACTTTTGATAGTTGTACGTGCTTGACTAGCTCGTGCGTTTTTACTTTTATCGGTGGATATCTAAACAACAGCAAATATTTTCATCCCTTACCCCCCCCCCCCCCCCCCTTAAGCTGGACAACTAATTTCTCTTCCTATTTGTTGACGTTAGAAAAAAATATCCTTACAGTACAACTGCTTGCTATAAGATTAGCATAATCTCACAAAAAAATCGAAATCCTTATATTTAAATACATCTCCCCTAAAAAAAAAAAATAAACAACCATTTCACATGTTAGTCTACAGCATATTTCATCTGGTACTACAAGTTATAGGTTTTAGAAAGAAAAAGCATGTTTATTATATTTTGACATAATATGGTATTCATAAATATTTGATTTGACATAAGGAATACAACTTACAAATTTACTATGATCAATAAATTCTAAGGTATGGTACAGTAATCGCCTTAACCACAGTGAAAGAGAACAAGATCATTTTCAAAATAGTTTAAAAGAGACTGCTAGTCAAAGATTGAAGTAAAGGCACATCTCTCTTTATTATACATACATACATACATAATACCGACACGTCTCATAAGCAGCATTCTGACGTACAGTGTTGTGTATTTAAAGAAAGACAAGTTTGTTCAGGAATATTTACAACCAACTTAGTAAAACAATGACTCTTATAACATGGTACTGGTACACTAAAACCCATAGGGAAAGATGACATGTTGTAATATGAATGGCTACAGACTGTAACACTTTTGGTTTTACTAATGCACTTGACCACTTTAAATTTAAAATATACTAACCAACCAATCACCTTGAAAAGATTCTAAAAATAACCATCCAATCAGATTGAAATATATTATTAAAACAACCATTAAATCACTTTGAAATATACTCAATCATGCAATAAATTTGTAATACTAAAATAACCAGCCAATCACTGAAATGTACTAAAAATATCATCCAATCAATTTGACATTGCTATTACAATAACCAATCAATTGGTAAATGTCAGCTTATTTTGTTTGGCAACTTTCTTTATTCTAGAGGGCGGAATGTTTCTCCATTTATCTTTCAGCTGTTTGTTGGTTCTGGAGGTGCCCAGTTGAACTTTGATCTCGGCCCAGCGACCTGGAGAAGGATAGGACAGAGACTGAGCAGGGGCCAGGACAAGAGACACAGACTGTCTTTAACAAGGGACACAGATTGTCTTTAATAAGGGACACAGATTGTCTTCAATAAGGGACACAAACTGTCTTTGACACGGCACACACTGGTCAAGGTCCAAAAGCCCCCTCATCCCCACCCAAAAATTTTAGTTAGCCTCCACCCCCAAATATTTAAGGGCCCAAGATGGATGACAAACGTCTGATGAAAATGGACCAACGTCTGACCAAGATGGACCAACATCTGACAAAGATGAACAAATAGCTGGACTAGATGGACAAATAGCTGGACTAGATGGACCAACATCTGACAAAGATGGACAAATAGCTGGACTAGATGGACAAATAGCTGGACTAGATGGACAAATAGCTGGACTAGATGGACCAACATCTGACAAAGATGGACAAATAGCTGGACTAGATGGACAAATAGCTGGACTAGATGGACAAATAGCTGGACTAGATGGACCAACATCTGACAAAGATGGACAAATAGCTGGACTAGATGGACAAATAGCTGGACTAGATGGACAAATAGCTGGACTAGATGGACCAACATCTGACAAAGATGGACAAATAGCTGGACAAGATGGACAAATAGCTGGACAAGATGGACAAATAACTGGACAAGATGGACAAATAACTGGACAAGATGGACAAATAACTGGACAAGATGGACAAATAGCTGGACAAGATGGACAAATAACTGGACAAGATGGACACATAGTTGGATAAGATGGACAAATAGCTGGACAAGATGGACAAATAGCTGGACAAGATGGACAAATAGCTGGACAAGATGGACAAATAGCTGGACAAGATGGACAAATAGCTGGACAAGATGGACAAATAGCTGGACAAGATGGACAAATAGCTGGACAGACATCTGACCATGATGGACTGATATCTGACCAAGATGGACAAATAGCTGGACAATAGCTGGACAAATAGCTGGACAAGATGGACAAATAGCTGGACAAGATGGACACCAACCTTCTCCAGTTTTTAAAGTCTGGATGATGAAACTGTCCTCTTCTGCTGTGGTCCACTTTCTCCGCTTGCCTTTTGAATGTTTTGGTGACATCTGTAATCAAGGAGTTACTAGTAAAAACTGTGGTCAGCTAAATGTGTGGTTAACTAAGGCAATCAGCTTACATCTTAAAACAAAATTATTGATTTTTGTAGCAAGTAAACTAGTTCATAACATTTCAGCAACTTTCAAATCTCTAAAAAGCAGGTGTTTCCTTTCTTGTATAACTTTAAAAGGGCAGATAAAGGAGAGTTTGTGTCTGTAATTTCTGAATATCAAGATATAGTGCTGTTATACTCTTAGTCCCATCTCCTATGCCTTCCTTAAGTATAGTACCCATTAGAATTTAGTATGGTTAGCGAGGTATAACTGACTCTAGTCAGTGTGAAAAAGAACACTAGGTCTTACAGAACTAATGATCCACAGGCATATGAAAGGATAGCGTGGTCCGCACTTTACCTTCCCTAAAAAGATTTAGATACCCATCAGAGCTAGATCGACTAACTTGAGACCTTCAGGCTAACATTCAAGCACTCTACCACCAAACCACACATCCCAGTCTTAACATGCAGATAAAGCGGACATTTGTTTTTGAGATCACTTTTTTGCTTATGAAAAATGAAATCACCAACTGGGTTAGAGCCGTATGTTTAAAACTATTTAACTGGTCAGCTGGTGGATTTATTAGCTACACACCAGGTTATACCTATAAAAAAAAACTTACATCAAGTTTTCTCTTGAAATGCATGGGTGTAGAATCTGCTGAGCTGGAACTTGATGACGATAACCTTCTTGGTGAGTGATGAACCAACTGCCTTTTTTGAGGGGAGCTAAGGGACCTTGACCTTCTAGGTGAGTGCTGAACCAACAGCCTTACGTAAGGTGAGTGAGATGACTGTGTACTTTTGGGTGAGGTGTTCCGCTGCTGACTTTTATGAGGGGAGCTGGATGACCTTGACATTCTAGGTGACTTTTCTGTTGGTTTTTTGTGAGGTGAGCTCAACGACCTTGAACTTGGCGAGGTGTCGACCTTGTGTGTTTTCAGGGGTGAGCTGGAGGCCCTTGAACTACTGGGTGAGTGATCTTTTCTTCGTCTTTTGTGGGGTGAGCTGGGTGACCTTGACCTACTGGACGAGCTGGCAAACAAGTGCTTTCTGTGGGCCGAACCAGGTGACCTTGACCTCCTGCTTGAGTTCTGTAGTGTGTGGGTGGTGCCATTGTGTTGGTTCTTTAAAGGTGATGCACTTGGTGACCTGAGCTCTTGGACCTTGAGCAATAAAAGACATTGAAAGTATTCCAATTATTTTGTTCTAATGTAAGCAATGTTGTTCAGTTAAAGACATCTATACTGTCTTGACCAAGATTTATTTATTTCCATATAGCTTAAAGATATAAATCTTCAGGGGTTAAAAGTCAAGAAATCTGTACAGCTGTCTGATGAATATCAAGCAAGAGTTAATTATTCTTATATTCTAATGTTAGTGCTATAAATTACTGAATATAAGTTACTGTTTGAGCTATGTGTTTTGTGGTAAGTTTATATATATATATATATATATATATATATATATATATATATATATATATATATACACATATATATATATATATATATATATATATATACATATATACATATATATATATATATATAAACATACATATTTATATATAACACAGTTACACATATATTTATATACATAAATCATCATCATCTTATCCCATTTGTGTCCAAGACATTTGGGGCAAATGAATTGGTTCATCTGTTGAAATTACCCCAGCATTCAAATGATAGTGTAGTCAGCTGCCTTGTTTATGTTAACATGAGACAGGTATATATGTTTGTATTTCTTTCTTACCTTTCTAGATTTTTGTTGATTGTCTTCTAACAACTTGTCTTTCTCGTGTTTTTTCAGCTGAAGACCATGTAACCTGGCTATTTCAGCATCCAATTTACTGTAGGACAATTAATAGATGGTAAAAGATAATTATTTTATGGGTCGAAATACCAAAGTACAAAAATTTTTTTTATTAAAATCCGCTTATAAAACAAAATATATGAATAAAAGTGCTAATTTTGAACAAAGATGTACTACTTTACAGCCAACAATAAATTAAGTTAATACCCAAAAAGAACAAGTAAAAATTGTAAAGAGATATAACAAGACTTATGTAATGATTAGCTTAAACATAAATTATAAAAGAAGATAAATTCCCAGTTTTCAAACCTCACAGTCTAATAAGGCAGGTAAAGTAAGGAGCAATCGCCTGAATCTTTGATTAAGGCATATTAAGGTAACTGGTCAGCAACCTTTACACACTCTCTAAACAGAGCCAGGTACCTGATATAGCTGAGTGGGCTCAGGGGCATCCTTAACACCCCAGCCCAGCAGCCAACTCATAAGCTCTATCCCTCAACCATAGTTATTAATCTTAACTTCAAACACTTTCCTCTACCTCAGTCACATATAAAACAAGAAAGGTACCAGAAAACATATACACCAGTCAGATGTAAAACAAGAAAGGTATCCCTCAACCATAGTTATTAATCTTAACCTCAAACACTTTCCTCTACCCCAGTCAGATATAAAACAAGAAAGGTATCACTCAACCATAGTTATTGATCTTAACCTCAAACACTTTCCTCTACCCCAGTCAGATATAAAACAAGAAAGGTATCACTCAACCATAGTTATTGAACTTAACCTCAAACACTTTCCTCTACCCCAGTCAGATATATAACAATAAAGGTATCACTTAACCATAGTTATTGATCTTAACCTCAAACACTTTCCTCTACCCCAGTCAGATATATAACAATAAAGGTATCACTTAACCATAGTTATTGATCTTAACCTCAAACACTTTCCTCTACCCCAGTTAGATATATAACAATAAAGGTATCACTTAACCATAGTTATTGATCTTAACCTCAAACACTTTCCTCTACCCCAGTTAGATATATAACAATAAAGGTATCACTTAACCATAGTTATTGATCTTAACCTCAAACACTTTCCTCTACCCCAGTCAGATATAAAACAAGAAAGGTATCACTCAACCATAGTTATTGATCTTAACCTCAAACACTTTCCTCTACCCCAGTCAGATATATAACAATAAAGGTATCACTTAACCATAGTTATTGATCTTAACCTCAAACACTTTCCTCTACCCCAGTCAGATATAAAACAAGAAAGGTATCACTCAACCATAGTTATTGATCTTAACCTCAAACACTTTCCTCTACCCCAGTCAGATATATAACAATAAAGGTATCACTTAACCATAGTTATTGATCTTAACCTCAAACACTTTCCCCTACCCCAGTTAGATATAAAACAGAAAGGTACCATAAAACATATTTCTACATTCTTCACCCCCAACTCACCTGACTTTCCCAACTGGGGACTCATGTTTCTTCTTTTCATCTCTAGCTTCTAATCCCAGATTCTTGTAAAAAGTTTCTTTCCAACGGCTCTCAGCTTTTTTACACACACGACCCTCGTCCACACTGCCACCGGCTACATCATAGTCGTCAGTTGCGTCAGTGTCACTCTCACTATTGTCATCTGTTGTGTTACTGGCATGTGTCGTATTACTGTCATATGTCAGGTTATAGTCATATGTGGCATCACTACAATGAAAATAAACAAGTTAAAAGTCTGCAATTTTACTTTACCAAAAAAAAAAGTTATTTGATTATTTAGTATTCATTCAACACTATAAATAATGATTTTTTTATTTAAAATATTTGTAATGGCTTGATAAAAAATTTCGAATGTAAATAGATATTTTTTTGTTACCTGTTGTTAAAGTGTGTGAAATCTGATGACTTGTACAAACCATCTACAAACTGAAACAATTTGAAAGATAGTGTTAGACTTGTACAGACCATCTACAAACTGAAACAATTTGAAAGATAGTATTAGGTTTCATAAAGATCCACTTTAATGTAAATTAGATTTTGAAAGATCTGTTTCACACTGAGCTAGATTTTGAATATCGTTTAACACATAATAATATACATGTGTTATTTATCGAAACAGACTAAGTTTTGAATTCTATTCTCAAAATTCTAGTCTCATGTTAGCTCCCAAGTTACATCTGGAATATGTGATTACGTCAACAACAGCTCCGCTATTAAGCCGATAAATTAGAATATTCCACCACTTTCCATTAATTATTCTAATTTTCTTTTTTGTTATATAGTATGCCTCAAGACTTTGAATGCCAACTATAAAAATCCTGTCTAGAACTTCTTCCCATTTTGAACTGCTCAGATTTATGACTAGAACATCCCTGAGTCCATCTGAACTGCTAATGGGTCAATGACATAAGCATAGGCAGCTAGGCATAGTGCTAACAACACCATCCCTACATAAGCTGATGTCAAGAAACATGAGGTCTACTTCACCTGCCCAATGGATTCTAGCTATGACGCAGAACTTAACTTAATGCTCCATTTATTTATAATTTTAAGCATGTTTATAAATATCAGTTTGACTTTATGTTTATAAACAGACTTCATTAAAAAAAAACACAAAAAATGTGTATAACAGTTTTAATCACACATTTTTAAAAATACAAGATTGTATACAATTACAATTATTCAGTGTTCACATGCTAGAAATTAATCACAGTCAGCTCAAGACATAATTATAAATGATGCAAGCAATTAATAGATTACTGCCACAACAATTATGGTCCAACATACAAATAATGTTAGAAGCAAATAATTTACTACCATTAAAAATATAATATATTTATAATAATTACAAAAATGTTTCAAGTATAACACTAAACTAATAAAATACAAAACATAGATTTTTATCAAGAATATATGAAATGTAAAATGAACTGATAAAATAATTAGATAAATAATTTACATAAATTTAAAAAATTGTTCCCTGCAAAAGTTACAAACATGTATAATAAAGGTGAAGTTGTACATAAATAGGATCTTATGTACAAACCAAATTTGGCTGCCATTATGATAAGCAAGTAGTTTTAAAATTTGTTGAGGAAAAGTATTGCTTTAAAAAGTTTAAAATCATATGAAGAAATGTATGGAACAGAATAATAAAAGTCTTATCTATAAATACTGTGATTACTAGTTAAAACTGTGATTTAAAAAAAACAGAAATTAACATTATCACATTTGTTGTGACTTTATTAGCTAACATTATCTTGATAACTAATTTAAACTGTGATTTGAATAGAAAAAATGTGATTGATGTGGCTTCATAGTTGCCTACTGTCCATGATCAGTTGTCACAGAAACTAAGACACAGCTATATACAATTTCTACATTATGTAAAAGTTACCATATAACCACTTGAATATAATTATCATTTCTACATATAACTTTTATTAAAGACAACAAAAAATGACAATCTTTATTTTTAGCCACATGGGTCTAAAATATTTGTATGTAATATCACTTGGATATGTGTAAAAATAAAAACTGTACAATAAAAGAAAAAAAAAGGAAATACTGACAAGTATCTTAAAAGTAATTTCTAATACTTTTTTTTTTATTTCTGAAAGACCTTTAAATATTAGCCAGTGACCAACCTCACCCATAAGTCATCCAGCAGTATGACTAAATACTGACCATCAGTTACCAGCAGTATGACCAAATACTGACACAGCCAGTGACCAAACACTGACACAGCCAGTGACCAAACACTGACACAGCCAGTGACCAAACACTGACACAGCCAGTGACCAAACACTGACACAGCCAGTGACCAAACACTGACACAGCCAGTGACTAAACACTGACACAGCCAGTGACCAAACACTGACACAGCCAGTGACCAAACACTGACACAGCCAGTGACCAACATCAAACACTGACACAGTCAGTGACCAACAGTATGACCAAAAATAGCCACCTAAACCTGGTTACACAACACTATCCTGATCCTCCAACATATCAAAGAGCAGGTTGGACACAGCTTGCTTGAACTTGCGCTTGTTTCTGCTGCCAAGTTCATTGATGGATGGGAGCAGGCCCTGGAAGAAACGCAGGTCCGCCTCGGATTCGCTTTCACCCACAGGGATGTGCTGGCGTTTTCTGCTGCCCTGGGGGCTGGGTTCATGCCCAGCGCTGTTTACCTTTGCGTGTGGGTCACCTATTTCCTGGGTCAGCTGTGACTGGTTGCTGGCAGTGGGGGTAAAAACTGCTTGGGATGGTTCAGGTAAATATGAAGATGTAGACACATAGTTAGCGGGATTGGGTGGTGCATCTACATTTCTATATGGTGTTATTTCAATAGTTCTGTATGGTGCCATCTCAACATTTCTGTATGGTGTCATGTCAACATTTCTAAATGGTGTCATCTCAACATTTCTAAATGGTGTCCCAGCAATAGTACTCTGCGGTGTTACATCAACATTTTTCTGAGGAGCTGATTCAAAACTTCTCTGTAGTGCCACGTCAGCATTTTGTTTGTTTGGGTCTACATCATGTGGTATCACATCAACATTTCTGTTTGCTGCAACATCAACATTTCTATGTGGCGCCACATCAACAATTCTCACAGACGCCATATCAACATTCCTCACAGCTGCCATATCAACATTCCTCACAGCTGCCATGTCAACAGCTTTCCCTGGCCCCATGCCGCCACTTCTCTGTGACGTCACTACCTCACTCTCCTGCGACGTCATGTCAAGGCTCCCACGCTGCGTCACGCTGACATCATTCCCACAATCCTCCAGCACTATCATGCCGTCCAGGATAGATTTCAACTCCTTCAACTTGGAGTCCACCAGCGAGGTAGAGCTTTCAATGACCAGTCCTGAGCTATCAGCCACATCCTGGGAACTCGAGCTTGCTGAGTCTCCTGGTGACAGAAAACAAAGTCAGTCACTGACCACAAATTAACTAGAGCTTGCTCAATACATCTTGGCCTATAAATTATCTACAATCTGACTTGAGATTATAGGACAGTGTGGTTTGATGATTGAGCTTAAGACTGCTAACAATCAACTAACGCACAAAACTGATAACTTGTGTCTTTAATCAAATATTACACAATCAACTAACTAATGCACAAAACTGATAATTTGTGTCTTTAGGAAATATTACACAATCAACTAACTAATGCACAAAACTGATAATTTGTGTCTTTAGGAAATATTACACAATCAACTAACTAATGCACAAAACTGATAATTTGTGTCTTTAGGAAATATTACACAATCAACTAACTAATGCACAAAACTGATAATTTGTGTCTTTAGTAAAATGTTACACAATCAACTCCACTTGTATCAGGGACAGACCTAATTCTGGGTTTAACACAACTAGTCAGTCATTATTCTTGTCTAATATAAACTCCACTTCTTTGCCAACTTGGTCACATTATGAGATAATATTTTAAAAAACAAACAAAGCACCATTTTTATATAAAGATGAATGATCTGTTTGTTTAATTTACCCAGCATATAAAAGAATTGAGGGATAGGATACTTTATCATTGTTACAATAGAGAGATTTCAAGAGTATGTCATTATGACAAACACGAGATGTACTACAACAATATACCTGGGACTGTATGTCATTAAGACAAATACAAGGTGAACTACTACAATATACCTGGGACTGTATGTCATTAAGACAAATACAAGTTGTACTACAATCTACCTTGGACTGTATGTCATTAAGACAAATACAAGTTGTACTACTAAAATCTACCTGTGACTGTATGTCATTAAGACAAATACAAGATGTACTACTACAATCTACCTGAGACTGTATGTCATTAAGACAAATACAAGTTGAACTACTACAATCTACATGGGACTGTATGTCATTAAGACAAATACAAGTTGTACTACTACAATATACCTGGGACTGTATGTCATTAAGACAAATACAAGTTGTACTACTACAATATACCTGGGACTGTATGTCATTAAGACAAATACAAGTTGTACTACAACAATCTACATGGGACTGTATGTCATTAAGACAAATACAAGTTGTACTACTACAATCTACATGGAATTGTATGTCATTAAAACAAATACAAGTTGTACTACAATCTACCTTGGACTGTATGTCATTAAGACAAATACAAGTTGTACTACTACAATCTACATGGGACTGTATGTCATTAAGACAAATACAAATTGTACTACTACAATCTACCTTTACCTCCTCCACTGTTCAGTTTTTGGTAACTTGAAAATGAAATGTTCTTGACAACATCTTGTAGCAAGCTCTCACCTTCTCTCATCTGTAGAGGTGTAAGGGAATAAAGTTAGACAACTCTGATGGCATCATACATTAGATTTTACAGGCAGACAATATTGATGGCATCATACATTAGATATACAGTCAGACAATTCTAACCCCATATTAGTTATAAGATAAATATATTTTGTATGCTTTAGCCAGCAGTAATAGTTTATTTCTGTTGGATTTCTTCCCCTAGCATCATGTTTGAGGCACACACACTCCCTTCAAATTGAGTGTATGCTATGTTTATAGAGAGATAAAATATATACAAATTTCCTGCTTGCATAACTATAACTTGTGACTGAACACTTGAAATTTAAACACAAAGTAATATCTTTTTTTTTTTAAATAAAAGCTACTCTCTTTTCTGGAATTTTTTTTTATTGAATTTAAAACTGGAAATTTGTTGTTTAATTTTTATAATTTTTGAATTATACTGTTTTTGAATGTATTAAGATTATTTTTACCACAAGAAAAGATTAATGAATGCCAATTATGGCAATCAATAGGTTATAAAGCATTTTTAAATGTACAATATACCATGTATTAACATTATTGATAATAGTATTTAAATGAGCCTTAACTTAATGATTGTAATCCTGGCCCCTGTTTAGAACAATGTTGCCTTTGTTAACTGAGAAAATTACTGACTGCATTTAGCTGCCTTAACTGAAGTGTTTTCTTGTTTGTTGTTTAAACACTTATTGTTTTACTACTAATAACTTTTTCTTATATTTAAAGTTTTAGTAAGTAGATACTTTAAATTTTTTTTAAGGAACTTTGTCCTACAGATTATGGAGGGCTCAGTGGAAAAAAGTACTAGTTGAAAGGTTTTTAACATAGACACCTACAAATTATTTGAATTACTTTAACTGCATAACTCTAATGGATTTGGTTCATGGATATTATCCTTAAGTTATTGACTGCTGGGTGGTTATATTACATTGAAAATATTAATAGATTATTAATTGGTTTAACTAAAACAAAGAAGATAACTCAATTACTAAATGACTTGGTATTACAATATTGAAGATATTTAAATTATTAAGGGCTTTAATACAATTAGCTAAGATATTTCAAACAAGAAAAATCAAAGCATTTATCTTAAATACATTTGAGTTCTTTTTCTGCTAAACATTTCGATTTCTTTAATTGTAAAAGTGCACAAAACCCTTATTAATTCAAAATCATGAGAACCCCCATCCCTTTTCCTGTTTAATCTTATTATTTACCTAATAAATTGATCAGCTGACATATCACACTTGATGGGAGTCTAAACATTTTAAAACCATTTTAATCTAATATTTAATCCCAAATCAATTTACTGTACCTTCTAAGTCTTATCCTCCCAATCAGCAGTAAGCCACAAAAAAAAATTTAAAAAGCACCTCGTCCAAAGAGCTACAACAAAAACTCTTCCAAGGCCCTTGTTGAAAAAAAACTTGGAACTGTCGGAAAACTGGCGCCAATTTTACATAGAAAGCATTCACAATGAGAAATTTAACTCAGAAAATACAACACAAAAAGCAGAATTGAGTTGTTTTAAAACAGTGATCAGCATTAGCAGAGGTCAAAACTATTGACCAAGTAAATCAAAATAAAGTAACAAAACAAAAAAATTTAAACAAAAAGCAAGATAAACTAATTTAAGAGATAATTCGGTCATGTTGATAAAAATGACATCAAATTGTTTAAAAATGTACATTTTATTTCATTTTGCAGCAATATGAGGATGCTATAAAAAAAATTAAAAACAAGACACAAAGAATTATACAATTCAATTTTGAAGTCATTTATAAAAAATCAACATTTTTTAAGTAAAAAAAGAATTTAAAACTTTTATCCATCACTTTAACAACAAAAAAATAAATAATATTAACATTTAAGTGTGAAATAAAGAATTACCTTCAGAAGTAGTGGTACTTCTAGTGTTTCTGAGATCTTTTGCACCAAACTGATAATGTTTGGGATAAGGAGTTTGGGATGTGGAGCTACTTTGGCTAGCTCCCTTGAGTTCATCTGACAAGTTTTGAAAAGTTTCTGTATTTCAAAGAAAAAGACAAGTATAAAAACAAAATCCTAAAAATCAAAATATACACTGATATAGATTTCAATTATCCAAGGTTCAACCAAATCTGAAGTCTAAACCTTACTTTCTCTTTCTTATCTTTCATCAGGTGCTGAAGGTTAATTAGAATTTGCTCATAAGTTGGTTCTTGTTGCTGTTGTTGCTGTGTTGGATACAACTGTAGTATCTAGAGAAGAGAACACATTTTATATTATGTTAATATTTTCAAAGTTAATAAAATAAGATTTTTCAAAACAGTTCAGCTAGTATAAACAACATTTTTAATGTAAATCTGAACCTAGTATTTGGGGCAAAAAAAGAGAAAAACAACAAAAACTCTCATCCTAATATATAAATGCCCACGAGCGCACCACTCTCTTTGTCCTCAACATATTTTCCCAAGCCTATGAGATCAGTATCTTCAGCAATTTATGGAGAACTTAAAGATACAGATGTAGTTGAATAATGTGTTGGATGTACTAAATGTATAAACTAAATTTTATTTAAAGAAGGAAAATAAAAATAAAGGCATATTCGAATGTAGAAGCACATTTTTAATTATGCACCGGAAAAGTGTTTATGATTGTGACAAAAACACAGAAAACAATGACAACAGGTGAAGTTTTAACTGTATAGGCCTAATGTTTTCAAACAATTTTAGTTAAAATATAAAATTTCACAATACTTACGAATACATATGTGTAGAACAAGCAGTACCGAGCTACCTCAGCTATTTCAGGCTTGTCATTAAAAGAGTTATGTAAGTCATTGAGTGTGCTAGCAAGGTCCTTGATGATTTCAAAAACTTCTTCCAGCACTTCTTCATCCAGATCGTCCGGCCATCGCTCCAGACCAATCCAGATGAGCCGTCTGACACTGAAGATGGCAATGATCAGGTCGCACCTTGTCTTATTGCCTGGGTAGTCTCTGTTGATTGACTTCTTCAGGATACCTGAAATAAGCAGGGATATGAAAACTAGTCAAAGAAAAAAAGCTAAATTTGTCGGCAAGGCAAATGAGAGGAGGAAGAGTTAAGATTTTTGAAAGTTTAAAAATATCTTGGATTATATTTCGAGTCGTCCCTTTGAATCCCGGTCAGAACGCCCCCCCCGTCGTGGCCTCAACCAACCGGCGGGCTTGTTGCATTGAGTTAAATATAAACTCAAAACAATAATATAAACAAACCACCAAAAGCCCGGGATCTGTAGACTGTAACCTGCATTCAGCTATTTTATATCAGCTATTTTATACAATTAGGGGCTTATAGGCCTATTTTTTTTTTATTTGGACTTATAGGCCTATAAATTCAAAATACATTTACCAGAAGAAAAAATAAACATAAAAAACCCCCACATTTTTATGTGTGAGCTAAACATTTGCTTGGTCAGAGAAGTTCATACCATAGTGCGGCATAGGCTATAAAACTCGAGTTTGCTATGATATTTTTGGGGTATTTAAAGCAAGATCCCTAGATCTATGAAATTACAAGGAAAAAAATCACAAGATATATTCAGTATCCTATAAAAGTTAGGCCTACTGTTCAACTAAATTTTAACAAATCTATTGGCTGGTCCGAATAGCGGGCAAGGAAGGACCCGGGTCCTAGCTGCCATGGCTATTCTAGTATAGATCTAGTATAATATTCGTTGGTAGGACTAGGATGCAGCCATTTATAAAAGTTAACTTAAAATAAAAATATTAGGGCCTAATAAAAAATAAAGCCTACGTACAAGACACGACTACAAGTAAGTACTAAAGTACTAGTAAGTAGATCTAGATCTAGATCTAGTAAGTAGCCTACAAGAAAAAGAAATCTAGCCCAGGACTTGAATTCTGTAGTTGCTGCAGCCGAGCCGAGAATGTTCTATAATCTAGAATCTATAGGACTAGATAGAATAATCTACATTCTACAAAATTGTTTAACAAAATCAATGTCAATGTTTGTCGTAATGTTTGTATTTCTACTTTTACGTTCTGTTTCACTCACTCTCTGTTGTTGTGTTTGTGTTCGGATTTCATATCTTGTCTTAATCAAACATTTCAATAAATAAAGAGTTGCTTACCAGAGAGAATTTCCATAGGTTCTTGAAGAAGGGCCCAGTTCTCTTGCTCTGTATATTTTACGCAAATATAAACACAAAAATCAAAATAACTTTGATTAATAATATCAAATTTATCTACAAGCGTAGCCATTGTTTCCCGCAACTTTTTAGTTTTTATTTTTATTTTTTTTTTTCGTACACGCATATCCGAAAATCTCTGCAAACATACGTAAGTTATCAATTTAGATAGATCTATGTTTCGTTGTTACGGCTGGTTTCTTTTTTTTATAGGGTAAACATGTCATATAGGCCTATAGAAAGTATATGTAACTTTAGTAAAGTTTTACTGTATGACGTCAAATAATGTATGTTTTAAATTAATTTAATTGTTATAAATTGTTTCAAATTTATTAATGACCCGGTATTCATTTGTATGGGTTCTATTCAAAGGGAAACAACTCACGTATTTTTATCCAAAAGCATTCTAGCATAGTTATACTCCTTACATAAGGGAAACCACTAAGAAAAGAAGAGTAGGCTAGAAAAACATTGGGCTAGGGTTTAGGTTAGGAGGGGTGTTGGTTGGGCCTTGGGGGTGTCTTGGGATGTAGAAACCTGATATAAAATGTTAGGTTTTAGTTTTACACTTTTCGGACACACACCAAAAATTACGTAGGAGCGAACACTTCGTCGGTTTTTGGCTCATAGAAACTTTAATTAGCATGTCTCACGCGAAACCACGGCGCCTGCACGTAAACTGTTCATTTATGAACACTTCCGTGTCAAGTACTTCCGTTTCCTTTCTCAAGAATTATTTTTAGAAATTTTTTAACGTTGCATGGGGGGGGGGGGGGTCTGGCTTTTTGTGAAGACGTGTGACGGAGGGAAGGGGGGGAGGTAAAAATCGTCCAAAAAACCTTGACGTCATTTATGGATGACCCCTCTAGCCTTATGAATAAGTAAGGGCAATACAAACCTTCAAATAACCTCATGTGTCTTTCATTGTAATAAATGGGGTCGTCCACACTGTGGTCCACACATCATTTGGCATGAGGGGCGCCCATACATCACTGGTTATATGTGTGCGTGCATACATGATGGATTCTCTCTTTCTCTGCCTCTAAAACACCTTTTTACATATATATTATACACGTAATCTTCATATGTAGCCTTCCATAATAGTTTCGTAGGTACCCGTACTATAGGGCAAGTTGGGGGTAAGGAAATCAAGAATTATAATGACGTCACCATTTATAATGCATTAACGAAGGACAACAAAAATAATATAGAAGAAAGTTAGGTTTTATTATTTTCAACACAATTGTAGTAAACTAATTTCAAGTCTTGCTATCAGAAATGTAATGTCCTTCCTCAAATTGTAATGACTCAGATAGAAGATTTGAGATCAATAAGAAACTAACATTATGTATTCGGGGCAATGGAAATACTTTACACTTTAACCCATCTGTATATGTTCCAACTTTAAATGGGATGCACACCATGATCATGCGCACCTTTTATTCCAGAAACCCGTGCGCTACGGAAGCATGACGCACACCATTCTTAAAGCTATGTCCATCTCCAGCTTATGATCATGAAAAAAACTAAACTAAGGTATGATGGTATGTTTCTTGAATGTTGGCCTTTATGTTATAATTTATGTCATGAACAATGTGATAGTTCTTCATATTTAAAGTATTTAAAAGGTGTATTGTTATAGATCTATATCAGGCTATATAACGAGCCCTTTTTTATAAATCGATGTATTGACCAGCTAGTGTATGTTTACCAACTTTCAAATAAATCGTGCAAAATATCGAGCTTCACTTCTAGTTTGAAAACAAGGCCTTGTATAGTGTACAGTAAGCAAAGGTAACCTACGTGTTGATTAGCCGTACCCATTAATCCTTAATTTAGTTTGACCTCGCCAGTAGCATCAAATAACATCACCTTGAGCATACCACTGCTCATAACACCAGTGGCGTAGCGAGGGGGGGGGGCGGGGGTGACACCATTTAGGGGGTGACACCAAGGCAAAAAATAGCAAAATATATAGAGAAAAATGATAATTCCACTTAATTAAGTGATTAATTCGAGTGATAAAAAGTTTTTTAAGAGCAAATTTGACAAAGCCCAACAAGGGTGGAAAGGGGGGGGGGGGGTGCAAATCGAAAGTTTAAGGGGGGGGGATGTGCAAATCGAAAATTGAAAGTTTGTCCCCGGGCGCCGGGAAGGGTCGCTACGCCTCTGGGGGGTGACACCATTAAGTGCCGCACCGGGTGACACCCGACCTCGCTACACCACTGCATAACACTAAACTACTTTGTTCTTATCATAACCCCTAATAGCAAATTTATATCTAAAAATTCTACTAATTGTATGTTGTTGCTAGCTTCACGAATACCTAGGTACGAAAAACAATAGAAACCATTTTAAATACAATTACTAAAATTAATTGATTATTTGTGTTGATATAATTGACTTGAATTAATGATTTGAAACCCACAAATAAGAAAAGACTGCAACTGCACCTCTACACCGGACTCTGTTTTGGGCAGCTCTCCTTAGCTGAACCCACTTAAACCCCGCTGGGTTTTCCGAAGAGGAACCTCTTCGAGTATGTTTACGTTGGGTTGGTTTTATTAGCAGTTGGGTTGGTGTGTTCGCAGTAGTGTTTATGTATTAGATTCATGTATTAGCAGTTGGGTTGGTGTATAGCAGGTGGGTTGGTGTGTTAGAAAGGAAAATCGCCTGCCATTCCTGGGGGAGGGGGTGGGAGACTAATTTCTGAGTGTGTATGACACAATCACCAGTTATATATGAGTGTGTGATAGTGTGTGTATGTATATTTTACAAACTCTAGTGCATTGAAACAAATATTTTAACGACATGTCGTAATGTTTTATGAGATAGATGTGTCCATATCACAATTGTCCATAATCAACGGGGGGGGGGGGGGGGGTGATATCGACAGCAAGTACCACTTCTCCGGGCCACTGTGACATTTGGTGTCTATGTGACGGTGACCTCAATAGTTTGGGCGACCTCCGTCCCACGGTACGTCTGATCTAAAAATAGATTAGAACTACCCCCCCCCCCACTGATATCGCCGCGGTCTGACGGTCGTGGTGGGGGGGGGATTGATTCATCTCGTCTGCTGGCTTGGAACTGTCTCCGTTTTCTGTGACGGTGTCTGGATTAGCGTGTGATACGACGGACTGTACCTAAAGCCCAGCTATTGAGTACGTCATGACTGGACTTCACATGTTTGATGACTGTTTGGACAATTTTTTTTTTAAACTCGGTTCGTTACGACTTTTTTTTTTATTGATGTCAAATTTCTGTTAATTGATCACTTCTATGCAACTAATTGGGTCGTCTTTTTATTGCTTTTACTAATTAGGCAAGTATAATTTGCTCTTTTTCAAACTACCTCGTTTTTGCAATTCATTCATAGTTTAATTTTATTACGGCTACTATGTTTTTAATTAAAAGAAAACGAATAATAAGCAAATATCCGGTAATAGATTTATTTATTCAAGTTTTAGAAAAAGATAATTGTATACGTTATTTTCTTACATATTTAAAAAGCAAAGCGTTTGATTTCAATCGATTTTGTTCATAGAGTTTTGTGTAAAGTTAACCATATTATTTTACACGGTAGTGCTACATTACAATGCTCCACTACAATGCTCCATTGTAATTCTACACTGTGTTGCTGCACTAAAGTTTCGTCACACAGATCTCAACATATATTCCCCCCCCCCCCCCCCCTCCAACAATTTCTAAGTCAGTAGTTCTCACACAAATATAGTTTACCCCACCTTTGTTCTGTTTGGATAATCTGCCGCCTCCATCAGATAGCTAGTTTACCTCCCTGCAGTATGGCACTCAAAGACATTTGTTTCCCTTGTTGGCTTGCTAACCAGTTACTTCCCTTTATTCATTGCTAATCATTTAAGGCCCTTTATTCCTTGTTAATCATTTATGTCCCTTTATTCCTTGCTAACCAGTTACTTCCCTTTATTCATTGCTAACCATTTAAGGCCCTTTATTCCTTGTTAATCATTTATGTCCCTTTATTCCTTGCTAACCAGAAATGTCTTTTATTGGCACCCTAAGTAACTGTCTTCCTCTTGCCACTTTACGTGTGTATCTTGAGAACTACCGAGAGGCGTAAGTTAATGTTCCACACGATTTACCACCCTCCCCTCTTGTCCACACTCACTGACCTGTGTCCACATTACCCATCCAAGTAGATGGTTCACAGGTGTGCTGTGTCGCTCTTGATGCTGTGGATCCAGTCACTGTGTCCACATTACCCATCCAAGTAGATGGTTCACAGGTGTGCTATGTCGCTCTTGATGGTGTGGATCCAGTCAGGTGAGGCGAGTCCTGAATGACGTCTGAGACAGGCAAATGACTGCTGTTACAGTCTTAATCCCCCTGGCAGTAGTGACAGTATTCTACACCCCCCCTCTCCCTTCCCCATCCCAGTTGGGGCGCCAAACGTGGTATAATAAATAATATCTCAATCTGAGCTGCATTAATAATGCAATATACACAGTTGAAATTGAGAAAATAGATGGATATATAGCTTTACAGAACTGTTTAACTACTTTATATATCAATTGTGTGACACCAAAACGAAAGTTGTTACTAGGAAAGTGGCTGGAAAAGAACGCACCCAAATTTTCTTTATTTATTTTTTTGGGTGGAGGGGGGGGGGAGCTTTTTTCTAAATGGGGAGTAGGCGGGGGTGCAACTTTGACAATTCGCTGGAATGGGTCGCTATGCCTCTGTATAGTATATACAAAATATAGTCGTCAATCACATTTTACATATCGCTTCAATGGAGATTTAATAAATAATTAAAATTATAAGGATAAAAATTAGATACACACAAATACATATAGATTCTACGTACGCTATGAAATACTCGACGGTTATTTATTCAAGGTAAGAATGTAAAGTTATCTGAAAGTTTTGAAAGAACGGAGCAAGTCATTATCTAGTCCTTATCTCTTTGATATGTGTCAGCCCGTCATACCCAAACACGGAGTTGTGACGTCACGTACTGTGGTACAGGGTAGTCACATGACAGTTATGCACTAAGTCAACTTGGGGTAAAGTTCGATATGCTAGTGAGATCATTCTCCGAGAACTGTTTGGGTGTTTGTGGTTAAGAAAAGTGACGCCAGGGTTATCAAACAAATCGGAGAGTCACCGTCTTGAAAATGTTGACTCCTCCCCCCCCCCGACCACAATTACCCCTCTAAATACCCACCTAATCTAACAGCACTATCGGATCAATTATCCGTTTGTGCACACACCAACGCGGCGCTAAACCCTGGCCACGTATCAAGAACTTACAAAATTCAATCCCTAAGTAGTCAACATTTCTATTTCTCTGTATTAAAGTGTCGAATTCAGGCCACAACTAAGATCAAATTTTCTATACCTCTTTCATATTATTTCGAAATCAGCCAAGATGTGTGACAGATGTATTCCCTGTGTGAAAGACATACGTATTTCCTGTGTGAAAGACAAATGTATTCCCCGTGTGAAAGACAAATGTATTCCCTGTGTGAAAGACAGACGTATTTCCTGTGTGAAAGACAAATGTATTCCCTGTGTGAAAGACAAATGTATTCCCTGTGTGAAAGACAAATGTATTCCCTGTGTGAAAGACAAATGTATTCCCTGTGTGAAAGACAGACGTATTTCCTGTGTGAAAGACAAATGTATTCCCTGTGTGAAAGACAAATGTATTCCCTGTGTGAAAGACAAATGTATTCCCTGTGTGAAAGACAAATGTATTCCCTGTGTGAAAGACAAATGTATTCCCTGTGTGAAAGACAAATGTATTCCCTGTGTGAAAGACAAATGTATTCCCTGTGTGAAAGACAGACGTATTTCCTGTGTGAAAGACAAATGTATTCCCTGTGTGAAAGACAAATGTATTCCCCGTGTGAAAGACAAATGTATTCCCTGTGTGAAAGACAAATGTATTTCCTATGTGAAAGACAAATGTATTCCCTGTGTGAAAGACAAATGTATTCCCTGTGTGAAAGGCAAATGTATTACCTGTGTGAAAGACAAATGTATTCCCTGTGTGAAAGACAAATGTATTCCCTGTGTGAAAGACAAATGTATTTCCTATGTGAAAGACAAATGTATTCCCTGTGTGAAAGACAAATGTATTCCCTGTGTGAAAGACAAATGTATTCCCTGTATGAAAGACAAATGTATTCCCTGTGGGAAAGACAAATGTATTCCCTGTGTGAAAGACAAATGTATTCCCTGTATGAAAGACAAATGTATTCCCTGTGTGAAAGACAAATGTATTCCCTGTGTGAAAGACAAATGTATTTCCTGTGTGAAAGACAAATGTATTCCCTGTGTGAAAGACAAATGTATTCCCCGTGTGAAAGACAAATGTATTACCTGTGTGAAAGACAAATGTATTTCCTATGTGAAAGACAAATGTATTCCCTGTGTGAAAGACAAATGTATTCCCTGTGTGAAAGACAAATGTATTTCCTGTGTGAAAGACAAATGTATTCCCTGTGTGAAAGACAAATGTATTCCCTGTGTGAAAGACAAATGTATTCCCTGTGTGAAAGACAAATGTATTCCCTGTGTGACAGTTGTATTCCCTGTATGACAGTGACAAGTATTCCCTGTCCCTGTGTGACAGACATATTCCCTGTGTGGCATTGTTAAGCCAATGGAAAGTAATGTTGCATGTTGTTATTAAAATCGCTAAGTTTATGTAATATAGCGACCTTATCTAAAATCAGTGACTTAAAAAAGAATTGACGTCTGGCCACTTAAAAAAAATAAATATCTGGCAACCTCTATATCTCCAAGTAAATTACCGGCAATAAATTTCTGTCACTTCAGACACCTAGCAGTGTAGGAACTGTAATATCGAATGACACTACACTGCACATCCCCCCCCCCTCTCCCAACCTCGGTTATAAAACAATGCCTGTCGACATGACAGAAATCTAAATGTCAGCTAAATTGGCTAGAACAAGCGTGGATTAGCGCTAACCCCGTGGCTAGAACAAGCGTGGATTAGCGCTAACCCCGTGGCTAGAACAAGCGTGGATTAGCGCTAACCCCGTGGCTAGAACAAGCGTGGATTAGCGCTAACCCCGTGGCTAGAACAAGCGTGGATTAGCGCTAACCCCGTGGCTAGAACAAGCGTGGATTAGCGCTAACCCCGTGGCTAGAACAAGCGTGGATTAGCGCTAACCCCGTGGCTAGAACAAGCGTGGATTAGCGCTAACCCCGTGGCTAGAACAAGCGTGGATTAGCGATAATCCTGTGGCTAGAACAAGCGTGGATTAGCGATAATCCTGTGATTTCACAGATCAGTGGATCGTGTCGTTACATATCGTGTGGGATCGGCTAGTTGTCGCATCACGCTTCAGTGACGTTCGTTATGTTACGGCCCAGTGTTACAATGTGTGTGTTGATATCTTGTAACATTAAGTTAACGGCCCATTGTTACAGTAGATGTTGATATCTTGTAACATTAACTTAACGGCCTATTGTTACAATGTGTGTGTTGATATCTTGTAACATTAACTTAGCGGCCCATTGTTACAATGTGTGTGTTGATATCTTGTAACATTAACTTAGCGGCCCATTGTTACAGAATGTGTTGATATCTTGTAACATTAACTTAGCGGCCCATTGTTACAATGTGTGTGTTGATATCTTGTAACATTAACTTAGCGGCCCATTGTTACAGAATGTGTTGATATCTTGTAACATTAACTTAGCGGCCCATTGTTACAGTAGATGTTGATATCTTATAACATTAACTTAGCGGCCCATTGTTACAGTAGATGTTGATATCTGGTAACATTAACTTAACGGCCCATTGTTACAATGTGTGTGTTGATATCTTGTAACATTAACTTAGCGGCCCATTGTTACAGTAGCTGTTGATATCTTGTAACATTACCTTAACCGTCGATTGTTACAGCAGATGTTGATATCTTGTAACATTAACTTAGCGGCCCATTGTTACAGAATGTGTTGATATCTTGTAACATTAACTTAGCGGCCCATTGTTACAATGTGTGTGTTGATATCTTGTAACATTAACTTAGCGGCCCATTGTTACAGAATGTGTTGATATCTTGTAACATTAACTTAGCGGCCCATTGTTACAGTAGATGTTGATATCTTGTAACATTAACTTAGCGGCCCATTGTTACAGTAGATGTTGATATCTGGTAACATTAACTTAACGGCCCATTGTTACAATGTGTGTGTTGATATCTTGTAACATTAACTTAGCGGCCCATTGTTACAGTAGATGTTGATATCTTGTAACATTTAACATGTCATTTTAACAGTATCAGTATGTATTGATATCTTGTCACATTCAACTCAATTATGGGCGAACCCTAACATACATGTGTATGTACAGCACTGTCGTTCTACATAAATATGACATGTTACATATATAAACACAATACTTGACGTCCACCATCAGCGGTCAATAGACGTCAAACATACATGTGTAAATTGACGTTTAGCGCTGATTACGTGCATTGGCACCTATCTCACATGTGTACATGGATGTCTAACACGTATGTACATGGATGTCTAACACGTATGTACAGGGACTTCAAACAAGTGTGTACATGGACGTCTTGTACGTGTGTACATGGAAGTGTTGCACGTGTGTACATGAAGGTGTAACACATGTGTACACTAATGTCGTGTGTGAACTATATTAAAAGCCCCTAACTGCCGAAAGTCTAACCGGTATGATAGAACTGGTTTTTATTATCCTAACAATATAGATAAGATGTATCCAGAATCAGCCAAGCATAACGTGTAGACAGATTGACACACTGAGGGCCTAACACACCTGGTTGATTCGTTTGTTGTGTTTAAGTTTTTTTTCTTTTTTTAGGAGTACATCAAACGACAAACTTTGTACATAATGGTAGAATGTTTTCTTTTGTGTTATATTTTCGTGGAAGTATCGAGTGCTAATGTTACTTTTATTTTTATCGTTGTCTGTTTCAATATGGAATGGGTGGCAGCTAGTATAATCATTCGTCAACAAACAACCATCAATGATTCTCAATACTTTTAGGTCAAGACATACAGCACTAAAGGTCAAATGGGGTCATACTCCCACGACTTGTAAATTATTATTATTGCTAACTAGTATAACGACTAGTGTGACGCTAAAGCACGTCTACCCCTACCCCGGAGCAAAAAGTCTGAAAGAAACACTGTTTATAATATGTTTTTTAGTGAACGTGCTCGGTATACTAGTAAAACTATATGCATTGTTTGTCTGAATTAATTCAAAGAAATTGATATTTTTTACGTCACACGTATTTTTTAAATGACCAGTACTTACGATTCAATTTAGGCTTTAAAAAATCAGAAGCATAAATGCTGGTGATTGATTATTTACATTTCACGTTAGTTATCCGGAGAAGATGTTGATTATACGTTAATTATCGAATACTTAAGTTATTACTGCTAAAAAAATGAAACTAGAATAGTTGTGAAGTTGATTTTGTTTTCCAAATTGTATGCATTCATTTAAAAAAAGGGGTCGGCGTGGTCGAGTCGGTAAAGCTCATGGTTGCTAAACCGAAATGTCTCGAGTTCGAACCCTCGGGCAGATGAGGCTCGTTAGCTGGGGACAGCCACTCTTCTAGGAGAGACAACTCCAAAATTAAACAACTGCTGCCTTGTAGTTTATTCTTGGTTGGACAAAGGCTATGGAAGCAAATCCAAAAAGAAAAGCAGGCTGAAATCGGAGTCAATGGCCTCAATGGCGCATAACCAGTTGACACGTAACGCTTAATTGTGTTGGAGGCGTGGTCGAGTTGGCAAAGCTCATGGTTGATAAATTCGAACAAAGTCTCGAGTTCAAACCCACTGGCAGATAAATCTCGATCCCCTCCAACACTAATAATTAAGAACGAAGAAGAAGAAGAAGATTTAAAAAAGTATTTAACACGATGTACTATTTTCTCTTTCAGACAGTCCTATGCTGAAATGCTGTGGTCTGTCCTGTTCGTGAGGGAACTGGACGGCCAACTTTCTTCCCACGCGTGAGCGTCATCCCCCGGGGCATTGGTGGTAACATCACGGTCAAGTATTGGTGAAACATCGCCCACAACACCGCCTGCGACATCACGATTCTACAGGCAAACAGCCTGCAACATCACGATTCTACAGGCAAACAGCCTGCGACATCACGATTCTACAGGCAAACATCCTGCAACATCACGATTCTACAGGCAAACAGCCTGCAACGGTACTCACTATTGCTTGAAGCAGCTTAACGCCCACACAATCATGTCTGTGTACGGCTCCATCGACAGATTTCACCGTGGACATGTGTAGTATGAAACCAAGCAATCAACGCCCACCGACATCTTCACCTTTTACCTTCTATTGGATAGTTCTCACGAAATAGTCCCAAGAAACACAACCGTATCTGAAACCCTGTCTGTTGAAAAGACAAGAAAATAAAATCAGTTTTATTTTGAGTTGAAACAATATTGTGAACAGGGGCATGTCTGAGATGAACGATTTCAGTAGACCTCGGCCGTAAGGATAAGGATTACTGCTGAGATACGTGGTCATGTGACATAGAAACCAGAATGAAGGTACATCTATTGGGAGAGACTTTTATCAAAAACTTTTTGTGTACCACGGCCGTACCTCGGGATATGTTCAACACGAAGGTAGGTCAAATAAATATTCAGACAATTAGCATTTCTCTAGAGATTCGATTGAATATCTCCTTCATTACAATACCCCTTTTGGTAGTTGGTTTTGGTGGTGGGGGTTTATGAAGTATAGATTGATTTTTAGGCTAAAGTAAGGTTTGAGTTACGAATGTGGTTCTATTTTTTCTTTTAAGGCTGTAAAAGGGATAATTTTACATGTTTCTTTACTGAGTGTTTCTTATGAACACCTTCTTTTCAAGGTTTATTAATGCTGTTCTAAGTTTCAAAACTTTAATGATATAAAGTCAATCAGATTTTCTTCCAGGCATCTCTTCTCCTCCCCCCTCCCCCGAGGAAAATCTACCGCCCCCCCCGAACGAAATGAAATTTATATAGAAAATATATACATTTAATAGTGTTCGCCCCCCCTCCCCCCGAACAAAGTCTAACCCCCCCCCCCCCCCCCCCCCCGAAAATTTCAAGTGCCCCCCCCCCCCCCCCCCTCGGAGAAAAAAGTCTGGAAGAAGCACTGAAGACAATTCCTAATGAAGGCCAGTGACGTTATTTTTGTTTCTTACCATAGAGGAGTCAGTGATGAGAACAGCTGAGTCTCAATGATTGTGTACACAGTCTAACACAGTATCCTAGTTCCCCACACCATTGCCATTCACTGGACGACCTCAAGCATAACTGTGTGGTGCCTAGTCATTGACAGTGGTTCAACGTCTTGGATTCGAACTCTTGCAACATGTACAAGTCAGGACCACGGCGGCAGGACTCTCCCCAACCACACTTTCTTCAATCCAAACCAACGAACAACACCAGCAAGACTCCACCACCCCCCACACTAAAACCCGGGGGCATCACCAACAAAACTCCCCCACCCCCCACACTAAAACCCGGGATCTCCACCAACAAGACGCCCCCACCCCCCACACTCAAACCAGCAAGAACAATGCCGGTACCACGTGTAACAAGAGACGCCGCCGCAACCAAAACGAAAAATGACTTGAAAAAGGATTCAGGGAGAAAGGACAAAAGCCCAGAAAACGTAGCAGCGAGAAATGAGGTCAAGAGCAGCAAGGCGGTGGATGATGTTGCGTTGCTCAAGCGACTAGCAAACAGATCTAGAAGCCCAACATTTATCTTACACTCAAAAGTGAAAACGGAAAAGCTTGACTCAGTGGCCAATCGCGATGAGGCGGAAACGGTTCCATCCCCTGAGGGGAGCAACTGTAAAAGAGAAGTGGACAACCGGAAACGGGGTAATATGTTTATCCAGAGAGAAAGTACGGCGAAGGGCAAAGCCTTAGCGACGTCTGAAGTCGTTCCAAACAAAGTAAAACGGCATTGGAAGTTCGTTTCCAGCACTCGAGGTCCGATTTCAAATCAACGTAAGCCGACTTTGGGGAAAAAGTCTGGCCAAGAAGCAGCATCCGACGTGTCTGAGACGTGCGGCAGCCAGCATACAACCGTGTCGACAGACGAGCCGCTGCTAGATGCCGGACTCGCCGGGTGCCCTTACACGCAGTCTAGAGAGACAATCTCCCTCCCTTCCGACATCCTGCACACAGAGTCCAACTCTGTGGCGCTGTGTCAGGCCAACGGGAACGACAGCTACCTCGACGTCAGCTGCTCCAGTTCGATGGACGTTGACGCCCTGCCCAACGAGATGATCCAATACGAGGCCCAGCCCGAGACGACCTACTTAAGCCGTCTGCAGCGGTACGACGCTCAGACCGAAAAAAATACGACAAATGTTACCCCTGCCAGTAAGAAAACGGCACGATCAAACCAGCCTGAGTCGAATGAAGAAGAAATCGGGAATTTTCAGCTTTATTCAGAAAAATGCGATCCCCATATTAAGGAGGGTCTAGTCAAAAGTCGAAATTTGAACCCAGATGAAAGTAAACAAAAAACCAACCCACAGCCCGGTCAGGATTTAGAGCAGACGAACTCAAGTGAGGATATGAAAAGAAAGAAAGACGAGGACAGTGGTGTCAACTCGCGAAGATACGGTTTCTACACCAAGAAATCCCGCGCGTCGCCCAAGAGCGTTATTTTCTACAAGTCGGGGATGAGCAACAAAGGCGGATGCGAACCCCACAACAAGTTGGGCGAGGGGCAGGAGAAGCTAGTCCAGGATCACATCAACTCCCTCAACATGCACGCCACGGGGGAAGGGGAGATTAACGAGGAGAGTAAGCTGCAGGGGCAGCAATCCATCTTCAAGAAGCTGTTCTACAGATCATCAGATGATAAAAGGACATCCACCAACAACGCGAACAACTCGGACCACTACAAAGTCAACGTCCACGTCCGTCCAATGAGCATAGCCCAGCTGGCGTCCTCAAAGGTTAGAAGTGTTTTAAAGAGTGCCGGGACAATGAAAGCTGGGGCGGAGAAGCAGCAGAGCACCAGCAGCAAGAATGTCCCAGCCAAACCTAGCGGTGTAGATAAGAACAAGTTCCTGAAATCCAAAGTCAAGCCGTCGCTTAACAACGAGGTGGAACAGGAACAAGACGCCGCCCCACCCGCCTCGCACAACACGCGCTCCGTGCTCACAGACACACAAAAGTCTGGGAATAAAACCACTTCCTTCCGGAGTCCAAAGTCCAAATGTCTTCACAGTGTTGCTTTCGGCTCATATGTGCCGCCATTTACGTCAATAAACGCCTGCGACGCTAAATATAGGTCGACTTTTTCAACCAAATCGAAATCGTCGATCAGCAACGCTAGTGCCGACCAGGCCCCTGCGGTTAGCTCGAACAAATCAAAGACCGTCAACGTTGAACAGAACGTCAAGCCGAGCCCCAAATGTTACAACACGTCTTACAGGAAAGGCAACAACGACGTCAAGGTCAAGCCGGACGGTGTCAACAGCACCACAGCAGTCACTCACGACAAACTGCAAACTCCTGTTCACGCCGACAAGGAATTTGGTGGCGGTCACGATGAGCTGAAGACGCCGCAATATTCGCCACAAACGGGGAAACCCAGTAAACCGAAATTATCGCCCAAAGTCTACAGCAAGAGAAACGCCCCTGTGAGACAGACGAACATGTTGGATATACTGACCCACCTAGATGCAGGTTCAAGTCAAGAAGCGTCACATGCTCCTAACACGCACGCTGCCACCACGCAACCTGCCACCACGCAAGCGGGAAACGTATCGGGTTTTAAAACATCGACTGAGAAGACGACCATCAAACACAACATTACCTCTGTCATATCGGAAGATAAACCCATCAACTCATCCATCCTTTCCATCACCCCATTGTTCGGCAGCTCCAAAGCCGCGGTCAGCTCGGCCGACAAATGTGGCCCGAACTACTTAGAAAGCCTAGCTTCTCGCACAGCTCAGCGCAACGAAAAACGCTTCGTCCACAAAAACGTGACGCAAACAAGCCAAAAGGCGCCTCACAGAAGGCCACCTAAGACGTCGGCGTCACATGTCCTTCAAAACCGGAAACCCGGTACACTAGGGATCATGAAGAGCCAGTCTCTGGTAAACAACACATCCCAGAAAGTAACAGAGGATCCAGAGGAGAAAGCCGAGATTGCGCCTGTGGAGTCTGAGACCGCTCCTCCAGAAAAATTGCAATCGTTTACTTTCATATACAAGTCTTCGCCGAAGCCAACGTCGACTTACCGTTTTAAACTTAACTCCAGGAGAAGTAGAGCCAACACGTTCACCAAAGATACCTCTCAGACATCCAAAACTTCGATATCGGACCCCGGATCGTTCTCCAAACTTTCAGATAACCCTGCCTCCAAGCCTCAGGACGGTACGCCCCTCCTTCAAGGTACGAAAGCAATGAAGGGAAAGGTCAAGTCCTTTTACCGGGCTAAAGGCAAGAGATACTCCCTCCCTTTAAATTTTGAAAGCATTGTCGCCGAGAAGCCAGATATCAAAACTGAATCCAAAAGCGAAAGTGTTCAGCGAGTTTACGCTGAGTTCTCCAAGAAATTCTCCTACTCCGAGGGCACAAATTTAAACAAAATAGTTCGAGGCTCATCAGAGCGTACGTGTCCGGACGTCAAGGAGACAGTGTCCAGTTTTGAAAGTTTTCTCTGCAAGAGGCGGTGTGTCTCGAGCTGTGTGGCGCAGTCGGTGACCCAAGAGTCGCGAGAGGTAAAGCAGTGTTGCTTCCGGGTGTCGTCCATCAGGGAAGCCAAGACCCTTGCCAGGTCGATCATGGGAGAGGCCTACACGGAATTCGCTGCTTCAAACTACTGGCTATCCGATGAAAATTCATCCGTGGAATCTGTAGCAGTGGAGAAAGAGAAACCAAATCCTACCGTGGCGCATAAAGTGACGAACGAGAGATTGAACAAACAGGAGGAGCACGAGCAGAAGTGGGCCCACCCAGCAGGCGAGCCGCCAGAGACTCCGGTGAGTGAGACCAACAGCTCACACCGACCCAAGCACACGAGGCGAGCCACTGCCTCCCCCGGGGAGATCAACTTGCACCAGTCCGACTGCAACACGGGACTCACCAACAGCCCCGTGCCTCTCATCCCTAACGTTAGGAAACTCGATTTCAAGCCGATGATATGCATCCCCGTCATGTCGGAGAACGAAATAAAAACCAAAGGCAGAGAAGTCCAAACGCATGCGTACGACGACGTTATCAAGAGCATCGTGAAGGAGAAGATCGACGAGGAAGCTCCCAGCGACGTGGATTCTCCTCAGATGAGACACACTGAAAATGATTCGTTTGAAACACTAACCTATTGCGACCGTCTAATTTTGGATGGTGTACGTAGGGCTATTTCTCCGGGAAATTCCAACTCCATTGAACGCGAAGTCAAAGATTCATTTAGTAGCCAAGATCAGCCGGTAGCCTCAACGCTGAAGAGTGAAACTGTGCGTCCATCATCAGACGACAGACACGGGCTACTTTTTTCACCATCCAACATGTCAAAACACCTGGGCAAACAGCAATCCTACAAGGAGAGGGCGGAGAAAATTGGCGATCTCATGCAGTCAATCAGTAAAAATAAAAGCCCACACTCTAAACAAGTCGTTATTTCAGACTTTGACGAACTGTTTGGGTACGAGAATTCAATTTCTTACAACCCCGTCCCTAACCAGAGGATTACCAATGCTGATAACCAAAAACAACGCAGGATAAGCTTTGCCTTGGACGAGCAAAAGAGCGACAGTTTTGTTTCATCGATTAAAACCCCGAACTTGAACATTTGTAGTGAAAACTACGCGAAGGCCATTCCCATAAAACCGAAAGTAGAAACAATTCAACCGGTGTTGGAGAAGAGCCTTAGGGAAAAATCATTCAAAACACATACTTCAAGTACGTTCCACGAAGAGTTGAGGAAAAACAGCCAAATACCGCAGGATTTAAGTAACGAAAGCGAGGTTCTTCCTATTCAGCAGGATCAGCTAGATCCCAGTCTGGACAGCGAGAAGGTTCACCAGCTGGTCAACAAATTTTCTGGCGCTGCAAAGGCTCCATGGAAGTTTGCAAACAGCAAACAAAAGCTGGAGCACCTGACGGAGACAGCCAAAAGTGAAGCTGTCGACATTGGCAAGGCAGAGATCGTGGACACAACACAAAAAGTTCCCCCCGAGAGTGGAGTCAAGACAAGCCTGATCAAAGAAGCTCCGACTCTGAAGAGTAGCATCGCTCAGCGGGTCAACGATTATCTGAGCTGCATCAACCAGACATCACACCAGAGCGAGCCTTCAGTCAAACCCACACCCTGTGGCTCTGATACCAGTGAGGAAGATTCAAACCGGCAGCAGCAAGTACCGACACACGCCGAAGACGAGCTGCCTTGCTCCTATGATACTGAAGACCACGGCAACGGTAAATCTAACGAGCAAGACATCGCTGGGGCATACGACAGCGCGGACAGCAAATATACTGACGAGATCTCCCTGGGCAGCGCATGCGGCCAGGCTAAGGAGAACTCAGGCACTGATATCAAATCTTCAGAGAACTCCTTTTATTCGGCCTTCTCCAGGGAATCTTGTAGTGCTCAAACCAGCGGGAATAAAAATCTCCATAACTATTTCTTTAACAAAAATCTGGCTGACTCCGCGAACGAAATGACCAACCCAATGCCCGTTGTTATGGAAACATCGGTGGAAGATGAAACGCCGTTTGATTTTGATGCCCAGCAACAAGAAACTCCGAAGCCGAGCAGGAAAGTCTTGGACAACAGCGAACAGATTCCTGAAGAGACAGCTGAGATGGAAGTGGTCCAAGGTTTTGATGACGCAGGTTTGGGTGAACTTCATTGTAATACACTTCAAGAGGATAGTGCCTTAGGCTCGACAGTTTTCGCAGAACCAACCCAAATTCCCGAAATCAAAGACGCCCTGAACGAACTTATAAACTCCAAGGAAGGTCTGGATAACATTGCCACGGAAAACCCCACAAGCTCCAAGTTGGATACCAACATTTCCACACCTAGTCTGTCGTTCATTGAGCTCCACCCAGCGATGTGTACCTCGCCATCCCAGACAAAAGTCTGCCAGAACCCAGGCACCACGGCATCCGATGACCACCTCCCCTCCTGCTCGGACAGCCCCCAGCAGTCCCTGTCCCTGACCAAACTAGGCTCCTCCTCGGCCAGTTCCCTCTACATCAAGCTGCAGCGGGCCAAGAAGTACCTGATCCAGAACAAGTTCGACATGTCTGTGGACAGCTTCAACTCCCTCTTCCTCGAGAACGTTCTCTATCTGGAGGACATGACCGCCCAGGGTGCCGGCACCATGGTGGGGAACCCCAGCTTCGTGAAGAAGGTCAAGGCCCCGTCCAAGGTCGGCTTGCAGAAGAAGTTGAAGAGCAAAAGAAAGCCAGCACTAGACAAAGCGTAAGTGATGTTTTTTTTTCCTTCAATGTTTTTATTTCTTTTAACTAGGGTGATGTGTTTATAATTGACCTCTTCATCTTATTATCGATTTTTACGTTAAGGGCAGAAATATGGGTTGGCAGTTTGGTTTGCGTTATAATAGATGTGTGCCTAAATAATTAATCAACGGCTACCTGTCTTTCATACATGGCTAGTAACTTTCACAGTTCGTTTAGCTTTCAATTTTGTATAATTTTTTTTCGACCTGTACGCAGACATTTAGTTTAGTTTGAGTTTGTTGACAGCAACTTAAGTTTGTTAAAAGTTAGTTTAGTTTTCGTTAACTTTTTCTAAGTAAGCTGCTGGCTTAATTTTTTTTAGCAGCTACTTAGTTAATTAGTAGTTAAATTTATTTTGTTAGTTTTTAGATTAGTTTTATTATTGAATTTAAAAGAAAATTTAAGTCTTTGAAAATTTTTAATAGAAATATTTTGTTAAAATGTTTAGTTATAATGTGTGTTTATAATGTTCAGTTGAAGACCCATTCATCACCATTATTATTACTAGAGAAGTAAGGATAAAAAATATTTGATGTATAATTTTGACGGTTGTCTCTCTTACAACGGTCACTGGCGCATGTATTTCAGTCGTTTGATTCAAGTGGCTGTATTGGGTGTTTAAACACGAATTTAATGCCTTGGGTTATGTAGAATTCGTCTAAAATATCAGTATCTCGGTGGTGATTTGAGATATTTAAATAAATGCAGATAAGCAAAAAGAATACTAAATTTTTCTATTGATAATTCATAGTTCAGAGGTTCTATCATTTTAGCGTCATGTAAACTATACAGTAATATTTAATCATTTAATAATTTTATTTTGAACTAGAAAGTGTATTAGATCTCAGATTAAAATGCAAGTTCTGCCCCCCCTCTCATTCCACTACAAAGGTCACTCCATTATTATTATTGTTATAGAACAATTAATTATTTTAATCACCATGCTGATTTGCGTATATTGGTCATTAGATAAAGTATGGCAAATAAAATGGTTTACGTTGTTTACTTATTTGACTTAAGGATTTTTAAACGTGTGGGTGTTTGGGGGTTGTGAGTGTGGTATTATGTGGTTAATTTCGGAGTGAATATTTGGTGCTGTGTGTATGGGTGGTGTATATAAGGGGAGGGGGTAATGTGCATTGTAGCATGCGATTGTGTGGACAAATGTGTTGTGGGTATTGGGGTTATGGGGTGGTGACGTTATGAGATGGTGTGGTTATCGGGTGGTGTGGTTATGGGGTGGTGTGGTTATGGGGTGGTGTGGTTATGAGGTGGTGTGGTTATCGGGTGGTGTGGTTATGGGGTGGTGTGGTTATGGGGTGGTGTGGTTATGAGGTGGTGTGGTTATGGGGTGGTGTGGTTATGGGGTGGTGTGGTTATGGGGTGGTGGGGTTATGTGGTGGTGTGGTTATGGGGTGGTGTGGTTATGAGGTGGTATGGTTATGGGGTGGTGTGGTTATGGGGTGGTGTGGTTATGGGGTGGTGTGGTTATGGGGTGGTGTGGTTATGGGGTGGTGTGGTTATGGGGTGGTGTGATCATGGGTGGTGTGGTTATGGGGTGGTGTGGTTATGGGGTGGTGTGGTTATGGGGTGGTGTGGTTATGGGGTGGTGTGGTTATGGGGTGGTGGGGTTATGGGGTGGTGTGGTTATGGGGTAGTGTGGTTATGGGGTGGTGTGATCATGGGTGGTGTGATTATGGGATGGTGTGGTTATGAGGTGGTGTGATTATGGGGTGGTGGGGTTATGAGGTGGTGTGGCTATGGGGTGGTGTGGTTATGGGGTGGTGTGGTTATGGGTTGGTGTGGTTATGAGGTGGTGTGGTTATGGGGTGGTGTGGTTATGAGGTGGTGTGGTCATGAGGTGGTGTGGTTATGGGGTGGTGTGGTTATGAGGTGGTGTGGTTATCGGGTGGTGGGGTTATGGGGTGGTGTGGTTATCGGGTGGTGGGGTTATGGGGTGGTGTGGTTATGAGGTGGTGTGGTTATGGGTTGGTGTGGGTGTGTGGTGGTATGGATAGGTTGTGATATAGGAACGATGCACGGTTCTGATAGTATGTGAGTAAGTTTACAATGCGAAACGTCAACATTAGTTACTTTTTGTTGGATGGAGCCTGGATTTTGTATCGAATTGGTTGATGGCCTTGAACTTGATATAAATAAAGTTGACAAACCGAATTTCTAGCGATGTCGATGAAACATTAAGTCAACTACCACCCAACAAAAATCATCTTTACGATACGACTCTACCACATTTGCTTTGTTGAATCTGCCTATATTCACATTGTGAGGTTATTTATCCTGAACTCTGCCTTAAACTCACCTCTAAGCCCTGTCTTATAGACACCCTTTAACTTTGCCTTAAACTCACGCCTGAGCTCTGCCTTAAACCCAGTCCTTAGCTCTGCCTTAAACCCACCCCTGAGATCCGCCTTAAACCCACCCCTGAGATCCGCCCTAAATTCAACCCTCAGCTCTGCCTTAAACACACCCCTGGATCTTCCTTTGACCCGAGCTTATAGTGAAGATACGCGCTAAACACGTCGTGTTGTATGTTTGAGGCTAATACAAATACCTTCATCCAGCGAGATATATATGTATGTGTAGTGTATCAGTTTGTTTAGAGAGGGGGGGAGGGTGGTTGTGTCATTTTTTTTTACTGCTGACTTTACTATACGTATGTAGCCTGAAGTATAGTCAAGGCAACTCTTTAACGCACAGATTCAAGGGAGATAATGTGATCTATTACCTCCCTTGGCTTAGGATAGTTATTTATTATGTGCTAAAACGTTGTTTTTTATTGTTTAATTCGTCAGATTTATTCTGTAGTATTTAGTTACAACTTGGGGTAACTTTCTGTGTGATTTTGTGCTGTTTTAAGCCGATATTGTGTTTGTATGCGAATTTGTTAATGTCATCTTGTGACATAATGCTTCAAACATCCATGAATACAAACACAGGTTGTTTGTTGAGTATCAGGGAATGTGTCATAGTTCTTTGTGTCAGTGAACGCGATGTCAGTAGTTGTGTCATGTCATATCTTCCCGTGTCAGTAGTTGTGTTATGTCATATCTATCCATGTCAGTAGTTGTGTCATGTCATATCTATCCATGTCAGTAGTTGTATTATGTCATATCTTCCTATGTCACTTAACATCGTGTCAGTAGTTATTTTTGTCATGTCATATCTTCCCGTGTTAGGAGTTGTGTCATGTCATATTTCCACATGTCAATAATTGTGTCACGTCATATCTTCCTATGTCACTTAAAACCGTTTCAGTAATTGTGTCATGTCATATCTTCCTGTGTCAGTTAACACCGTGTCAGTAGTTGTGTCATGTCATACCTTCCCGTGTCACTTAACACCGTGTCAGTAGTTGTGTCATGTCATATCTTCCTGTGTCACTTAACACCGTGTCAGTAGTTGTGTCATGTCATATCTTCCTGTGTCACTTAACACCGTGTCAGTGGTTGTGTCATGTCATATCTTCCTGTGTCACTTAACACCGTGTCAGTGGTTGTGTCATGTCATATCTTCCTGTGTCACTTAACACCGTGTCAGTGGGTGTGTCATGTCATATCTTCCTGTGTCACTTAACACCGTGTCAGTAGTTGCACACCTAGCCACCGAGCCGCCCACGAAGCACACACCGAGGCTAATAGCCTCTAAGTCAACACAGTCGTTCATTGATACGACATGCACACAACTTAAGATGAATACACAGTACTTTGGATCAGCAGTTGGATGTTTGTTTATCCGTGGATGAGGTAGATGTTTGGAGAGTTGACAACGTGTGGATAATGTGGATATTTGGAGCGTTGACAACTTCTGGATACGATGGATATTCATGAAGTTTGAGTAGAGCAAGAATCTGGATATTTGCCGGATTTTTTACTGTGCATAATTTTGGAGGCTGAAACAACATGTACTCATGCATGATATTTTGCCAAGCCGCTTGATTCTTTCACGTTGGGAATTCTTACAACTCAGGATAATATTCAGTTAGCAGGAGTTGTCGTTACCTTAAGATTGCTGAAATGTGTAATTACTTCAATAAAATCTACGCCATAACAACGTGACGCTGAAATTTCCATTGGTCGTATTTTTTAAAACCAATACTGTAAATTAATTTACATGTATATTTACATAATGGAGGTGTGTATCAAATGTGAACACGATAGAATATTTTCAACAGGATGATATGTATCCTGATTAATTATTTATTATTAAATTTAAAGCGTGAATTCATCTCATATCTGTTTACACCTGCACACACTGATCGTTGGCACCTGATGATTGACACCTGTGAATCACCTGGAGTTGAAACAATGCCCAGGTGTCACATAATGGCGTCTGTTGGCCTTATCAGAACCAGTTAACCCGCCACATGTTTACCTAAAACTTATCAAGTTCCGGATAAGCGTTTTACGTCGTCGAGATCATAAACTATTTTATTACAGATTAATCTTTTTGAACATTTTTGTTTATATTTAACACTCCTGTAATCATTGATGGGGTTAACTAGAACATTCGCCGTGCCAACTGTTGACTTGTCTTAAAGGTCAAGGTCTAATTGTTGCCTCTAGTGGTGGTCAACTAACTCCTGTTAAATCTTTAAGTCTCACACTCAATAATTTTACATCAATCCTTGGTTAAATTGTGTGTTAATGAAATTACACATATGATAACGTCCCTTCAAGTTTAAACAAAAACCAACACGTATTTGAATGATTAAGATGAGCGCTAGTCAGGACATACAACAATAACTCACGCGCGTGAGTGAGTAACAACATACAAGCTGACTAATGTGTAGTGTGGGGAGACCTGTTTACTTGTAAGTCATTACAGTACTGCATCATGGGAATATGGGAACACATCGTTTATTGGCTGTATGTTGTTCTCACCTGGATTTTAGACTTGTTCAGGTGAGTTGATTTACCTGTAGCAGAAAATATATTTCATGTG